TAAGAGGCGCAGTGGTAGCACAACGCGCAAAGGAAGAAGAGAATCTCGCCGTCGCACAGGTGAGTACAGGCCACGATTACGACCACATCCCGAGTCCAGACTATGGGTAAAGCTAACCACGACGCTTGTGTAGGGCGAAATGTTCGAAGTGAGTATGCTGCTCTGCAGCCATGCACGCACAGCTGACAGATGCAGGTACCCGGCGACACCGGCCACGAGGGCACGTCATTCAGCAACGACATCAGGGTTTGTTTTGCGGTCAGTACGTACTTCTAGATTGGATCTCCGAACCGATACTAATCCACTGCTAGTGGGAAGAAGAAGACATGCTTGCCGAGGGCATAGAAAGACTCGCCGCAGTCATTAACCGCATGCTAAATGAGGAGGCCAATGGAGGACAGTCAACTCATCGTGCGGCTGCCCAAGAAGAAGACGCGAAGAATCTGTGGTGATTGAGCGGAGGGAAGGAAAGGCGAATGGGATGTGTGATCACTACATCGGATCCCTTCAGCCTCAATCTAGATCACGCAGAAACTTCCACGACTGTAAGGACTATGTCATGTGATTCTGGTCTTGCACAACGCTATTCGTCGAGATGCGGTAATAGAGGTTGCGTTAAGCATGAGGGATCTGCGAGGCCAGCCGCGGGCTTGCTCTAGATAGACGGATGGGGTTTCGTCGAAACATCCCCAGGCCCCACAAAAACATCCTGAAGGAAATGAAAAGCATTATATCCGGTGCCAGGTGGCGGCGCGAAACACAGTGACCGTTGGGTATGCAGCCTTAGGCGGCGATGGAGCACAGCATAGCGTAGATGTTATGTCTTGCGTTGGTGCAAAAGAAACTTTCGGAACCCGTCACGTCCAGGATAGCGATCGGGGTGGTGTTCGGTTCGAGCTTTTTTGTCCGCAAGGCTTGTGCTGTGTTGCGCACAACGCTCATGAATGACACTATCTGCTATATGTCTGTGTATTATCGGCATGTGGAGGCAGCATGTCTATGATGCGCGTGCCGAGGCGAAGTCGTGGTCGAGTACAATGCAGTCCACCACACCTTGGCATGACTCTCAAGCGCCTCTTGGATGGAGCCCGGCGCATCGCAGTGTATCCACGATCTCCTGCCGGGCCGTCGCGTCGAATTGCAAGAAAGTCAAGCGTGGCGTTGACGCGCTGGCAAATGCTTTGTCTGCGCGGCGGGCGAGCGAGGGCCTGTCGATGGCCTGGCGTTTCAGCGCCGTCTCACATCCGGCCATCGGTTGTGGCGCTACCAACCACATCCCTGATTTCCCTTCAGGAACAAACGCTCGCCTCGCCGCCTTCTAACCTTCTCATCCACTCACTGGCCATCGTCTCCCGCTTGTTTCACGCGGAGAAAGCGATACAACGGGTACAGTCTTGTGGGCCTGGCTAGTGGAGACCCTAGGTAATTTTGGACGCACGCGACGGCGGCAGGGTCACAGGCACGCAACCACGACTCGGCACTTGACTGCGGGCGTGGAATGCGGCTTCAAAACATGGCCGCAAGCGGTCGTCAGGAGGCAAGGGAGGAGGATGGTCCCCTTTGTGAATCAGGGAGTGCGAAATGCCACGACGAAGAGATGGCAAAAGAGCGTGGGTATCACAGCGACGACGAGGATATAAAATGCCTACTGAATGCCGGGGAACATGAATCGAGCACAGCACAGCGAACATCACACCCCGGCTACCCGAAACTTGAAACAAGGCGTTTCGACAACGTTGATTGGCGCCCCGAAACTATTGTAAGTCCCTTCCTGAATGAACTGCTGTACATATACTATGCGGCGGCGCCCCCATTCACTTTTTCCCTTCACGCAGGCTCTTGTCAGCTACCAGCACTCATTGTGTGCCTTCAGTTTTTATTGTTCTCTGTCATTCATTTCTATTGTGTAGAGTCATCTTCTGACTACAACATTGTTGTTTTCTTCTACCTTCGTTGCTAGCCAACCTTACCACCACTTCTGCAAACTTGCAATCTTTCTACTCGACGATCCAACAACACTATCAACGTCTTTTGCAGGCCAACTGACAACGATACTTTCAGTCTTTCAAGTCGACATTTCTTCGTTTAGCAACTCCGAACTTCAACAAACGCACCGCCATCATGGTTGCCTTTAGCGCTGGAGCGCTTCTTCTTACGCTGCGCGTCCTCCTTTCCGCCACTCCTTCTACTGCCATCCCTGTTGCGCAAGCACCGGCTCCCTCATACGCACCAGTCCCATCAGCAGCCCCAGCTCCATCGGCAGCACCGGCACCGGCAGCACCAGGTGGCGCTTCCGGCTACTGGCTTGAGACCATCAAGCGCCAGGGCCAGGCTCCCTTCAACCCCAACCCAGAGTCCTACAAGGTCTTCCGCAATGTCAAGGAGCTTGGAGCCAAGGGTGACGGGTCCACCGACGATACCGAAATCATTAACAAGATCATCGCTGACGGCGAGCGTTGCGGCGAGGGCTGCGACTCAACCACCACCACACCAGCGCTCATCTACTTCCCCGCCGGTACCTACATGATCAGCAAGCCCATCATTCAGTACTACTACACTCAGTTCGTCGGCGACCCATTGAACATGCCTATCCTCAAGGCTACCGCAGACTTTGAGGGAATGGGTTTGATCGATGCCGATCCCTACATCCCAGGCGGCGACGGTGCCAACTGGTACACCAACCAGAACAACTTCTACCGCCAGGTCCGCAACTTCGTCATCGACATCTCAGCTACCAAGGCTGCCGCTGGTATCCACTGGCAGGTCTCCCAGGCTACCAGTCTCCAGAACATCGTTTTCGAGATGGCCAAGGGTGACGCCGGCAAGGACCAGAAGGGTATCTTTCAGGACAACGGCTCCGGTGGTTTCATGACCGACCTGACCTTCAACGGTGGTGCCATTGGTGCCTTCATGGGTTCCCAGCAATTCACCATCCGCAACATGACCTTCAATGACTGCGGCACTGCCATCTTCCAGAACTGGAACTGGGTCTTCACATACAAGAGCATCTTCATCAACAACTGCCAGGTCGGTCTTGACATGGCCAACAGCCCCGCCAACCAGACTGTCGGCTCCGTTCTTCTGCTCGACAGCAAGTTCACCAACACTCCCATCGGTATCAACTCCTCCTTCACCGAGAACAGCATCCCCACCACTGGCGGCACTCTCATCCTCGACAACTGCGACTTTACCGGTTCTGAGAAGGCTGTCATTGGCGCTACCGGTAACACCATCCTTGCAGGTGGCAAGAAGGTCGAGACCTGGGCCCAGGGTAACGCTCTTGCTGCCGGAGCCCAACTTGGCCGTGTTCAGGGTGATGTCAACGGCGCACCTGCGAAGCCCCAGAGCCTCCAGGGTCTCAACGGCTGGTTCGAGCGCAGCAAGCCCCAGTACGAGACCGTCGACGTTTCCAAGTTCGTCAGCCTCAAGTCCAAGGGCGCCAAGGGTGATGGTGCTACTGATGACACTGCTGCTATCCAGGCTGCTATCGATGGTCTCCAGGAAGGCGAGGTTCTCCACGTCGACCACGGTGCCTACCTCATCACCAAGACCGTCGTCGTCCCCGCTGAGAAGAACGTCAAGATGGTCGGTGAAGTCTACAGCACTTTCTTCATCACCGGCGAGTTCTTCTCCAACATGGACGACCCCAAGCCTGGCTTCCAGATTGGTGCTAAGAGCGGTGACAAGGGTTCTTTCGAGGCCTCTGACCTCATCATCGGTACCCAGGGCCCTGCTCCCGGTGGTATCTTGATGGAGTGGAACATCAATGCCGAGAACGGCGCAGCCGGTCTCTGGGACGTCCACTTCCGTGTCGGTGGCTACGCCGGAACCAAGCTCCAGTCGTCCAACTGCAAGAAGAACCCCGACGCGACCCACGAGCCCAACCCAGAGTGCATCGGCTCCTTCATGCAACTGCACATCACCAAGAACTCCAACGGCTACTTCGAGAACGTCTGGCTCTGGACCGCCGACCACGAGCTCGACCAAGACGACCACTCCCAGATCGACATCTACAACGGCCGCGGCATGCTCGTCGAGTCCCAAGGCCCCGTCTGGATGTACGGCACTGCCTCGGAGCACTCTCAAATGTCTCAATACCAGTTCTCCGGTGCCAAGGACATCTTCTACGGCGCCATCCAAACCGAGACGCCTTACTACCAGCCCAACCCCACCGCCGCCGTCCCCTTCACCAAGAACGACAAGTTCTTCGACCCAGACATGAGCCAAGCCAAGGCCGCCTGGGCCGTCCGTGTCACCGACGGCAGCGAGAGCATCTGGAGCTACGGCGCGGGTACCTATTCGTTCTTCCAGAACTACGACCAAGACTGTGTTGTTGGCCAGAACTGCCAGCAGGACATGAACGAGATTGCCAACTCGACAAACGTCAACTGGTTCGGTCTCAGCACCAAGGCTTCCGTCAACATGATCACCATGGGTGGTCAGGGTCTAGCCAAGGACGAGGACAACCGCTCCAACTTCTGCGCTACCCTCGCTATCTTCGCTCAGGCATAGAGACCTCTTCCTTCCTCTGCGACAATACTACGTGGATATCCTTGATGGATGTTCACCGACATAGACCTCTTCACTTCTTTTCCCCCTCGGGGGACCTGTTTTCTTTAACGAACATGTACATTTTTTTTGTTCTGTCTTTGTCCCATATGAGAGGCGGAATGTCACACTCGCTTGAAAGATACGCTATATGAAGTCGAGAAGCATTATTTATACCCCTGGGCAGGATGGAGGAGTTTGGGCCGGATCCTTTTCTTTTGAGTGCAGTCGAGAAGATAGATATGAATATGATATCTTGTGATATTTACAAATTCTTGAATCTTCTGCTTGTGATGTTTGTTTGCTAGTCTGGAAATCCGACCATGCAGTGCGGGAAGGTGAGATTGTGTAGATGATGATGAGCGTGGTGAGAGCCTCGCCAAAACTCACCTCCCCGCGCGCACGTCCTCGGGAAAAACTTCCCCGCTTAGAATCTCGCAGGTCACCTCTCTGCGAAACTTACTCCTCCCACCCAACCTCCCCACCGCCTCTCTCACGTGCGCAAAGATGTCTGAACCGTCAGACGAATCCACGCGACCGGCGAAACGCGCGCGCCTCGACGATAATGCCGCTCCCTCGCTCTCCACCACTACCACAGCAGTTCCGCAGACAGCTCCGATTCCCTCAGCGCCAGCATCCATTGACACGGATCTGGAGCGGGAAGTACGCGCCGGTATAACCGAATATGTATGCCCGGATAACCTGGGCTTCACCGGTGTGTTGAAGCAGAGGTATACGGATTTCTTGGTCAATGAGATTGGGTTGGATGGAAAGGTGTTGCATTTGAAGAGCACGGATGTGGAGGATAAGAAGAAGGCTGGGAAAGAGAATGTGGAGAAGGCGAATGGTGCGGGTGAAAAGAAGCCTGAGAGTGCAGTAGCGACTGAGAAGGCCGATGCTGTGATGCAGGATGCGGGAGTTGCTGGTGAGACCACGCTTGCGGTACCGGAACCCGTGAAGGTTGAAGATGGACCGAAGGAGTCTGAGAATGATGGGGAGGAGATTATTGGGAAACCACCGGTAGCTCAGGAAGAGCCTGAAGAACAGGTAGGTGATTGCTAGGCATATGACCTGCATGGATGCTAACACTGTACAGTTGCCGGAAGAAGATCGCAATACCTTACATTCGATATTCGGCGAACAGACTACCGACGAGATCGTAAAACTTGTCAGACAAGTACGGAGAAAAGAATCGCGAAAGGCAAAAGACTTCAAAGCCGTCATATCATCGCCCATAACCGACAAGGACAAGCGCACCCAAGCCCATCAGAGTCTACGTCGGATCTTCCCCAACCTCCTCGAGAGTGCAATGGAGGAGAATCAGACTATCCGTATCAAGGCCACTCCACCAGCGGAGCGCAAAAAGAAGAAGGGCAAGGGCGGCGCAAAGGATCGCGAGAACCAGGGAGGACGCCGAGGAGGTCAAGATTGGGAGGAGCTTGGTGGAGAGTACTTGCACTTCAACCTGTACAAGGAAAATAAAGACACAATGGAAGTTGTAGGTTTCCTAGGAAGCAAGCTCAACTGCGGTGCCAAGGGCTTCGGCTTCGCAGGCACAAAAGATAGACGAGCCTGCACCGTCCAAAGAGTCTGCGTCAAGCGCCAACTAGCCCAGCGCATTCAGAACTTCAACAAGATCCTGTTCAATGCCGCAGTAGGAGACTTTGAGTACCGCCACAACGACCTGAAGCTAGGAGACCTGATGGGCAACGAGTTCACCATCACCCTCCGAGACTGCCATTTCCAGAGCGAGGAAGGACTAGACTTTGCCCAACGCCGCCAACTCGCACACGACGTAGTCAGCAAAGCCATCACCGACTTCTCCCAAAAAGGCTTCATCAACTACTACGGCCTCCAACGCTTCGGCTCTTTCGCCGCAAGTACCGACGCCATTGGCCGCAAGATGCTACAAGACGACCTCAAAGGCGCGGTGGAAGACCTCCTCGCATACAGCGATACGGCCCTCGCCTCCGCACTCAACCCTTCCGACTCCACCACCCTAGTCTCCCAAGATGACCGCAACCGCGCGCACGCCCTGCACATCTGGAAAGAAAAAGGCTCCGGCACCGAAGCCCTCGACTTCCTCCCGAGGAAATTCACCGCAGAACGAAATATAATCCAGCATCTAAGTTCGCGCAACAGTAAATCAGGGCGCTACGACCGTAAGACAGATTGGCAGGGCGCGCTCATGACGATACCCCGGACGCTGCGCCTGATGTACGTGCACGCCTACCAGTCCCTCGTGTGGAACAGCGTAGCAGGCAAACGGTGGGCTACCCACGGCGATAAAGTCGTCGCCGGCGACCTCGTCCTCGTAAACGAACACCGCGACAAAGAAGAAGGCAGTACAGCAACAATGCCCAAAGCGACGCACGATCAAGACGGCGAACCCATCATCAACCCCTCCGGCGACGACTCCAGCCTCGCTCCTGAAGCGGATTTCGAACGCGCCCGTCCCCTTACTGCTGATGAAGCTGCGTCTGGTAAATACAGTATCTGGGACGTTGTTCTCCCGCAACCGGGATTCGATGTCGAGTACCCGGCCAACGAGATTGGTGAGTATTACAAGACGTTCATGGGTAGTGAGAAGGGTGGGGGCTTGGATCCATATAATATGCGCAGGAGTTGGAGGGAGGTTAGTTTGAGTGGCGGGTATAGGAAGTTTTTGGCGAGGCCATTACGACCGCTTGAATTCGAAGTACATGAATACAAGAAGGTGGATGAGCAGTTTGTGCAGACGGATTTGCAGAGGTTGGGGAGGGAGAGGGATGTTGGGAAGAAAGATGGGGGTAAAGAGGATGAGAAGAAGGAAGATGAAGCAGACGCGCAGATGGAGGATGGAGAGGAAAAGGAGGACGTGGCTGAAGAGGAGGAAAAGATCGCTGTTGTGATCAAGCTCCAGTTGGCGAGTAGCCAGTATGCTACGATGGCGCTGAGGGAGCTGATGAAGGCGGGAGGTGTTAAGGCGTTTAAACCGGAGTTTATGGGTGGGAGATAGGTGATGACGAAAGGGACGGAAACGGCCAAGGAAGTCACGATTATATGTATAAAAGATAGGCAAGGGAAAATAACATAGTGGAATATGATATGTGGACAGAAACCGTGCCTTGTCCATCATTGATCCAACGGGATATGAGCATCTATGTATCCGGGTGGGCGGTGGTGGGGTAGTAGTGGATGTCTCCTTTCTGTTGTGGGTGTGGATTGAAATGGCCATAGGATGCAGAGTCTTCAGTTTGAGAAGCACTACCCCGTACTTCACGACGCCCCTCGCATCATGCTGCACGCCATGCCATGCCATGCCATGTCAATAGCGCCATCCCCTTTCCTTGTAACTGGTACTGGTACTACGAAAAACCTTCTTCCGCCGTGTTTACCCTTAGTGCGAAACGCATTTTGCCAAGTTGCTAACTAACAGCGTCGTTGGGCGGTCTAGTACCAGCTTTGTGAACGCTGAATTACACCTCGTCACATAGTTTGCAGCCGAGAGACACTCAAAGTACTGCCTTGATGGCCGTCGTTATTAAATATGAAGATATCTGGTTGACTAGAAATACATGGGTATCAAGCTAATGTCTTTTTTGTTTCTGTCCTCCATCGACCGATTTTTTTTTGGTCTTCGCGATTGGAAAAGCAGGGCGTAGCGTCGTTACGGTCATGTCTTTATATATATATTTATACAAATATTTGGCTCAGCTCGATTTCGGGATTCTCAAACCGCATCTCCTGCATCCATGTATCTTGGCGGCGAAATAGGATCCGAAATAGGCTGGCTATAGTTCACATCTTCGCTCGTAGGTCGGCTGCGATGCAATAGTGCGCGACTGAGGCTGAGACGCGAAGGTTGGCGCGGTTTTTTCTCCTCTGGCTTCTCGCATAGGGGAATGTCGGTTGCGTCGGATGAGGTGCGGGCGAGGATAGGATCGGCGCTGCTGCGTTTCGTGTAGCCCATGTCTGAAGGGAGGGATGTTGCCGCAGTATTCGGTCGCGTTATGATCTTTGCTTCGTACGTGGATTCCATTTTTGGTGATGAAGTTTGCTTGCTGTCGATGGGGTAGTGTGTAAGGCCTAGCTCCGATAGTAGGAGGTTGTTTTGCGGCGAAGCGTGCACGTTGAGTTGGGAGAGGGAGTGGTTCGTGGTTCGTGGGGATGCTCGCGTGCTCTTCATTGTGCCTCCCCTGCTGCCAGACATGGTCGTGATGTCACGTGCTTTTGAGAGTCCCATTTTCATGAGCGGGCGGAGGGTTGCCATGCAGCCGACGACGATGCATGTGCCGCATTCGACGGTACTCCATATGGACACGTTGGTGACGTCCCAGAAGAAGTCTTCGAGTTCTGTTAGACCGCTTATATAGGGGAAGCGGATTCCAGAGCAGATGCAGCCACTGTGATTTATTAATAGAGGTCTGGAAGTGGCTTCGGTGGAGACGTACAGAGCTGCAAGGGATAGGATAAAACCGACGGAGAACTTGTGTCGCAGATCCATGTTGGCATACCATAGAATAGGGATGGGCAGTATGAAAAAGACGACGTCTGTCAATGTACTAAAGGTAGCTGTGAAGTACTCCATAAGCTTGTGTGTAGACGATTCGTTCGCACCACATACCTTGTTGATAGGCAAAGAAATAGTCGACCTGCCGCGATGAGCAGCGACCGAGGATCTCGTTGATTGCGTACTTCTCCAATTTAGGTCCGCATCGGAAGATGACATAGAAGAATGCAGACATTGATGACACAATGTTGGCAGCAACGGTCACGTAGATGATGATGAAGTGGCTGCGCCTGACGACGATGCGGGAGAAGAAAATGGCCAGGGAAATCTTGACCAGCATGATGGCCATGAGATAGCCGGCCTCTCTCACAATAACCCACTGCGATTGTGAGCGCGGTTTCGCCAGGACAGAATCAGAATACATACCTTTGTCACTTTCTGCAACTCGTCCGCGGTGGTAATCTCGCTAGTTCCGCCAGATGCTTCGACCAACCAAACTGATCCGCAGAACAGTGTGAATGTCAACTGCTGATATCAGTTATTGACCACGTCGGTGGGGGTGAGAAGGACCTACGCCGGCAAGTAGCATAACAGCATCGTCCCAGCCAAAGCTGCGTATAATGCATGTGCGAGTCCATATCCTGAGTAGGATGAATATCCAGGACACAGCCAGGAAGGCAATGGTAACCCGTTGTTGCTGCTCGGCGGCCATCGCCAGATCGGCTGAGCTGTGCACCATGGTGTTGATAGCAAGACCGAGTGTCAAGCTAACGGAAAGCAACGTTGCGCAGTGGTATCAATCCAGAGTGGCGTTTTGCTCGAAAAGAGCAAAGTATGGTCGTTCATGAGAGTGATACTACGAGGATAGGCGGGACCTGCATCTGAGGGAAGAACCAGTTTAGTATCCCGCATCATCATGTTGAGTCGAGTTTGGTCGACTATGGCTTGTAGTTGCATGCAGAGCGGCCCAGCCAGTCTATCAAGTTCCCAGTAGACTATTGCCCAGGGCGGCCTTCTCCACCCTGTGAGAAGCTCTGGAGTTGCGTCCAAAACTCTAATCTGACGGCTGAGGCGAATCCGAACCTTGAGCTATCGTTACTCGTAGCGTAGACGGCGGCGCTGCGGGGACGCTGCCTAGCGTTGCCGCCCCATCTTGAGCTCTACGGGGTCTTCTCCGACACCGGTGTAGGAGTATATGCATGGCATGTATGCAGGCAGTCGATTATAAGCGCACGCGAAACATATGGGTGCGGGGGAGTCGGTGGGGAGGCGTTGAAGGTAGTGTCAGGTACAGGGTGGGTCTGAAAGGGATGGAGACCTCGGGATTGGTGATCTCCCTGACGCTTGGACCTTCAGATTTCCAGTCCAGCTTGCATCGCAAACAAGCAAACATGAACATGACCCTGGCGGAGAAAGCAGCACGAGGCAAACGACACAAAAAGAAAACATCATCCGTAGAGGCCAGGCCTGGACACCGGAGAATATCGCCTCTACATCAATATATCGACACTGAAGTTGGGTTCGCACTGTTTGGATCCGGTTGGGTACCTGGTTTGCATGCACGTGTGTGATCAACATTCGTCCGCACGGTCTACCACATTCGCCTTAGCCAGGGACGCCACGGTCCCGTATACCAGATACCCGTGGACCGAGGCGAGCCTAGACAGACGATAGACAACTTGTGAACGAAGGTTTGCACGGAAGCTGCCTGAGGTGGCCGGTCAGGGCAGCCACACAGCACACTCGTTCAGACGCGCTTCACCCCTGCTTGCTGTCGCCACGGGCCCTAGTCACGCTTCCCCGAATCTTACATCCTGCATCTCCGCATCCCGTGACGTCAACTTAGCGTCTCTTTACAGCACTTGAGGAAGCGAAGATCAGCATGCCGCCTTCACTTCGCCGACGAGGAGGCCAAGCACACCAACATCGCATGCCCCCGCCCTCACCACCAGAAGCCCAAGACACGTCGTCCAGCGACGCGGAAATAGACGGTCGTCAAGAACGAGAAGAAGAAGAAGAAGAAGAGCACGATCTCGACGACGCCGCCGACGACGATGAAACCCTTGGCGACGACCTAATCGGCCTCGAAGGCGACGAAGAGGACCAAGAAGAAGACGAAGGTGACGAAGAACTCGGGTCAGAAGATGGTCTCGCATCACCAAACCTCCCCTCTGAAACCCTCCCCAACTTCGACCCTCCCCCACCCTACCTCCGCGAAATCTCCACCCTAGCATCCTGGACCGTCTCCTCCTCCAAACCAGGCTGTTCAATCCCCCAACTACGCCACCCAAATACGAACCTTTTCTGGCAATCTGATGGACCGCAGCCTCACTACCTCAACATCCACTTCTTCAAACTCGTCCGTATCGTGGGACTGAGACTGTATCTCGACTTCGAACAGGATGAGAGTTACACGCCTACGAAGATCATTTTTCTTGCAGGCAGCGGTTTGAACGACCTACAGGAATGGGGAGAGATGAGGTTGGAGAGTCCGAGGGGATGGATCTGGGCGGATTTCTCGGGCGTGGGTGATCCGGATAGTGATGATGAGGGTGGTGACGACGACGACGAAGAAGGTGATGGAGGAGGAAATGCAGGTCAACGGCCACAACGTCTCCTCACAGATGCTTTGCACCTGAACGGGAGAAGAGGCGCAAACGACGCTTCTTCTGATTCTGAGAATGCGGCGCCGGGCCAGGCAGCAGATTTGGATATGCAAACTCCAGGAGGGCAAGACACGCCTTTTCCTCCCTACCCAGCCGCAACACAACCCCAGAATCCTTCATACGACACACCACAAAATACACAACAGCCACCCCCTCCATCAGGCACACGCACTCGCACCCGCCGCACAAACCTCCACGCAAATCCAACCGTCACACCGACCCAAAATCATGCCCCATCAACGCCCATACCCCCTTCCACGCAACCCCAAACGCTTCCCCGTCCCCACCCCCGCGCTCCCTTCGCATCTCTCTCACCCAATCCCGCACCCCGCCCTGCTCCCACCAATACTTTCTCAACACCAAAGTTACCTGTCCTACGAGCGCATCTCGTGCAGATTAAGATCTTAGAGAATCATCAGAATGGAAAGGATACGCATTTGAGGGGGTTGCAGATTTTTGCGAGGAATGATGAGGATGGGTTTAAGACGAGCACGCATCAGAATAAGGGGGTGACAGCAAGGATAGAAGGCGCTGGGCTACAAGAGATGGTGAAGAAGGACAAGAAGGAGAGGAAGAGGAGGGAGGAGGTGTTGGAGTTGGGTGGGGGGATCATGGGTATGAGTATGGGTGGAGGAGGGATGGGGAGTATTAGGTAATATTGGGCGTGTCGTGGAGTGATGGAACAAGGAACGGACCGAGCGAGCGGTCGAGCGATCTGTCAGCTAGTCCCTCCAAACAATAGCTTGGACAGTCTGAAGAGCAGTGGTAAAGCAATGTGGCGTGGAATACGCATCACAGCCTTTACCACTATTACTCGGACGGTAACACCATCGAACCATCAAGCATGAAGTGCATCAATGAAGAAATACATCAAATATAGATTCTTCAGCTATGTCTTCCGTCTCCAGATCATTTCATCGTTTCTCTTTGATCGACTTCGCCTCTTTGGATATAACTTTCCTGGAGTAACCTTGGGAGGATACAACTTCCACCACCTCCCACCCGCCTATAGGGTTGAGCGAGGGGAGTATCCGCTGACCTTCTCACATCATTAAGAGATGAAACCTGAGAAGTACCAGCTAGCCCGTTACCCACTCACTCCAAACCATAGGCTTGAAAGCCTGGCTGGCAGCGACGAAGCAACATGGACAACATGAATGGCAGTAAGCAGTCACAACAACCTTTGTAATCATGCCTTGGCAGAAAGACCAGCAAGTATGGAGCATCGATCATGAAGAAATAAAAACTTTAGATTCCATAGCTACGCCATCCATTCCTTTCGATTCCTTTCGATTCCTTTCCCTTCCAGTTCCTCATCTCTCGTACATTTGGATATAGCTTCCCCTCCTGACTTTTAGTGCGTGTGTCTTAAGAAAGATTTCTCCAAGCAAGATACAGATACATGACCGGATATCTCGCGATCTATAACAGAGCGCCGAAGAAATGTGTTTCCTTCCCATCCTATAAAAAAAGTGGAGAGGGGAGCCCAGGCACTTTCGGCCTCTGGCAGTTTGTTGCTTCCTCATAAGAGCTTTTCCAGATGACTTTCATCATCTAGAAAAGACCCTTACCGTCCTTCTCCCCAAGCGTATTCTTGAGGTCCTTAGGCTCAGCCTCCTTCTCTGGCTTAGCGACCTGCTCGTCACTCGGGCCATTCTTCTTGTTTTGCTGCTTGCGCGGCAACTTGCTCGGACTGCGATTGCGGTCCATCTTCTCCTTGTTACCATTAGCATTCTCCTTCTTCTCTTTGACATCCTCCTCATTGTCCTCATACGCCTGCTCTACCTTCTCACCAGCAGCCTCAGCCTTACCAACAAGCTCCTTAGCAATCTGCCTGGCCTTCTTGCTCGTGGCATCAGCGCCCTCGTCAAGCTCTTGCAGTTTCTGGCTGACGCGACGGTTTACGTTTTCGAGGAACTTTTGGTTGGCGGGGCTCATGCTGCCTTTGCGCTCGTCTTTGATGTGGCCGTTGGCGGGCTTCCTTCCGCGGACGGCGTCTCTAGCGCGGTTCACGCCTGAGGAGATGGCGTCTTCGGCGGATTTGTCGAGGGAGTCGAGTTCGCGCTCGACGTTGCGGCTGGCGTCGCCGGCGGCGTCGGAGATGGTGCGGTGCTTGAAGTTCTGCTTAGAGTTGGGGGCAGAGCGGCGGAGGTACGATTTGAAGAAAAAGCGCATGAAGAGGATGGTCAGTGGGGCGAGGTAGATCAGGTTGACGTAGATGGCGAAGGCTTGGCCGGAGGTGTCGACGCAGGGAACGGTCTGGTACTCGGTGCGGTAGAAGGTCCTCTCGACTGTCTCGTGGGGGTGGAAGAAGTCGTGAACTGCGTTGTGGGTGGGGGCAGGCTCTCCGGCAATGACTTGCTGCGGCTGGCGAACGGGGATGGGCTGGCCAGGGACGGGGATGTTCTCTGCGAGACCCTCATCGCCAGCTGCGCGGTAGATGAGCTTCCTGAGGAAGGCTACAGCGACACCAGTCACGGTGGGGAGAGCTTCGGCAACCGACTCCGTAGCAGAGGCGACTGCGGATGAGACGCTGGACGAGACTACCTTGGGCGCGACCTTCTCAGCAACCTTGTATGCGACCGAAACGGGGACGGTGTAGGAGATGAAGAGGTGGATAGCGGCGAAGGCGGATCCGACGAGGAACTGGGTGATTTGGAGGGTGGTAAGAGTTCGCTTAACGATGTTGGGAACGCGGTAGCCGAGCGCGGAGACAGTGTAGTAGGTGTACTAGATGATGTTAGTGAGGGTTTTCTGTGTGGTTTGAAGAGACGCTTACCATCATGGCGTGGATTCCAGAGTTGACCGTGGCAAACATCCAGATCGGAGGCGACATGAAGCGCATACCAGCCCACATGGACAGCATAGCGCCAGCATGGTGGTACTTCTGGAGAGTAGTGCTTCGCTTGCCCTTTGCGAGGATAATGGCCGTGTCAAGGACTTCGTAGAATTTGGAGAGGTAGAACCACCAGCCCCAGAAAGCAAGACCCTCGTTCCAGATCCTGCCAACATCGGTGGTGTCGGGCAAGCCGTTGGCGCCTACCTGAACCTTGGAGTTGAGGCTGCTCCAGCTGTCGTTGACGTTGCTATAGGTAACGGCGTCGCCCAGGCCGCGGGGACCGTGGATCTTGCAGAGGGCGTCGATGGTGCCGACAACGGCGTTGGGCTCGCTGTAGTGGGGGAACGAGTGCTTGAGGCAGCGGATCATGGCCACGCACGTCACGGCCGAGTAGACGGCCAGGAAGACATTATGGAAGATGACAAAGGCGTAGAAGGGGCGGGTTTTGGCGATCCTCCACGGCTTGTTGCCGTGTTGGCGGTTGTACCAGTTGACGTACGTCACGGCAACAAAGTAGATGGAGGCGATGGTCAGCGGGACCTTGTACGACAGCGCGCCCTGGTAGATGTCTTCGGGGATGGGGAACGGGTTCTGGAAGGTCGACTCGCCCGACCACGGCGGAGGAATGGGCGAGGGCGCGGCATCGGGAGGGAACTGGAGGACAGCCCTCGACGGCCAGTCGCCGGGGTGTAGGGAAGGGCCTGCGCCGGACATGATGGGCGTGACGGCGGGAGACGATGCGCTGGTGGAGGTGCAGGTGGTGGCAGCACTCAATGGGCCGGTGGTGAGTGAGGTGAAAGTGTTGGCCAGGCGGGCGCAAACAGGGTACGGCAGAGGCAGAGGGTCTGGGGGCCGCTGGGGTTTTTCTGTGGTCCGATGAGGTCAATGCCCAACGGTTGTGCTAAACTTTATCGCGAGAATCGGCCCTCGGGCGTCTGGGCGTGCCTATCGTCGGCGCAAAGCTGCGATAGAGTTGGTGTTGTTGTTATTCGTTTCTCGCTAGGCACGCGATACCACCTAGGTGTATTGCTTGGGGTACACGCACGAACCCAGGGCAAGGCGCACAGGTTATATCGTAGAATTAAGTGCACAGGTATGCCCGGAGCGAGGACAGATGCAGTAACGGTGCGTCGGACAAGGAGCTAGAAGCAGCAGGCAAAGGCTTCTGGACGTCCCTCTTGGTTATGCTGAGGATGACGAGCCAATGGCGTCGCGACCAGCTACCGAGGCGAATAATCAACACCTCCCACTGGACACCCACGTCGACAAGACCCTCTTGAAGTTTATCTAGAATTTACATCTGCTCGCAAGTCTAACGCCATGGGGTAACACAAATATACATCCCGTCTTGTCGACGAAAAGGCGGTCGTCATCTTGCGTTGTGTCATGGTAGAACTGCATGCTGCAAAATTTCTGCAAGGATGCTGTGAACCTGTTGAGGGTCCGGCTAAGCGCAAATCTGGGAGCAAAAGCCACCGACGCCGTAACTGGGAAGAGGCAGGGTGACGTGGGCAGCCGCAGCCACATCTGGGGAACAGGTTTAACATTATAGTGGGAGATGCACTAGTAATATTCAAGCTGGTATCTCTGCATTATGGGTAGACTACGATAGATACGCTCAAAACTTCGGCTTGCTACTTAGAGGAATCGGCGGTGGTTCACCCGAGCCGTCGCTCAGTTCCTTCTTCTTGGGTGGCGGCGGAGGTGGTGCCTTTTTTCCAAGGCCTCCCGCACTACTTTGCGACGCCGACTGTGCTGGGCCTGGGGAGGCACTTGACGATGCGAAGTTGTTCATCTTGCCAGCAATACCATACTTTTGGTTTATAGAGTTGGCCGACTTCCACCCAGACGCGACCTGATCTCCATGCCGTTGCTGGAAGTTGTTCGCAGTCGATGCCGCTCCTTTCAAGTCGGAAGCTGATACCTTTGACGGATCATCGCGTAGACTGCTAGCTGTCCGCAGTGCTGCCTGCTTGTCTGCCCACGACGTGCCAGTGGCCGGGGGTGATGCTGGTGATTTCGGCCCAGACATACTCGCGAACCTACTCTGCAGTTCGTTCATCTGTGAGCCGCGACTGGGCGGGGCAGGAGGCGGTAACACATTCCTCGAGCCTGAGTTCTGTCGAGGAGGAACGGGCGGTGATGGATTTGCACGAGGCGGTACTGGAGGAGAAGCTGTCCGACCGATACCAAAGCCTGATACCGATACACCTGCCTGACCCAGGCGACCCAAAGCACCTTGGTTCAGCACCCCCTGCTCAGGTCTCGCTTCTTGTGTCGCCTCATTGTAGGTAGGTGGAGGAGCCGGTGCGAATTCATCGGGGTTCGAGTTCTGGCGCGGTGGTAGTGGAGGTCGTGGGGGCAGGCTGGGCTTTGGTTTGGCAGCACCTGTACTCGGTGGTGCCGCAGCGCCAGGTCTGAAAGCAGGAGGTTTGGGCAGATGCGCTGTGCTCAACCCCGTGGTGTCGGGTCTGTATGGCCCTGGGGCTGGTCTGTTTGCTTCTTCTTCCTCCTCCCTCCTCCGAGCCTCTTCTCGCTCCTGCAGTCTTTGCTTTGCCGACCCAGCAGGCGCAGATGACGGTCCGGATGGTGCAGATGCTGCCGAACCGCCGCTGTAGTCGAGTCTCTTGGGCGGCGGAGCAAACTGCGAGGGGTCTTTCAGGGATGATAGTGGTGCTGACTGATGATCGCGGGCGGCTTCTGCATGGGGATCTTTACCCTGTGCCTTTCCAACCCATCCTTTCTACACACCGTTAATCCACAGTCGAAAAGGAAGAAGACAGGCTTACATACTACCTGTGTGAGTTTTGAGTCGCTCGCTCCACCTCCGCCGCTCCCACTATTCGTGCGACTCTTCTCAGGATGCCACCCTCCTTTGGCGACGCTCTTGAATTTGTCCATGTCCGTGTTAGCGGAGGAGTCTGGGGTTAAGCGTTGGCGTCGTGAATGCCAGCGGATAGCGGAACCGACGCGTGCGGGCCGATGAGATCATCAGCCAAGCGGGCCTTTGGCACATGTCAGCTCAAGCCGGCACGTCGGTCGGACTAATGCTCTGGCGACTGGCTGACATTCCGCAGCAGAGTTCCATCGGGACATTGAATGCCGCATGACGGTGCTGTGAATGCGGTGTCTGGATGGGAACGCTCCATGTGTTTGTGGTGTAGAAAGATTCGAGGCCACCGGTCAGCAGGCGCCACACGTGCTCAGCGGAGACTCACAACACCCCGGACTTGAGAACCTCCCGCACTGCAGCTGCAATGCATGGCTTAGTTCCGTGTTTCATGTTTGCTAGCTGCAGCTGAGGGGATTTTGGCATGATACCATGCCTCAACGGTACCCACTTGCAACATCCAGGACAAACAACTGCAGCTATAGCCTGTCACAGTCAGCTCTATCGTCCCGGCCCTACTCCCATCCAATCACCCGCCACGATACGGGCGCTCGCAAAGGATCTGCATACCAGCTCAGTCGGATGCGCCGGAGTATCCTTGCGAATGTTTGTTTGACTTCCCGTCTCCAGAATGAAGACACCATGAGTATGAAAGCAGCATTCCAGGCAATATAACGAACAAACGCTGTAAGACTGTGCTCAGCACGCAGATACGATTGCATCATACTAAGCTTTGTTAGATCGACGGCTAGACATTAGCCAGGCTAAAATTACCCTATCCCGAGCAGGTGGGGTTTGTTCGTCTTATAGGCGTCGAGGCTGAGTCCGTCTCTCCCCAGCATCCCAGCATGTAGCCAACCGCGCCGACTCTTTGCAGCCGGCCCTTCGGACTTTGCTTCTGTTGGCTTGACAGCTTGCATCGCACACATGTTGCCAGACAACGGGTAACATGTCTGCGCCACCCCAGCTGGGCGGCCACTTCTCAAAGGATTGCCCTCCCACTCCCCGTGTCCACTCTGCGTTCTCCGCATTGCCTTTCAAGACCAACTAGGCGCCTATTAAATCCTCCTAGTCGAGGTATCCAGCAGAAGGAACATTTCATTGCCTAAGGTACATAGTGTCTTGTTTTCGCGTCATCGATTGGAGTACCAGCCTTGGGAGATCACGCCCAAAACCCGTTCTCGGCCCCGCATCTCCCATCACTGGTCAGAAAGTGGAGCATCACCACCACTACATTCCAGCTCCCCGCCTCGGTCATATCTAGGTGTCAGGCATCTCCGTCTGATTCCTGTCTCCTTACTGGTGTCGCCCCAACACACCACTGGAGCTCGTCCATACACAGCTAGTTGCTCGCGTCAGCGGTTCGTCGAGGCGCAATGCCTCCACCTAAGAAAGAGAAATGGGACGAAGATGAAGATGACAGAGAGCCGCCTTGGGCCACGGAAACTGAAAGCGAATCTGAGATAAATACTTTCCTGGTTCCAGTGATCATCTCATCTGTTGGTCCACCAGAATCACCGTACACGGGCGCGATGCCGTCGATCACCCAAGTAACGAACAGTGCATGGAATTCCAAACCTCCCAGCCAACCCTCACCCCCTCCCAGACCCTCTCCACCCAGCGGCGACAGACCCTCAGGATACCCAGCGAACCGCCCCTGGCCTCCCTACGAAGGACCCACCCCATCGTCTCAAAACTGGCAATCCTCCGCTTCAGCAACAACACCATACGCCGATCACTTGCCCACAACCTCACCATGGACAACATCAACCTCAACCCCATCGCCCGATCCCTTCGGACCACCTACCCCAACAAACATCTTTCCAGGCGCAACCTTGCCTCTCCCCGGGAAACAATCAAACAACACGCCCATCTACGCCGCCGCAGCCATCATACCCGTTGTTGTCCTCGCTCTCACGGCCAGTGTGATCTTCCTCTGCGTGCGCAAACGAAAGAGACGGCGCGCCGCCGCTCTAGCTGCCGAGCGCGAAGTCCAAGAGATGAAAATGACGACTCCATCTCAGATATCACGACGATATGGGAATGAACATGTGCAACCGTACATCGCACCGCCGCTTTCACACCCCCCTCCGGTATTACCAGCGATCTCCGCGTCCCACCACCAACAACAACGTAACAGCCACCTCCTCCCCCCAACATCCACACCCTCAGCCTTCCACCCCATCATCCTCGGCCCAATTGGGGGTTCTTCTTCCAACAACGCTTACCTGACTGGCATGGATACTTCGGACATGGTCTCTGTGTCTTCCAATACGCTGAGGCCGATTGAGGATCCTTTCGGCGATAATAGTAGTTTGAGCGAGCCGCCGCCGCCGTATCGGCCGTGTAGTTTGCCGCCGCCGAGTTTTACTACAGAGAGGGGTGCACCACCGAGTTTTACGAGTGGGAGCGGGAGTAGGGGGAGTAGTATAATGGAGGGGATAGAGAGGGAAGTCGGTGGTGGTGAAGGTGGGATGGGTTCGAGGGCGCATCTTATTGAAAGGAGTCCTTTTGATGATCCGGACGATAGGGTGTCTGAAATATCAGGGCCGACATTTGGGAGGAATGGGGAGGGTGCGGAGAGTGCTGTTAGTGATCTTGAGTATCAGAGGGAGACTTTTGATGAGTTTAGTAGGAGGGGGTTCTCTTAATTAATTAAGTAAGGCTGTAAAGAGGGGAGGGGCTGTTCTTTTTCAATGTGTACATAGTGTTCAAGGAATTGATTGTATTTTGTTCATCAACTTGCCTGCTTCATGCTCGCTCTAGAGCTATTCGATTTGGTACTCTGCGTTCACGGCAAGTATTGTAGAAATCCAAAAGCGAAATGCCACGAGCATACATGCCATGACAGGAGATTCGAATACGCGAAACATTCCCATACTACCTGAGTATGACGTACCTCCAACAAGCCACTCATCTCGCCTAGCCTCCTCACCCGTCTTTCCTAGTAACACCTGAGACAGCCAAACGCTCAACAATCCGCAACCAATAAACTTAGCATGGTCGGAGATACCGGTGAACTAGGAGTGCACTATCTTTCTCCTGAACTACACTGATCTTATCTCGCACGAACGATGTGGAGGTGGCGGCGCGCTTACTGTAGCCAGCAGGTGGGAATGGTTCGCACAAGAGTTGCTTGAACAGCAATCTGGTACCGAGACGATGTCGTGGGGACGCTACAAGATAGTTTCGCGGGTCCTTCACCAATCGCCGCCTCGGGATGGAAGGAATGGGAAAGCTGAGGGGGACTTAAACTAGACGAACGGTTTGAAGTGGAGGAAACGATTGGAAAGAACGATTGGTACCTTGCATGAACAGGGCGGCGGCTGTGCGCTAGGGTGAACGGCTATCGAAAAATCCAGCTCACATGTTAATCGCAGCGGGTGTTGAGATACGAGGGGAGGGGTGGAATTTGGTTTACCCCGCGATTCAGGAAATCTCGTATTGGAATGTAGATCTACATTCATTAAGCAGGACAAATGATTAAAACAATACTCACACATTTCGCACATTTCATGCAGGTTGCGAACATGCATCCATCTTTGGGGCCAAAAGCATGCCTCGTGGGGGAAGCTATGATAAATGCGGCAAGTGCTATCGTGGCCCATTTCTCCGCTGCCCTGCCGCAGCAGGATTGCAAAATCTAGACGTACCTCGGACCATGATTCGCCGGGAGCGGGTAGCTTTAATCCAGGTTCATGGGATTTCTGGCATGATGACGGCTACATTAATTCGCTTTACCAGGTTGATCGCTTCGCTTTGCCAGCTGGCAGTTGCAATGACTTTTTTCTTGGTTGCTTATTTGTGGCCTGCGGCGCGGAGGGATTCCGTGTGGGGGAACGAGACAGGATTCAGGAGTGCATGCTGCATGATTGATGGAATGCTAGTATATTATCGTAGATGATTGTACGCTTGCTCAGGAGGTTGATGATAATAGACGTCGCTGAGTGGTGGGCGCTGTTTCGATGGGCCAGACGGATTAGCGTCGGCATCTAGGCATTGACCTCGTTGACCTGTCATTTCTGCCCATCTCATCCTTACGGCGCGCAGCACCCCAAGCCATGGTGTCGTTCGTTCCGTGTCCGTTCGCGACTTAGCTCATCGTTATGTTTGGCCCTATTCGCTGCTAGGCGCATAGCTGCGGTTGGGTGAAGCTTCGGCTTCCTTCGCCTGCCTGGCTGTGCGTGCTGGCTGGCTGCGGCGACGACAAAGAGCCTCTCTTCCATGCTTCCTCCCTGCCACGCCCACCCAATTATGACAGCCTCGCTATATCGCCCTCGCCGGCCCATGCACCTGCGGGCTCGGTACCTGAGCTAGACGCCTCCTAGGGCTCAGGAGACTTGGCCTAAGCCGCATTCCGGGTGCTGCTCAGGCGGTGCTGGCTGCGTGTTGCGGAGTGCTTGCTGCTGCTGCTGCCAGCTGCGGGTCACGATCGGGGACTATCAATTCTTCATCTTTGCCGAACTACAACCTTTTGCAACTGCAGCTTCAGTTTCCCCGGCCCCACTGCGCTGCCTAGTACGTGAGAAACCTTCGCCGTGCCTGGTCACCCAAAGCAAGCACAAGGTGCCTCTTCACAACCACGACGCTGTGCTGACGCCCTCGCTCGGTACCTGCTTCGAGCACATCTCACAACGCTGTCATATTCCCTGCTGCTGCTGCTGCTGCTCAAGTGTACTACCCAACAGGTCTCACAACTTCCCGTCTAGCTGCCTGCGTTTGCGAAAATCTCCCGCCGTCAACAAAGAAGTCCACCCAGGGCGCCTTTGTCTTCACCACCCGCCGTCGACCCAACCCCGCTGAACGCCCCCCGACCCGACGACGTCTTATATTGCTCGCTACATGGTTGGAAAGGAAGGACATTGTGTCAGGGCTTTGTGTCATTGGGCTTGCTATGAGTTTGGATCAGCACATATATGGGTACGGCTCTCTTCTACCTTCCCATGTGGCGGAAGACGTATAGCGTTCGGCTGGTGCAACGAGCTTCATCTGAATACCTCCGGTCGTCCTTGGCTTCATGTCATGTCGGACCAGACTATGTCCCAATCCAGGTCTAGGGTAGGCAGAGGTCAGGCAGCACCGCACGGTTGTCACTTGAAGCTCGTTGCCATCATCCCTTGCCATGCTATCCCAAGAATATCTTTCTTTAGACTCCTCCCGCTCCTTCCCGTTCTGTTGATAGATCTCACTTTTGGTTTTCTTCATGTCTCGGCTCGCATCTGCAAGTGCCCCAGGCTAACGTGGGTCGCGTGCTAGATCGACGGACTGGCATCTCCCAAGTCCATCCTCCACGCCCAAGTCGCTGACGTTCCCTGACGGAACTCTCAAAACACCAAAGACCGAGTCGTTTCCCCACTCGCACTTCCTCGACGCCTGGGCAACCCCACGACCTAATGGGCAGCACACCCCGGTGCAGACTCCTTCCTTCACACTCTCGACACCTATAGGCCGGCCGTCGAGCTCGTACAGCCAACCCGCCCGCACCCCAGAAGACCCCGAGTTCCATGTCAACCACTTCGCACCGCAGAACCTACCTCTTCCGCCGGTCGACGTGTCCCGAAGGCTGTCGTCCTCACCGGGCCCTAATCAGCTGAGGAAGGTTGGATCACAGGGACAGTTCGGGTCTCGTCCCGTCAGCATGGACTTTTCACAGATGCAAACGCCACCTCCGACGAGGGACGCTTCGTCTAGGAGGAGTGTGCAACAAAGTGGTGGACATGGGGTGGCAACACCAGCTACAGTGGTGCATAGGACGCCCAGCCAGCTGCCGGAATCCTCAGGAGCTCTCTTTGACCAGACACCGTTTGGCTTCGCTGATCTGCAGTACACTCCACATATGATGCAGTTCCCCAGCGGGGGTCCAATGTCTGCGCCACCCATGCCTCAATCGAAGCTGTTCTGGGACCCAGCAAACGATGGCATGCAGATGGACCTAGATGTGCCTCTGGGAGTAGACCCCTTCGGTCCTACCCCGCATAGACCGCAGCACGACATGAACTGGCAAGCGATGAACCACCCTTCGGCTAACATGATGCAAACTCCAGCGTTTCAGAGCTTCCAAGCATCTCCCATGCCAGCGTCATTTGCGAATACACCCTCACAGCAGAGACACGGCTCAAGAAATGGCTCTTTTGTATATACAGCTGCGGGTGTTGATCCCAACATGCTGCTCAGCTTCTCCAATCCCGATATGACTGGTTCTTTTGGAAGCATGCCGCAGCAGCCAATGCTCGACATGTCCAGACAACCCTATGAGACACAACTGCGGGATGCAGAGAATGAGAGGGCCATGGCGAAGAAGGCCAAGAGTCAACATTCACGCAGCAATACAGCCTCGTCGTCGGGTTCAGCGGAAAACGCGAGACCTGTGCTGCAACGAAGCAATACAGATAGCGGGACGAGGACAGCCAGAACACTTGCAATGGATCCTCGGGTAGCAATTCCGGCTAATGCTTCAACGATTCCCCGTCGCTCGTCGCCATTGAAGCGTCAAAGTGGCGGATCACTGAAATCGATACCTGAGATTAGAAGACCCCGGACACGGCTCATCATCGACGAAAGTGGGACGGCTCGCACAGAGACCATATCTACTCGAGAGGATGAGACTCCCAGGAAAAGCCGGCAGACTTCGCAGCAAGATCTCCGACGCCAATATCCTGGCTTGTACGAGGAAATCGACAGCGAGTCGGAAGACGATGAGCCAGCTCCGATCGTCAGCCGCAACCCATCCTTCGTCATACCACAACCCGAACGTCGAGCGATGAAACACGCGCGAGCCGACAGTGGCGGACTGGAGCGAGCGAATTCTTTCAAAATGGCGCGCTCCGTCTCCGCATCAAGGCTCGCACCCGACGCCCTCTCCAAGACCTCTTTCGAAACGCTACGATCAACGAGACGCTCCGCCGCTGCCGCCGAAAACACCATCCGTCGCTCCAGCGCCATGGAGCGCCCCACGCTCCGCGAACGAGAGCCCGAAGACACACACATGCCCGACTCCCCCGGCGACGCACTCGGCGCCTTGAAGAAAGTCGTCGGCGCCCGCCAACAACGCATCGGTACGCTAGCATAGCCATCTCGCTTCCCTCGTCTCCATGCCTTCGACTGACAAGTTCAGAACGCGCATCCCAAAACACACTCCTCGCGCATAATCAACGGTGGGCGCAGGCCTCAGCCGATATGTCCACGTCCCACCCTTCTCCATCACACAACCAACTTCACCAATTGCAATCGCACGGCGCTTACGATCCCTACTCTAATTCTTTTAACGGCTCGCCAACGACTACCACAACGCCCTCGACAGAGTGTAGTAGCAAGAGTAATGATAGCACGAGGTGTGTTTGTGATGGGTTGGTCGATGATGCGGATACGCTCATGGTGCAGTGTGAGGCTTGCTTCAAGTGGTTGCATATGGGTTGTGTGGGGTTGAAGGAGGAGTGGCTGCCTAGGGTGTTTGTTTGTGTGTTTTGTACGGTGGGGAACAGTAGGGTGGGGGAGAGTCCGTTGAAGGGGAAGAGGGGGGGTCGGCGGTGAGGGAATGTGGTGAAAGTCTGTGTAATGTACAGCCTGTTGCTGGATTGGACGGGAGGGTGATGGCAGAAGCTTGCTGTGCGAGCTTTTTGGAAGCATGGTGCATGAGTAATGGAATCTATGAGACGATGTTTGAATGATGTACAATTTCGGTGTTTGGTATCTATGGCATGAATAGAGTTTCTGGGAGAAGAAGCTGCGGATTGGAATGGTGCAAGAATAATATCACGCGCAATTACATGGGCCATGGCTGATACACCACGTCTATACCACGACCTATCCGTCTTCTTGAAAGTATAGGCTGCTTGAGACACCTCGATCCTGCATCGCTTCGCCACACAAATCCTCACTCTCAAGTCCTTTCTCCAGATGTGTCCCCAGGCCTGGTGTTGTTCGCAACCTCGGCATCCATGGATGGATGCGTGCACCACGCCAAAGCGATTGCGGCTAGCGTTGACAGTCCCCCAGCCATGCTGGCAACCCTAACTTCTCTGGCCAACTTGCACCGAACCACCACACAACCATTCTAGAGACGCCCCCAAATCAATACTCATGTACACGATCTTTCTGTATGTCGGCCGCCAGGCTACCCGGCGTACACGTGGCCACCGTGGCTGGATACCCAAATCGGTGGTCACCGCCGATCTCGCCGCAAGTCTCAGTGAGAGACGACGAAGCGGCTTTGGAGACGTTTACCGCAGGCTTTTGGTGAGGATGGGCTGGCTGTCAGACTTACCTGTAAATATCTGAATGGTAAAGTCACAATTGAATCGCGCTTGGGAGGATACCTAGGTATTATATATATTGTCGACCTTTGACGCCGGGCTTGTCTTCGAGCCTCCCGATTCTCGCTCAATCGAGCCACGATCGCGTCATACTCGCGGTTAGGTAATACGATCTGTTCGTCCGTCAAGGTAGACCAAAATTATGTAGGGTATTAGCATACTTAGTCTCTTTGTAGGAAGTATAATCATATATCAAACATACCCGGTCAGTTACTGGTGCAGCGTTGATTGCAGGCGTGGTCTTGATCACTGCCTTGGCTTCTGGCGCGAGAACACAGCGTACATCTGAGACCATTCCTACTATCAGATATACCATGAGAGCGAAGAAGATGAGTTTGGTGAAAAGAGATGCCACTCTCAGTATTCTCATAGCGCGTTCGTGGTCGTCCTTCGCGCGCTGAAGTTCTAGTCGAAGATGCTCCTTCTGGCACTGGAGGTCAAACTGGGACTGCTCTTCAGCCGTTCGAGTTCGAGGGGCTGGAACAAGCCATGATGACTTTGGTATTGATGAAGTGGTCGGTACGTAAAAGGGGAGCTGTTCGTCGTACATGACTGTGTATTCGTAAGCTATAGCTTTCGGTGTCTAAGTTGTAGAGGTGGGAATGTATAGCTAAGGTCAAAGTGCAGGAGAGTGCCTGATTGTGTATACGAGGTGCGAGGGCTGCGCCACAGGTGAACCGTGGTAGATTGTGGTTCCGCTACAACATGTTCAGTACTGTTATGATACCGATCATCGCCATTCGATGGAGCGAAGTCCGGCTACCGGACTAAAGCTCGTCCTGCTATGCTGCCTGCCTAAATGACTACACGGAAGTTTTTGCATTCGTTGATGGAGGATATCGCTCATTGTAGCTGTCCGGGTCAGTTCTGGGGTGCTTGTGGCATTGGTACCGAAGGCAGCGTCGACCTTAGCCATACTACGAGCTCAAGGCGCTAAAGCCAGCGACAAATCATAAGAGTCACGATGCCGGCGATGCGTATGGTGATGAAAGAGAAAAGGGTATGTCGCTTGCAGTTGCCGTGCAATAAGCCGTCAGCAACCCCGGACTTTCGCGCCAGCTATGACGCTTCGGTCGATCTTCACCCCGCATATCCATTTATCCTCCAACACGAACGCTACTAAACCACGCGCAGCCCGCGTCACATGCGCACCGTTGCATCAGCATATTACTACGACTAAACGATAGCCCAATCGACGAATCATATGTGCTGTCAGGTCGCCGTGAGGTGTTGATCTCTACAGCGGGCCGACATTCCTGCACGGTTGTCGGCAACCGTCCCTCGGCTAGATGGTATGGGTGTGCTTTGGTGTGTCTTCGTCGCATGACGGACGTTGGACGACGTACATGGCGCGAGCTACCCCGGTAGATGCTTGGGAGTACGGGCAAGCTTCATATAAGTGGAAGCTTGGGGCCCCGCAGTGTTGCTTGTCGTCTCTTGTCGCTGCGCCTTCACCTTGACCAAATTCCAGCTTGACGCTGTCGCATTCTCTACGTCAAATCGACGATCGCATAGTTCGCAGGACGCGCGCGAACACGGTTATCAAAGCGACAATGGCTGACGATCGAAAACCTTCGATCGAGCATGTCTCGGATGACAAGATCTCGCCTACGACCCTTGAAGCTGGAAATGGAGTTGTGGATGGGCATCGCAAGCTGGTCGCGCCGCCGTTGGTTGCTGCTATGAGTGCTCAAGAAAGAATCGAAGCAGAGAAGAAGATGCGGCGGAAGATTGATACGAGATTGTTGCCGATGATCATCCTGATGTATATCATGAGTATGTCTTGGTACATGGCCGCGGGTGGGCAGCGCTAATAATGCGCAGATTATCTCGATAGGAACAACATCGCTGCCGTTCGTCTAGCAGGTCTCCAAGACGAGTTGGAACTCACGAGTGTGCAGTATCAAGTATGTACTTGCTGAACCCACCAGAAAAATCTCGCTGAATTGAGTAGACCACTGTCTCCATCCTCTTCGTCGGTTATATTCTTATGCAAATCCCGTCAAATTTGTTCCTCAACAAGACGGGAAAACCAGCCATCTATCTCCCGACATGCATGATCATCTGGGGTATCATATCGGGCGCTACCGCAGCATGTCAGAACTTCGCCGGACTAGTGGTGTGCCGTTTCTTTTTGGGATTTATCGAAGCCGCATACTTCCCAGGGTGTCTATTCTACCTCAGCGCTTGGTATACAAGGAAGGAGCTGGGTCTGAGAACGGCGGTCTTATACTCTGGAAGTCTGATCTCGGGAGCCTTCGGTGGGCTCATCACTGCGGGGATCACGAGTAACATGGATGGTACGCAGGGCTTGAGAGCGTGGCGTTGGGTGTTCATCATCGAAGTAAGTATTGCACATGCCGACCCAAGTGTCTGGAATGTTGGCTGATTCTCTAGGGTATCATTACCGTCGCGGTTGCCTTCGCCGCCTTTTGGATCCTACCCAACTTCCCTCGAACAACTTCCTGGCTCACAGAGGAAGAACGCCAGCTCGCCGTCTACAGACTCCAAGAAGACGTTGGTGAAGACGATTGGGTCTCGGCAGAGTCGCAAACATTCTTCCACGGCCTAAAGCTTGCGTTACTCGATATCAAGACTTGGGTCCTTACAATCATGCTTCTAGCCAACGTATCCTCGGCCAGTGTTACCAACTTCTTCCCAACAGTGGTCAAGACGTTAGGATATCCAAACATCGAGACACTTCTGCTAACAGCGCCACCGTATGTTCTCGCGGTCATCACCACCTACCTCAACGCATGGCATGCCGACCGCACCGGCGAGCGATTCTTCCATATCGTTCTCCCTCTCTGCGTCGGCGTAGCAGCCTTCATCCTTGCCGCCGCTACGACTGCAACAGCACCGCGCTACGTCGCCATGATGCTGATGGTCCCTGGTGTTTACACTGGCTACGTCGTGGCTCTGGCCTGGATCTCCAACTCTTTGCCTCGTCCGCCGGCGAAGAGGGCGGCAGCACTGGCTTTCATCAACGCGATCAGTAATACGAGTTCGATCTATGCAAGCTACATGTACCCTCAGCCAAAGAGTGGTCCGGCAGATTTGACGGTGCCCCTGAGTGTGGATTGCGCAACTGCAGCACTGGCCATTATTATGGCCAGTATTATGCGCATTATACTGGGGCGGCTGAACAAGAAACTTGCGCGCGGAGAACACGTGGAAGGAGCAATCAACGCTGTTCCTGGGGCTGCTGCTGAGCGGGGCTTCAGATTCCTGGTCTAGAGACTTGGGAGCTGGAGGTTGTAGGGTTGTGAGTTGGATATAGAGACGATTGGCAGGATTGCGCAATCGATTGGTCCCCTGTTTTACTTCTTTGCCACCCCCTTCTTCAGTCACCTCACTGGATGACGACGCGTACAGGTGCTGAGACAACAGTCCCCCTCTCCAAATTGCTTTTCTTCGATGTCTCAATCAGAACTACTCGTGACACATGTGTGAAGGCTGGTGAGTGGCTGGATGCTGACTTGGCGAGATACTGGAAGGTTCCATTCCGTCATCGGCCCGAACAAGGCTTAGCGTCTATCACGAGCTCTGGCCACCTGGGCAGCGCGTCGCGCGACGACTCACCACGTTTTATCGCAGCCCATCCCAGCAGCACATCATCCGTCGAGGATTCAGCAGCACATTCGTACGACACATCACTATCGGCCCGCTTCACCAAAGTTGCAGATACACCTTTCATTGCCAGGAACCATAGAGTGAACGCCTTGCGATAGCTAGCGTCACACTCTGTTAGCGCTCTGTGCACACACGATGCACCTCCACGCGACCACAGGAACAGCGCCGATTATTCAACGCAGACCTTGATCGCTTTCGCGTCGCAAATCGCACAACATCAATCACTTCGATACTGTGTAACTTTCGAAGAACCAATCACCACCATCACTCAAGGCAACCACGCGTTGTCAGCTGACGCCACCTGCATATCTTCTGCAAACTTCAACCCCAGCTTTGAACCATAACATCATTATGGATTTCTCGAATAGTGCCTTTAGGGCTATTCCAAACTCTAAAGTCTCCGACGATACCATGTCTCACGCAAATCTTGTCATGGCATGTCGATGGGGCTGGACGAGCACCCCGGACGACGGAGCAAACAACCCATTCGCCTCTTCATCTACATCTCAACAAACACCCGCTTCAACATTCAACAACGTCCGGACGAAGCGTTTCGCGCCGTGCCAGGGTCGTCTCTACCACCAGCTACTCTGCTCTCACCGTATTCGGACAGACCTCGTTGAAGACTGTGGCGAGAACTGCATCGACCCGTATGGCGACAGGGTCGACGCTCCCTTCATCTGTAATGAATGCATCCAAGCCGAAGCAGCAAAGATTTGGGAGCAACGGCAAGCGGCACACAACGCCACCTACCCTCCCATGGGACAGATGAGTACAGAGCAATACGAGCAATGGTATGCCGAGCACCGACAGCTCGAAGCAGAGTTCTCGAGCGACCAGCGAGCGTACGAGTTGGACATTAAATCTAAGACGCGACCGAGCAACATCTGCTCTGCGCTGGAAGCTAGCAAGGAGGAGATGGACTTTGCGACTGAGCTTGACACACTATCTCTTTCTTTGATGGCGTCAAATAACTCAAACGCCGAGCAAGCGCCTTACCAGCCGCAAGGACGTACTCGAACGAGTCTGGCGACAGATCCTGATGAGCAGCTTCACTGGAACTTGAACACGCTTGCTTTGGATCGCGGCGCATGTGGTATTGAGTACTCGCAGCCGAGTAACGGCGTGTCTCCAACGCGGCAAATGGATCCGGAGGAGTTGTGGAGGAAGCCACGGAATTGAGAGCTCGTACATCATGGTTGGTTTAAAGTATGTCGTGTCGTGTCGTGTCGTGTCGTGTTGATTAGCGATTGCATAAGTTTGGCGTATGGAAAACTTTACGCATGTGGAAGCGTTAGTGTAGGACTTTCGTGTAAGCAATACATGTCTTGTGTAGCAACTCTGCTATCTAAATGGACCTCAAGTCTATCTGTACCGCGTTTTCCAGTGATTTGCATGAAGCTGCGCAGCGACACGAAGATTGTGGTTCAATGTGGGGCATAGTGATGTGTCAAGGCATTAGCACGACGCACACTACCCCTCAAGCGAAGAAAGCACACGCCCGATGGAAAGACTGCCTGGCTTTCTCTTGGTAGGGCGCTCTTAGTCAAGAAGATCGGCTTCGAGATTGCTGTAGCATCTGTTTCACTGGGAATATAATCATTGCGCTTGCAAAATTCCCTATCGAAATGTATTCGGAGCCTTGGCGCAATGGTAGCGCGTTGGTTTTCGGTCAGAAAGCATAAACACCAAAGGTACATTTCACCAATCAGATCTCATTCCAACAGTATCTAACAGTTCGATAGGTTGTGGGTTCGATCCCCATGGGCTTCGTCTTCTTTTTTTTGTCCTCTACACTCTTCCGAAGCATAGTGAGGCTGCTGAAGTTTGGAATGTGGCGGAGAAGGATTTTTTGGTCTTGCAGGCCACTACCCCGCAATTATCCGTACAGTAGCGAAGTATGTACGCAGCTAGCTTTCTCTGCGCGCAGAAGGCTTGGTCTTAATCTTTGGATCCTTTTCGCTCTTCCAGAGTAGATTGTGGCTATCAAATTCTAGAGATGCATCTTCCGCTGGACGCACGTGTTGCAGAACTGCGTCGCAACCAGCCTTCCAACGGCAGATCGGCTGCGCGGGCAGCCTCGTCATTGCTTGGTAGGTTCTTGAGTATTGCCTTACGCTACTCTGATCATTCCTACTTAGATCTTTCTCTACCACTTCTCCAACATCGGTCTCACGTCAACCTCGTTAACCCATCCCCTGCGCCCCTGGGTATGTAACCCCCAATAGACCTCTGCAATATCCTCACTTCCAATACTCGCCTCTTCCGGCTTCCCCTCTATATATTTCTTCGTAAAGTCAATATCAATCACGCCATCGATGATCGCGTGCGCGACGTGCACACCTTGCGGACCAAATTCCTTAGCGAGACTCGTGGATAGAGCACGTAGGGCAAATTTCCCGGTCGAGAAGGAGGACATTTGCGCATTAGACTTTACGCTGGCTGTTGCACCCGTGAAGATTAGGGTTGGTGGGTAGGTGCCGGCAGGAGGATTGGGCTGTACATGGGTGAGGAGGAGGGGGATGGCGTGTTGGGAGATGTGGAATGCTCCTTTTCTGGATGCGTGAGAAGCGCGTTAGTTCTTGATACCTATTGAAGGATGGAACGAAAAGACTTCGGCAGTAACAACATACACGCTAACCTCCCACCCCATCCCAAACTCCTCCGTCGTCAATTCCAGGAATGGCTTTCTAGACGGCCTCGCGCTTGCATTAAAGATCATCGCTGCGACAGGCGCCCCGCCATGGACTTCTTTGATCTTCGCAAACGCGTTCTTGACGCTCTCTTCGCTGCTGACGTCCGTGGAAATGCCGATAGCCTCACCACCGGACTTGTTTATTTCTTCGGCGAGAGCATCGAAGTTAGAGGGATTGCGGGCTAGAAGGACGACGGGGTAGGATTTTGCGAAGCGGCGGGCGAGGGATGCGCCGGTGCCTGAGCCGACACCCGCGATAATGGCGATGGGTTTGTTGGCCATGGCTGTTGCGCTTTTGAGGTCGGTATTGTGAGAGTGGGATAGAAGCTGTAGGAAAGATGGGTCGTCCCGATTCTGTTTGTAAAAAGAAAACATGAGTTTATATTCCAGATGGGCAAGGAGAGCTGAGGTTATGAAAGGTACGTTGGATAGCTACGCAGCTTCAATGCTTCGTAAGCATCACGATGCGGATGCAGTTCGAAGTGAAGTCGATCAGTAATCTGGGGTACTCTATACCTAGGTATTCTATAGCATCTTGTTTGTAAGCGCTAGCTTCAATCCTGTGTACGGTGTTACTCAGCAGAATCCCATCTAGGTAATGGGTCATTCTGTGGGGTAAAGCGCAAAGCGTGAGGTCCGGAGGAAGTTCAGACCGTTTACGGCCGTAAGTTATTCCCATTCAATCTCCCGAGGTCATCAGTCGTATCAGTCGCTGCGCTGTAGGACGTCTTTGATGTTGTCTACGTCAGTCCTCAACCCCTCCCTCACGATCATCACCTAGCTGCATGCTAGCGGTCGCAGTAGTCGCCATCTAAATACTAGACTTTTGAAGTGTCAGTGGACAGCGGTCTTTGCTGGGCAGTTAGACCTGCAACATGTCTGGTGCATGTGGTAAGTCAAAAGGGATGAAGGTGTACCCGGACTTCCGCTCGCACAGCAATGTGGCCTGTGCATACCTATCCAGGTAGCTACACGTCCACGCGTCCGCATGCCCCAAACTCTAAACATCGCATCATTGCACACGCTCCAGAACTCAGAGTGAAGAACGCGCAAAATATTTACACGGCATACTGTCGACGCCAGCGCGACGAAAAGACTGCATCGTCATCTTTACCCTGCCGTACGAGGTGCTATCCTCGCCGCTCCGCGTCGGTCGAAATTGACGGATCGACGGATGTCGCAATAGTCATAAACTCTCGATAACTGCGATCCCCGCTTCTCGCACTGGAATCCGAGGTCAATCGACATGTACATTCGGGCGCGACCACTAGTCAACATGTACCCATCAGATCGGTCCAGACCTTACCTCTGCCGGCGACTATATAGATTGTCGTACTCCCACAGCACCAAGACGTGATACGCATCAATCTCAACATCTACAAATGGCATCTTTCGTATATAACAGCGCTTTCCAGTGCTGCGTACCCAACCCGCTGACCCCCCGAGGAGAAGGCGAAATACCCACCCCAGAAGAAGAAGCATTAGCTTGCAAGATCAACCGCGCTCTGGCGTCTGGACCCATATCCATCACCAAGAATGCCACCATTGCAGACTGGAGCCACTGGGGCCCCGACCGAAAACTGGTCATATTACGAGAGGGAACAAACCACTGGACAGCCTTTCCTGGAAATGAGAACACGGTCGGAAACGTCCCAATGTGCGCCGACCCCATGGGTCTCCAGTGGATCCAAGATGCCTATGCCGCTAAACCAGCACCCACCAACACTGCGCCAGGTCTCATATATATGTTGTGCGGAGCGAATCAGCACACTACCACGAATCCAGCAGATAGATCGAGTCCGGCTATCCCCATCGGGCCGCACTATATGATACTGTGGCCTTTTGAAGCGGAACGTGATGGGTTTCCGGATACAATCCGCGATCAGGGTGCCTGGGTCATGTTCGACAAGACGCCGTACGCTCATTTACACGTTTGTGGTTCACCTTGGGCTGGGAAGGAGTACGATAGGGAGAAGACGAAGGCGAACTGGGATTTACGTTACGAGGATAGGACTTGAAGATGGCAAGATTGATGAAAGTGGGCAGAGACGTATGTATGTTGTACTGGTATTGCTGTGCCTAATTCATTAAGGAATCCCCCCATGAATCTTGCGCATTCTGAAAACTCGGGAATCAGATCAATCTCACTTCAAAGGTAACGCTACGATCTACTCGTGCCTAAATATGATACTGCGAACACCCAGTATCCATAGATTTACATTCCCTCAACCCTTTAGCTTCGATCTTCTTCTTGTAGCTAACGGACACAGCCTTCTCAAACTTCACCTTTCCCAAGCCCACTTCGCACCAGAGGGAGTGCTCTTGCTTGTCGAAATCGTCAACTGCATTGTAAGCTTTTTTGATACGCTCTATAGTGGCATATAGGTTTTCTGGATATGTGCCTTTTGTGTCCTCGGCCCGGCAGTCATCCATGAATTTGCGGTGCTTGTGGTGAAGTTCAGATGCATAGCATGTAGGACAGAGAAAGTTTGGCTCGGCGTTGGTGGATATGTTGACGTCTCGGCAGTTTGGTGCGCATTTTGACGACTCTTTTAGGTGGAGAAACGAAGCTTGGACGGTGTGACCGCAACATAGGATGTGGACTGGTAAGCCGTCGCAAGGGTCAACGCGCTCTGCGATGAAGTTTGGAGCCATGGTGTTGTTGATGCTCTGCTAACAATTTGGTGTTCTATACAGGAAAGGCTTTCTGGTAGATAGACCGTAAAGGTACGCGCTCGACTTATATTTACTCGTTCAACGGCGCTGTGAATGTAGGGTAAAGGATTATCAATACACCCTGTCAAGGTCACTTTATCGTACAAAGCGCTGAAGGTCTCATTGAGCGACAATTTTACTACATTCGCATGGCTGCTGCTGTATAATGACATGAATGCCGTTGAAACATCATTGTCAGAGGAGTTTTAAAGAGCGAAGAGCGTCATGAAGCGAGCGTAATGGAGCGGCCACTGCATGGCCGCAAACCGACTGTGAAGCTTCCGAGGTCCTCGAGACAAGGAGCGCCTGAGGAATCATGTTTCTTCGCGCGCAAAGATTGGTGGCACAGCATCTCCGATATTGTATTGATAGTCCCGAATTTGCGATGATGAGATAAGAGAGCGATGTTGAGGGCGCAGAATGTTGGTAGATCAGAACGCAGAGCTCTTCCGAGGTCCAGGGCAATTGGCGAACACACACTAAACATAGTACGCGTTAGCGCGGAATGGACTTAAGACTGTCAGCTGGCTGCAGTGAGCCAAGACGTCCCTTCACACGCACAGATATGTACTACGCAACAGCAAACATCGCCTTCGAGTGTGGCTCAGCATCATACGGTGATTGCGTCGGTCTTGTTATCGCATGCTTCCTGCCTTCACCCATGGACCAGACACTTTGATTACTATCGTTGCTTGCCATCGACCTGGCGCCAACCAAGAAATTAACAACACTAATACAGAACTTCTGGGTCTTCTCATATCATAATGCTGGGCGCGCGGACATGTTGCTCGATGATTGCCTGCCATCGTCATGTCATCTCTTTGCATGCCAAGCTTACCTAGGTACCGGCGACGGCATCAAACCCTGGCCTCAACAACAATCCCTATGGGATGAGTGACGCAAGCCATGGCAGTGCAAATTAATGGAGGCCAGCTCTTTGGTATATAAGAACGCTATCTTGCAATCGTAAAGAGCACCACACACCAGCTTTCGCATCACTGCCACCGACCATCACACATTCGACAGGTTCAGCCTCCAGAACATGACGGGACCCACTTTCACATCTGTAGCCTTCATGGCCGTCCTTCATATGCTTCCTACCGTGGCACAAAACATGTCGTATGGAGCCGACAACTTCTATCGCAGCGACAACGTCACGATGTGGCCCATCACCTTCCCGAGCCAATACCAGATGACTGTCGCTGGCAACCTCTTTCTACCAGATAATCTCGATCGCGCCATGAATGCGTCTGCTATCGTTGTTGGCCATCCAATGGGAGCTGTGAAGGAACAGAGCGCCAACCTGTACGCTACGAAGATGGCAGAGCAGGGCTTCGTCACGATCTCAGTCGACGTCTCGTATTGGGGCGGCAGTGACGGCGAGCCACGTAATGCCGTTCACCCAGATGTCTACGCTGAGAGCTTTAGTGCTGCAGTCGACTACCTGGGCCTCCAGGACTACATCGACCGCGAGCGAATTGGCGCCATTGGTATCTGCGGCAGCGGCTCCTTCGTCCTGAGTGCAGCGAAGATCGACCCGCGCATCAAAGCCGTCGCTACAGCAAGCATGTACGACATGGGTGCCGTATCTCGCAACGGATTGCAGCGATCTCAAAGCCTCGAGCAACGCAAGCAGGTCATCGCGACCGCAGCGGCGCAGCGCTGGGTTGAGGCCAGTGGTGGAGAGACGGAATACACCGGCGGAACTCCTCAGGTACTCACCAACGAGACTGATCCAGTGGGACGCGAATTCTACGACTTCTATCGCACGTCTCGCGGAGAGTTTACACCTGCGGGCTCAGCACCAAACCTCACCACGCATCCAACGCTTTCGAGCCAGACCAAGTTCATGAACTTCTACCCTTTCAGCGACCTTGATAGTATCTCTCCTCGTCCGGTGATGTTCATCTCCGGCGATATGGCACATTCCCGCGAGTTTAGCCAGGACGCATACGACGCTGCTGCGGAACCGAAGGAGTTGGTTTGGATTGCGGGCGCCGGCCATGTGGACCTGTATGATCGCGTTGACCTGATTCCATTCAACAGACTCACCGCGTTCTTTCAGCAGAACCTGAGTGAGTAAAGGTGAGATAGGCTATCGGCGGCTTCGACATAACAATCCAAGATGTAATTTAAAGTACTTGTGTGAGGTAGACAAGTAACGCAGTAAATTCAGAACCTTCAGAACAAGACAAACATTTCTAAATCCTTCGCTCAATGCGTGCAGCATCTTCAAGTTTGCCAACTTGAACACCTCAATCGATGCGAGCTCGTGAAGTGAGAATTCTGGCCCAGGAAAACGGTTTCCTTGCGGCGACAGCCGTCGAAAAGGCGATACTGGGCTTTGTAACGAGGGGTTTCTCAGCTTCCATTACCGATCATTCGGTCCGTGGAGCTGCATGTAAGAGACAGGGTAATAGAGAGCCATCACGACGGGTACTGCGATGACGCGTTGGCCTCTTTAGTGAAATAATTTGACATCTTGTACACCGACGTACAAACCTTCCACAGCCAGCGCGAAACAAGGCTACATCATAATCAGACCTAAAGCGCATAATCCCGAGGTCAACTTTGTTGTGATAACCCGCTGTTAGGAACATCGTTGGGGATTCGGCTAGTCATATCCTCCCGACTGCGCGGGGCTACCTGACGAAACCGCATTAGCCCGCCAATCCCTACCTTCTTCCGTTAATCCAAAGGGTCAACAGACAGGAAGCGGATGGCGGTAAGCGATTTAAGCATTTGCTTGGTGGCGCTTAAGATACCGCCAATGTCTTTGCATATTGCTTCGCTTGCTGCTTCTTTGTTTGCTTTGCGAGGCTGTCTTTCCTAAGAGAACAGGCAAGCGAACGGCAAAATGGCCCTTCATACCGACGTTGAGGCGTGCGAGAAAGACCTGCAGAAGATTACGGTAAGAATTTCTTCATAGAGACCTTCTAATGAGTTGCCGTCTAATACTGTTCATAGGGCTCGCAGCATTCTCAACACAGCAATGCACCAGAGAATTTTGATACCACAGCAGTTCGCGCCCTTGTCTGGAAACAAGACCTCCGCATCATTCCTCTCACAGCAGGAATCTACCTCCTCTGCTTCCTCGACAGATCCAACATCGGCAATGCCAAAACTCTCAATGCCAACGCAGGAGAATCTCTCCTCCAAGAAGCCAACATGACCAACTACCAGTACACCATTGCGCTCATGGTCTTTCTTGTCGCTTACGCCGTCTTCGAAGTGCCCAGCAACTATTTCTTGAAGAAATTGAAACCCAGTCGCTGGATTGCTTTCCTCATGTTTGGTTGGGGTGCATGCACGATCGGACTTGGTGGTGCGAATAACTATGCGACTGTTACGGCTGTGCGGTTTTTGTTGGGTATGTTTGAGGCGGGACTGTTTCCAGGTTTGGTTTACTATTTGACGTTTTGGTATCGTGCGCAGGAGAGGAGTATGCGTGTTGCTATTATCCTGGCGAGCGCGACGCTCGCGGGTGCGTTTGGAGGTGCGATCGCATATGGCGTTGGGCACATGAAGCACGTCCAGGGTCTCTCTGCATGGAGGTGAGTCGTCATGCATAGCACGTATACGACATATATACTGACTTCTCAAAAGGTGGCTGTTCATCCTTGAAGGCATCCCTTCCTGCGTCTCGTCCGTAGCCGTCTGGCTATTCTTGCCGGACTATCCCGAGGAAGCTTCTTGGTTGTCGACATCCGAGCGAGAGTTGGCAGTTGCGCGGCTCGAGAAAGAAGGATCGAAAGGCAATGCGCCGTCGTTGAACTGGAGAACAGCAAAGGCGACTATCCTTGATGGCCGACTCTGGGTGCATTACATCATCTATTTCGGCATCTCAGCGCCGTTCAGCTCGCTTTCTCTCTTCACTCCGACGATTACTGCTGGGCTAGGTTACGAGAACCTGCAGGCGCAGCTCATGACAGTACCACCCTACGCCGTTGCATACGTGGTTTCCATCGTCACAGCTTGGTCATCGGACTACTTCAACGCCCGCGCATTGCACTCCGCTGTCTTGGCTACCATCGGAGCGATCGGCTTCCTGGCATCCGCCCTACTTCCAGCTGAATCTTTCCATGCGCGCTATGGATGTTTGATCATTGCAGCTAGTGGAGCTTTCTCTTGCATTCCGCCATTGCTGGGATGGCTGAGCAACAACATGCACAGCACTGCTGCTGCGGGTTTAGCAATTGCATTGAATGTCTCTTGGGGAGCTCCGGGTCAGATTGTTGGCGTGTGGATCTACAAAGCGAACGAGAAGGAGCGAGGATATCCTACAGGCCATTGGACGAACTTTGGAATGTTGGTCATGGTCGCTGTCGGCTGTGTTGGATTGAGGTTCTACTATCAGTGGCGAAACAAGAGGTTGCAGCGTTTAGGACCGGATGCGACGGGCATTAATAGAGAGTTCAGTTATTGATCTGGGTGTGGATAGTAAGTCATTCAATTCTTGGCGAGAGCCTGAGAGCCAATCTCGGCCGGACACACCCATGGATAAGATCAGCATCACTGGAGGTGGCTATGATTCGTGTCGCATTCTAAAAGATCATTTCGGAGTAGTGGAGGATACGTTGTCCCAGAAACGCTCTGGTTATCAATATTTGATGATATGTATGCTGCTACGCGAGTCCTAGCCACCCCTAATGGCATAGTTGGTGCTCAATATGATTGACCATCTCATGCATGCGACTCCACACGCTCAACACCATTCTGCTTCTCATACTGCATCGCAGTCTCCGTCAAAGCAGGCTTCAGTGAATCTGCTGCTTCACGCGTGAACTTGCGTGCGGAAACCTTGTGCTCGAACATGAGATCGAGCTCAGAGTAGGTGAAGCCCTTTGCCTCGGGAAGACGGAAGTATCCCCAAAGGATGAAGAGAAGCGCGATACCAGCCCAGAAGAAGCCACCCTTGGCGCCCCAGTTCCAGTCGTTCTTGCCAACCATCTTCGGCATGATTGTGTTTGTGACGAAGACGATGGAGTTGTAGGAAGCACGAGAGAGGGCGACGGTCTTGACACGGAGGCGCGAAGACGGTATTTCGGCGGCCAGGGAGTAGCAGATGGGTCCGAGGGAGAGCTGGTTGGGTTAGCGTTTATCTCGATGATTTGCTGAACTGGGGCTTACCTGGAAGCAGAAGATCATGAGAATGATCAAGACACCTCCAGCAAGACTTGCACTCTTGTTAGTTGATGGTGCAAGGCCGATGAAACCGACGATCATAAGAATGATGAAGATGGCAGACAATCCAACGAGGTAGATAGGGCGTCGACCAAAGCGCGTCATGATCCACCAGGCGATGAAGCATCCAACGAGACCCAAGCAGTCCTGACCGATAGTAAGATGGAAGGAATCATCTTGGCTGAGGCCTACACCTTGCATGAACTGGGTTCTATTAAAGTTAGTATGTTTCTCCTGTTGGCCAGTAGTGCAGAGACTTACCCGAAGCCCATGAAAGGGACACCGCAAAGAGCTTGAGTGATGAAAGCCATGGCAGACACCTCAGTACGGTGTAGATCGCTTCCTTGGAACAAGTGCCAGTAGTTGGTTCCAGAGCCGACTTGCTTCTCGTACTGGTCGGTGACAACCATCATCTCCACGTGCGCATCAAGGTCGAACTCGATGCCTTCAGTGGGTGTCGTGATTTGACGAATAGCTTGTTTGGCCTCATCGATGCGGCCTTGTCGAACCAACCACCATGGCGATTCTGGCGCAAGGAAGGTAGCCGCGATGATGGGAATAGGCCAGATCCACTGGAGAGCGAAAGGAACGCGGTAGCCCCATTGGGTGGTGTTCTGCATGAGCCCAGTGAGGATTCCGGTAGACAAAAGACCGCCGATAACCCAGCACATGTTGATCCACGAGGTCATGTAGCCTCTGAGATGCATAGGGCAGAGATCCGCAGCATACGAAATCGCAAGTGTCTGGAAAACACCCCATGGAAGACCTTGGATGATACCTCCGACGAGGAACATCTCCAGTCCTGTAGAGAAGAACGGGATGAAGATGGCGGCTGTCATGAACACCATGCTGGCGATCATAGTCTTCTTGTATCCGATCCATTCAGTGATGTAGCCGTTGATGATGAGACCGAGAATGCATCCGACCTGTGCAGGTGTTAAAGTTCGTTCCGTCAACATCCTCATCGTGAATGTGCATACCTGTGTTCCATTGAGAATGATAGTCTGCCACCTCGCAGACACAAGCTTATTGCCATCCGCATCGACTTCATCGCCGAACCTGTTACGGAAGGGCTGGAAGGCGAAAAATTTGTTCATGAGACTGGTATCGTATCCCTCCATCACAACGCAGAGCGAAATGACAAAAGAAAAGACGATAGCCTTCCACCAGAACCTCAATGACTGTCGGACGGACATGTTGTGCTCATTGTTGATAGCCGCGTTGGTGTCGTCTCCGGTGTTGTGTCCTTGTGTCGAGGTGACCCTTTCGGCGGCCACATGGCCAGTAGTCTTCTCTACTGAAGCCATATCGAATTGAGTCCAGAGGATGCCCTGTATCAAAGATGGGTCTTCGGTGTTGGTGGGCTGAGAAGATGCAGGTCAACCACACGTACGGATCTGCGGTCTATATAGTCCCCAGCGATATAGTATGCATGCCTGACAGACGAACCCGTTACAGGAGTCAAATGGCTAGCCCGAGAGCTTGGGAGGCTAAGCCCCGGTAATGACCGAGATGGGGCAAGGCCACAATGACTTGCGGGGAAGGACATTCGTAACAAGAGTGCCCATGGGGAGACGAGGCGTCAAGTGCGCAAATGAAGCCAATCAGAACACCGACGAGGTTTGCCCGGACACCGGATCGCGAGAGAATTTCAAACCCGCCGCTAAAGTATTCCGATGCCAAGTGAGCTCTAGTGTTGCAATGAAAGCAAGGGCCTAGAAATAAGACTTGCAACAATAAATCCTCTACTCACATGACGCGCTTTACCGTAGCAAACGAATTCCAAGAAGACAATGGAAGTGACAGAATGCTGTAAGCAAGAATAAACGATTGGAACAGTCTTTCGCAGTATTGTTGTTGTCTTGTGAGAACTGCCCGTTGTCAGACCGAGCGTGTTTCCAGCTTCCGATGCACCACTAGAGCCGAGGTCAGCGTCTGCACGAGCCAAGCAGACCCGCCTTTTAACTCCAATCTGTTGCGAACTTTCCATATGAGTTTTCCACTCCCCAGATTCTTGCCCGACAAGCTATGCGCAAACCATCCGCCTGCCAAGCGTGCCGGTAAGCATCTCGCACGTTGTCAGTGGAGGCGAGTGCCCGCTAATTCGGTTGGAAGTACCCGACGCCGCAAATGCATCTACCCAACAGGCGGGCTCGCAACGGCATGCGAGTATTGCTTGTCACATGGCCTGCAGTGTCTCCAAGGCCCGCCAGAAGGAGGCTACTATGCCAAACGCCGGGCTAGACTTCAAGAACTGAGTCTGGCGCATCGCGCTCCCCCAGACCAAGCGGAAGCACTGCCGAATCAAGGTCATGGCGATCTGCCACCGACTGCCTTGAGGCAGGCGCTGGTGGAGCTATACTTCGACTACATTCACGACCAGTTTCACTCCATGTACCACAAGGTTTCGTTCATGGACGATGTCGTAAACGACCGAGTACCCTCTATTGTGCTTTTCGCGATATGTGCGCTCGCTGCCAGGTTTTCTACCGACAGTTTCTTCGAAGGAACAGATCCGAGAGAAAGAGGCGAGGTTTACCGCAAGGCAAGCGAGAGATTGTTCAACATGCGCGACCTCACGCCTACCACAATTCAAGCATGCGTTTTGCTGGGAGCATACGCTGCCGCGGGTGGTGAGACTGATGTCGAAAACATGTACTACAGCATGGGTGGACGACTTTGTCTGGCCCTTGATCTACCAAATCGACCCGTCGCAAGTCTGGTAGAGCGTGAAGTCAACATCAGAACTTGGTGGACACTGTGCATGGTAGACGTTTGGTCATCTACTGCGGTGAGATTACCGCGCATCATGCCGTTTGACACCGCTGTGCCGCTCCCAATCGATGAGATACCGTTCTCCATGATGAACGACGGGGATATCAGCGACCAAACGCACGGCATGACCTCGCCTCTTCTCGCGGAGATGGTCAAGCTCAATCGGATTCTGGCGAGGATCATTGACTTCAATCGGCTCTGCGTGTCAGAGCATCTCGAAGGCCTTCCGTTAGAGAGAGGGATACGCGAACTTTCCCGCGATCTCGACATCTGGTTAGAGGAAGTCCCGCACCATATGCGTGACACGCCAGCAAACCTAACAGCCTTTGCAGCGCGCGGTCTTGGGCGCATGTTTGTAGCTGTGTATCTTGGCTACTACCACTACGGGCTGCTTCTGAACTATCAGTTCTTGTCATCTTCAATCGAAGCATCACCAGACTCCGGAAGATATGCTGATGCTTGTAAGCAACATGCCGCCCGACTTTGCGCTCTCGTCTACCGCTCACAGTCTACGCCTGGGAGCGAAGTCTTGTATCCGGCGGTTTCACATATTCTCGTCGTTGCTTCTACCGTTCAGATCCATACCCTACTCTTTTCTGGTGACGAAAGCCAGATTCGCATCTCAAAGTCCAGATTGGAACGCAATTTCGAGATACTCTTACGACTGAAGACCTATTGGCCGAGTGTCGACGGTGCAATGAGTCGTCTCCGGGCGTTCCATCAAACCTGTCTCCGGAGCAAAGAGACCAGCTTCGTGCTTGATCGGTGGTTGTTGCGCTTCTTGGTTCAATTTGCGCCTCACATGGAGCTCGAGCCAAGGGACAACGACCCTGAGTACGAAGCACTGCTGGCATTAAGCAGGCAGTCCCCATTGTCGTGCTATTCGGGCCTGTCCATGTGATCATGCACGACCGAGATGCTGAACATCACCCTGCGAGACCTAGGGTGCGAGTATTGTAGCGACTTGGCTCATTACGGCTCAAGCGTGAAGACCAGGAGATCCATGGTGGGGCCGCGGCGGAATAGCTCAGGAAAACTGTGACAATGCGGAGCCCCATCAAAGCTTCAAGCTTGGCGCCAGGGCCTGCCGGTCCACACTTGTGATCCACTCGAGATGGTACACACGTGTTAAGCTGCTTAAGAGTCGATTGCGCTTCTCTGGGAAGATCAGGAAACGCCTTCACACTTCTATCATGGCTCTATCACGTAGTACCATCCTTGTGGTGACAACCTTGCTGGGCAGCGCGACAGCTATCAACAATGGCCTCGCCACTACACCACCAATGGGCTGGGTAAGATATATTTCCATTAACATTAATCTAACACTAACGAGAAAAGAACAACTGGAACGCTTTTGGATGCGACGTCTCCGAAGATCTACTCCTCACTACCTCCGCACAGATCGTAAGCCTTGGCCTGCGAGACTTGGGCTACAACTATGTCGTTCTGGACGACTGTTGGCAGAATCCAAAGGGTCGAGACAAGAAGGGAAAGCTTCAGCCGGCGCTTGATAAGTTTCCCAATGGCTTGAAATCCATATCAGACCGTCTGCATAGCCAAGACTTCAAGTTTGGCATGTACAGCAGCGCTGGTGAGATGACATGTGCGAGGTTTGGTAAGACAGCTCTAATGTGCTTCCTTTTTACAGTGTGCTAATATACACTAGAGGGATCATTAGACCACGAAGTCGACGATGCAGAGAGTTTTGCAAGCTGGGGTGTCGATATGCTGAAGTACGACAGCTGCTACCATATGGGTCGTGTTGGCACACCTTCAGTGTCATTTAACCGCTTCAAGGTTATGTCAGATGCTTTGAAGTCGACAGGAAGGAATATTCTTCTCAATCTGTGCAACTGGGGAGAGGATCTTGTTCACACAGTAAGCCTAACGAGATACCAGTACCTGATGAGGTTCAAGGGCTTACCATCTATAGTGGGGCATGAGCATCTCCAACAGCTGGCGTATCACTGGCGACATCTACGACTCTTTCTCTCGCCCCGATGATCTCTGCGGCTGCAACACCGTATCACCCGGCGACGTAAACTGCGTAGCACCCGGCACACATTGCTCAGTCCTTTTCATTCTCAACAAAGTTGCTCCCTTTGCCGACCGCAGCATCCCCGGTGGGTGGAGCGATCTGGATATGCTCGAGGTCGGCCAAGGCGGTATGACCGACGAAGAGTACAAAGCACACTTCGCTCTTTGGGCCGCCATCAAGTCTCCACTATTCCTCGGAAACGACCTGCGCAATATGCCCGCGTCCGCTCTCACCATCATCAACAACCCAGCCATTATTGCGCTGAGCCAAGATCCCCATGGACGCAGCGTAACGCGTGTTCGAAGGGACACGGAAGGTGTAGCGAAAGACGAGTGGGGCATGGGCGAGACGCACGTCTGGGCAGGCCACCTCCAGAACGGCGATGAAGTCGTAATCTTGCTTAACGCTGGTGGCGAAGACATGGAGATGAGCGTCTCCCTCGCTGAGATCTTTATCCCATACGGACCTGGTGGGTCAGCCCCACACGTAAAGTACGACTGGGCGATCCACGATCTTTGGGCCCACCGCATGTCCGAATCGACGGCGGAAGAGCTCCTCGCGGCGGCCTCGCACACGGAGAGAGAGACCATCTTATCAAAGGCCAACTGGTACAACGCCACCGAGGTCCCCTACGCCAAGGGTCTCATTCAAGAAGACCCGCGACTCTTTGGCGAGAAGATCGGTGTCGTTGAAGCTGGTGGTAGACTCAAGGCAGATGTCAAGAGCCATGCTGCTCGCGTCTTCCGTCTGCGAAGAATTGCGCCAGAGGACGATGCATTCGAAGCGAAGAGCATTTCGAGAGAAGACGGTAATGAGAGAGATGAATTGTAATGAAGAGATGATTAGTAAGGAATTCCTGGTAGGACAAGAGATAAGCTACCTTGATGGAAAGCATAAAGTGAAATAAATTCTTAGAGTTGCGATACTTCTCATTCGCAACATTTCGCGAGAACCGTGGAAGGTGTGGTTGACTCGTTGTATCCGGATTATCACAGTACCATGGAATGGAGTGGATGGAACCAGAGTATGAACTTCTGGATTTTTTCGAATATATAGCGATCTCACTCTTCGTTCTTCCTACACATCTTAACCCTTACACAAGCCGTTTTTGTGGTCTTTATCGCACAAAGCAATCAAATCTACACCAGACGCAGCTATGACCAAAAACGCAAAGGTCACATCTCCAGCTCGAGCCACATCCGCAACCCAAACGAGATTAAGCGCTGATCCAGCCTTCAGCATAAGAAAGAATGAAGGTCAGGCCAGATTAGATCTTCAACAGCAACCTGTAAAGGATCTTCAAGACCAGAAGAAGGGCTATGAACGCGAGGTGGACAGGTGTAAGGGCACGTACTTTCTCATTACGCTCCTCTTCTGCGCCATCGTGATATACCTCTTTCGGCAAGCTCCTCCGCCCAAACGTTGTGCATCTGCGCTAGAAGCACAGGCAGTCCAGATGAAGGCCACGCCTACTACAATCACAGTCACGCTACCCATAGCAACGAACGCCGCGCCGTCAATCGAGGCCGCACCAGCGATTAAAGCCGCCTCATCAACCGAGGCCGCACAATCAACTAAGCCGGTAAGCTTTGGTCTACAACCACTCTCCCTACAAAACACTCTAGTATGCTAATATCTCAAATAGTTCTGGACTACCTTGACCCACGAGCAGATAAGGTCTGTCGTCCGCGATTATGATAAGATTCAAGATCGATACAGAGACAACCATAAGACTTGGCAACAAGAACAAGATGCGAAGCGGAAGGCTAACATGCAACAAATGATCGCGCAGTGGGCGAAGAACATGGCAGAAAAAAGACGACGCGAAGAGGAAGCCCAAGTAAAAGCCAGCAGGGAGCGGTAGTCCTCGTACAGTTCGAGTGTGGATGTGTTGAGAACACCATCTCCGACACATACTCGTGACGTCACTCGCGTAAGCGCTCTTTGTAGGCCATTGCAAACCAACTAGATTGAATGCCTCCAAATTTTCAGTGTTAATACTTTTGAACCGGCCTTGAGACTTCCAGAGGACGGAGTGTGGTGTCAACATCGTTGTGGAACAACGAGCTGGACGCCTCCCAAACAGGCAACGCTTCTTGAGCTGTGTTTCGTACTCTAGATACTAACAACCCCATCGAACGACTTAGCGACATTACCGTTAATAAATCCAGGATAGGCTTTGCTAGATCTCCTACTCCATCCTCCCGGTGGGGTATGGATCGAAATATCTCCTACACTTGCCCAGCTTGCACATCACCTCACTCGATAGTCTACACAAGGCAACCTCCCATTGACGAAACCAGATCAAAAACATCATGAATACTCTCCTGAAAGAGCCACTCTGACGCCTCAGCCTAGTAAAGTGTACGGTGCTACATCGCGCTTAGGAGGATGCTATATGTTACCAGCCTTGTGTAACCCCGTCTCTTCTCTTCTCTTCGGCGCCGTGATATCATTATATCGTCAAACAATTAGTAACCATCCTTCCCCGACTACTATCTCAGGCCCGTGAAGTACCCTATCCTGATAACTCATCATGTGGACAATCTCAACGAATAGAAACTAGTCAGAGCTGGCGACATATATGCAACAGAGACTACAAAGATATTGTGGATTATAATATCAAAAGAACGCGGCAAAACTCGCAATGGCGATATACTCACAGATAGTCCCGTCGAACTATCATACCATTCTTAGGGCTTAGCACTAACGATACGGACGGATCTCAACGGATAGAAAACTTCAAGAGCGGCATATGGCTACGAGAGAATGCTTGTCTTCTTGAACAAGCGATATATCGAGGGCAAGACATTTTGCACGCAGGTGAATACCATGTATTTGTTATCAAACCGGTTTGCACAATCAAGATGCCGAAGCTACAACAATTGGATGAGGCACCAGCGCAGCAGACATCTCGCCAAACTCTCCGACAAGCGTGCAAGAAAGCAATCTGCATACAAGTAAATGTTACACGTTTAGAAGCAGCAGCAGAGCTGGCGGAAGTCAAAAGCTAACCTCGAGGATGTAATAAAGAAAGAAGGAGACACTCATACAGAGCTAAGACTATTACGGTGGAGTGTTAATGCAAAGCAGGGCAGCAAAACGCGGTCGGGTAACTCAATCTAATGTTCTCAATGCAGGTGTCTTTCCCAAACACAAAGCTACGACTATCTTATACAAGACTAGATCATGGCGTCTTCATAGACCCAACTGTGTATTAAGGGCGAGACATGCTCGACTAACTTCCAAGTTCTCATTCACAGCCTAGATTAGATAGTCAATTTCTTAGAACTAGTACCACTAGATACGGACAGTTGCATCATTCCTCTCCTGCAGGGTCGGTACTCGATATCATGCTGTAAGCGACTATAAGCAATTCTATAAGCAATTCTCATCAGTGTATTCGTTCATTTCTACATGATGGGTATAGGTGACTGTGTAGCTTAAGAAAATTTCGCTACATACACACTAATATACATGAAAAAGTCAATAGTTTCTGAGATGATGTAGACTTGTAGCTTCGGAAATCCCCTTCCAGAAGGCGATGGTATTTGTAGCCACCTCTAGTGCCGTCCGGCTCTGAGCTTGACTCGTTGGACCACTCACAACTGCATGCTCTCCACAGGTCGACGAACAGTCATACATCCTTCCATGTATTTCACATCAGTCATATCAGGGCTGTAGACTCCTGTGGTCATGTCTTTGGTAGGACAAGAGATTCATGGCCTTGGCAGAACGAATCCGGTGCGTGTCGCGTGGACAGTGAACATATGATTTTGTGCGAATCTTCCGGTACAACTTTGACTCCGAGTGCATGCACCTTCCATTCGTTCCCCCACCCCGACTTGGCGATGTATCGAGTTTACTAAGCTAGATGCTTAAGTCCGATGCATCATGTAAGCTCAGTCAGCTTTCTTGTGTTCTGCCAAGACAACCGAATAGCGCAATAGGAAAGAGTAGTAGAGTAACAGCGCCTCATGCCAAGAAGGCGTAGGAGACCTAATGCATGGCCTTTGAGATATTGATAACTGCGAGAATGTGAAGATAGATAAAGCTGCACATACTGACCGTATTATGGTGACCTACAGTCAATCTGCCCACCCTCCAGTATGAAGCTCGCCAGCATCATCAGCGCTTTTGCATTCACCTTACCACAGCTTACTTTCGCGCAACTATCAAACTTCGACGACTGGCAACATGAGCGCATCCAGCTTGACGACGTCTCAATCCACTTTCGCTACCACGGCGAAGGACCGCCCGTTCTGCTCGTGCATGGCTTTCCTCAACACTCGTTGACATGGCATACTATCGGACCCATTCTAGCGCAAAACTGCATGTCTTCGAACATCCTCGCTGATGAGAGAATCAAATACTAATGTGAAGCCAGACACGGTGATCGCCCCAGACATCCGCGGATGCGGAGAATCGTCCATCCCCACCTCCAAGAACTACACCGCTGCAGCCGCAGGCGCAGATCTCAAAGCCATCCTAGACTACCTCAACATCTCCTCCACATACGTCTTTGCGCACGATAAGGGTGTGGGACTGGCGACTTCCCTCGCTATCGAACACCCTTCGCTCGTCAAAGCCATCATCCTCGCTGAATACGTCCTCCCAGGATATGGATATCCTTTAACCGTTCAGAGTTCTAGTTTGTACCAAAATTGGCAGCTCGCATTCTTTGCCGTGCCCGATGCAGCAGAGTTCTTCATCCGAAACCGCGAGAAACAGATGTTGAGCTGGTACTTCTTTCACGCGAGTTATTCTGGTACGGCGGCAGTGAGCGAGGATCATTTGCAGCGGTATACGAATGAGATTGCGAAGCCGGGGTTCTTGAGGAGCGGTATGGAGTATTTTGCGGCGGCGTGGGATGATGAAGCGTACTTTACTTCGGTATTTGGAAGTGGTCATAGGTTGCAGATGCCGTTGTTGGCCTTGGGTGGTGAGGCGAGCTTTGGGCCCGTGTCGCTGTTGGAAGAGGTCTGGTCGCAGATTGGCGATGACGTTGTTGCTGAGTTGATTCCGAAGGCTGGACACTGGATTGGTAAGATCAATTTCTTGGACAGTGTCTTAGCTATCGCAGAAGAGCTAACAACAGCGCAGGTGACGAAAACCCAATTTGGACCGGCAATCGCGCTTTGCGCTTTTTCGAAGGAGCCGGGGAAGTGAGCAGCGTTGATCTGTCCTACCTCAAAGACCGAGTGACTCTACAAGGTGGTACCATATGATAAGAGGCGATCGCAATGTTGCACAATCGTGACATGGTGTAAGAGATTGGTGAAAAACACTTGAAAGTATTACTTGGTCTTGCGCGAGAGTGGATTGGCATCATGTACTAGGGCTACCTTCAAGTCCACTACGACGACGAAAGTCTTGTAGCCAGTTTGGGTTGTCTGCGACTGTCTGATTCCACTAGCATTGAAGTCAGCCTTTGTCTGGTACACGATAAGAAATCTGATGTTCTTACCCCATCATCCGGGTCCTGGTATAGCAATCTCCGCGACTCCCGTTGAAACATCTCATCCGTCGGTATGATACCTGACAACATCTGCTGTCTCGCAAAACGACTAAGGTGGCGCGTTAAAACCTTCGCAAAGTCATAATCGTGCTGGGTAGAAAGATTTCGAAGAGCTTCTAAAGAGTCCTCAAAAGCTTGATGGTCCGGTGTCTGGGTAACTTCTTTCGGAGATTCCTGGGCTGGTTCTTCTTCCCGTTGAATCTCTTCTCGTTGAATTTGCGAGATCATTTGCTTTGTATGGTCGATGGATCCTGGATTCGTTGCAGAGAAGGGTACAACGGTTTTCGCTTGTTCAGCAAGTAAGTAGGGCGGAAACGCGTTGATGACCCTGGCAGCCACCGCCGGTTCGAAATCGTGATCGCCTTTCCAATCGGCCATGGTTTTGCCCTCTTTGAAATGTGCTGCGAGGTGGTCTGCTCTCTCATCCCAGCTACTTATATTGGTATTGCATATACCACAACGACATCTTACTGGCATAGTCTCAAGTTTCCAGTCGTCGATGAGAGGTAGTGTTTCGAGTCCGTGGACTAGACGAAGGTGCTGTGTGAGATGATCTTTGCGGTGGAATATACGAGGAGTATTGTTACCGTCTGTGCATGCCGCATGGTTATGTTTCTGCAGATGTTGAGGTGTCGGATCTAATGCACTACAGTAGGCACAGTGTACTCTACCCGTAAGAGGTAGCACCACAGAAGCTCCATGCGGCGTGCACATCCAGCTTTCGAGGTTTAGATGCAGCGATATCTCGTGTCGCTTCCAGTCGTACTTGTGCTTGAAGGTGTCGCAGCAGAAGGTACACTTGAATATACGGTCAGGGTCCAGCATATTTCCCCTGACTCTGCCTTTGCTTCTTGTCTTGGCTTGACTGCGACGCTTCGATTGCGACGTGGCGGAGCGACTCGAATTCACGGATCGTAATGAGGATTCGCTTGCAGCGCTATCGAGACTCGTGGTTGAGGAAGGGCCGCGATATCTTCGGAACGCGTCGCCGCTGGAAGGCCGGCTGATACGCGGTGAATGGCCTATGGGCCTGTCCTCCAGGGCATGGTAGATGGCTGACAGAGATGCGGCTTCATCTTCGGGCGGCGAGTTCCGCCAGCGCTGAATGGCCAGTGAATGACCCTCTTCATGTCGAGGACTTCCATTAGGTATCGCCATCGGGCTAGCAGTACCCGTCGATCTGCGTTTGAAGTACTTGCTTCGACGACGCGGGAGTGTGTGATGTCGTTGCGCTTGTGGGCGCTCGTGGAACTCCGTCGGCTGGTATGCATCAAATGGATAACTTGGTGAAGTCATACCACTCATTGGTTGTAATGTATCTTCCAATGTAAAGTCATGGAAGTTCGGGTCGATTGCCAAGTCATCGTCGATGCTGAATGCGGCAGGAGCACCAGACGCAGCGTTAGTCGCATCCTGGCCGACATCTGTTGCGAGAAAGTTGTCGAACCACGAAGGGTCAATCGTATCTTCGTTCCAGGATTGGAAATTCCAGTCGTTCACTTGTTGATGATCCATGACTCTAGAAGTCGCGAGTGTTGTTTTGGCGATGAGATGACGATGGCTGGAATTGGATGTAGGATGAAGGCGTCAGCCCGAAGTCGGCGCCGCTACCAATGCAACCTTTACCAACTGATCGCGTATTGATCTAGGTTAGCAAGCGAATGCAGTACACCGCAAAGGATCTCGGGCTGTCTCTGGCCGACTTCTAGATATTGCGAGGCATGCAAGGCGTAGGGCGTGAGGTGGGGCAAACTTCCGAACGCGCTAGCCCCGCGATCTAGACATTTCTTCCCTCTAGCGCAAAAGGACCGGATGTCCACGACGCGACATAACGTGACCTGCGACACGATGGAAGACGAAAACGGCAAAGCTGTCGCGGAGCAACATGAACAGGTTCTCGAAGGTGTCTTTGGTAGGTGATTTCATTGTCTCCCATCCTCACCTTGTGGCTGACTCTATATAGCCGTAGCGAAACCTGCGCATGTCTCCTCAGCAGACGTCCTTCTCAAACTCCAGTCGACATTTGCTTCCTCAGATACATTTGAGCCACTGCTGAAGCACCAGCCCAAACGTACCAGCAAATCCTCGGACCAAGTATTCCGCCTAGGCCATGGCGGTACCCTCGATCCCCTGGCCTCTGGCGTTCTCATCGTAGGAATCGGGCGTGGCACAAAATCGCTGTCACAGTACCTAGCATGTACCAAAACTTATGAAACCATGGTTTTGTTCGGCGTAAGTACTGATAGTTATGACTGCACGGGAACTATCACCGAAAAAGCAGACACCTCGCACGTCACCCGTGAGCTAGTCGAAGAAAAGCTTCACAACTTTCGAGGAACGATACAGCAAGTTCCTCCAGTGTACTCTGCGCTGAAAATCAATGGCATCAAGGCTTGTGAGTACGTGCGACAGGGCAAGGAATTGCCGAGAGAGTTGGAAAGTAGGGAGATGCAAGTCGATGAGTGTACGCTGCTGGGCTGGTGTGATTTCGGACAGCGTACCTACTGTTTTCCCGGCGAGACAACTTCAGTACCAGCATGCGCAGCGCGTATCAGATTGACAGTTTCTTCTGGCTTCTACGTCCGCAGCTTTGCGCACGATCTGGGTATCGCATGCAACACCGTTTCGCACATGGCTTCGCTGGAGCGTACACGGCAAGCCAATTTCACCGTCGAGTCATCACCTTTGTCATCAGAGCTCGTCGCGGCCATCACATATGCTGAATTGGATGCCGGTGAGTCTACCTGGGGCCCAAAGCTCAGGCCGCAGCTTGAGAAATGGGTCGTCGCCAACCCGGTCAAACTAGGCCATGTCAACGGACGAGAGGGAAGCGCGAAAAGGAAGATGGCACAAGAGGGTGAAGCAAAGCCTAGGCAGCGATTCCGCGGGGAATGGGTAGCCGAGACGAAGAAAGAGAGGATCAAGCAGCAAGGTGGCAAGTACAAGGGTAAATGGGGACGGAAGCCCGACGTTGAAGAAGTCTTCAGACACTGAAGAGACGACCGCAAGCGGAGAATCGAAACCAAGAACATGACAAGGTTCTTAGCAGTAAGGATCAATGATACAGCGGCGCCCCATAACTCCTCAGCAAACCCAACCACTCTGAACTCCTATCCGTCAACTCGCAGCACTCTAGCATAGTCCACGTGCCCAACTCGCCGCACGGCTGCGCCTTGCTGTTCAAGACCAAACTCCTCCCATCCACCATGCCACTCTGGAGCAACTTCTCCATACCGATATAATTATCCTTCCGAATCGCCGATAAGATCGCCGAAAGCTTGGGTTGCTGCAGTGCGTACCCGACGTCCCATTGAACCACCATATCGATAAGCTCAAGGTACTGGGCCTGAACTTCTGGTTTGGTGGGCGGAGTGCAGTGGAGGAGCATGTCGTATATGGGTGGTAATGCGGCGATTTGTTGGCGTAGGGCAGCTGCGGAGATGGCGCTGAGAAGAACACGCACTGCGTCTTTGTTGGTGCCTTTTATGGCATAGCTCAAAGCGTCGTACGTTAGTTCTGGGGCGAGGCCTATCATGTCTTCAAGCATTGTTGTGTTTGTCGGACTGTTTTGGCATGCGACGAATTGGAGTACATTCATGTCTTCGAAAGCTGGGTCGCGGGGATGTGCGCCTGCTCTGAGAAGCACACGCGCTGTTTCTAGAGAGTTGAGAGCGAGGGCAGCAGCGAGTGGTAATGCTTTGGTCTCTTTCTTGTGTCGTCGGAAGGAGATGTCTTCTCGTACTAGACTGCCTTTGGCCTGCAAGATGAGTTCGACTGCCTGTGCAGCGTCTGCTGAGATTGCACGACCGAGTGCTGTTCTTGGGCCTAGATCTGTAGCCGTTCGTTGCGTCAAACATAGATTGAAACCTCTGTCAATCAGTAGCCGTAGTATGCGAAGTGCGTCTTCGGGTCGCTTGTCCCATGTTTCTTTCGTCAGTGCGTTGATTGGTGATACAACTCTTGTAAGCTTTTCTTGATGCAGCAAAACATCATCTTCTTTCTCGTAGACCCTCGGCATGCCTCTCATGCTCAGCATCTCTTCCACAGCATCTGCCCATCCAGCGCGTACGAAGCAAGACAAAACGGAGTACTCATACGTCGTTTGCCACGGGCGATGCGTGGGCCCTGCAGTCTGTACTTCGCTCTTATTGTCGAATGCGCCAGAAACGAAGGCTGTGGGGTCGAAGTTTTGATGTTGCATAACGAGTTTCAGGGTACTCATACCGCGATCGAGATTCTTCCATTTCGATAGGCCATCAAGGAAACTGGTCTTCGTAACGCGAACCTGAATTTCATTCCAATAGTGTTGTGCGTCAAACATTCCTCTCGGCCATTGCTCGACCATTGGGTTTGCGCCATGGTATACAAGACAATCGATGAGGTCTGCATGACCCTTGTAGGCAGCCGCCAAGAGCGCGCGATCCATTGGGGTGTAGTCTTCTCTTTTCGTTGCCTCTCCGTAACTGGCGCCCTCTCTCAAAAGATAGTCAACAACTCTGGCTCGTCCGTTCATGGTAGCTTTCGCGAGGGCTTCGTGCTTCACCTTCTTCAATTTACCAGTTGATCGATAGATGGGATCAGCTCCCATGCTGACGACTGCTCTGACCAGTGAAATACCACCCTCTGCAGCGACTTCTTCGAGGATATCGGTCAGGTCGTTTTGTGATGGACTGCTAGCTGGGTTTGGCGTAGTAGCCGCTCTTTTCAGTGAGAAGCTCTTTTTGAAAGGAGATGCACCCTTCCGGTCTGACGGCGGCTCCTTTCTGCTCAGTCTGCGCGATATCTCAGCTCGAGCATCGCTAGCACTCATGTCGGGGGTCTCACTCTCTATACTTTGCGTGGTGGATATAGAGATATTCCTTCGTGATGACTGATCTAGACCGCCAGGTAAATCTTGCAATACCGATGAGGCCATGCTAGAGCTGTGATTGCCATTCGTGATGTAGTTAGTGCTGACACGCTCAGAGATACCATGGACGACCTTCAATGGCTGTGGGGTCAATGTGGAAGGCGAAGCATGATCGAAAGCGATATACATAGACTGCATCCTGTCTGACAGACCATCTTCAGTGCTATTGCTGCTTCCCCAAGACATGGGGGGAGTAGGAGGAGCTGTTGATGCATGTTTCAGAAATCGTAGAGGCTGTGGTGGAGAAGAATTCGACGCGTATTGTGGGGATCGTGGTCGAACAGCTTGCGAGCCTTCGCTGATTGAGGGTTGAAGAGTTTCATACGTTGGTGGCTCCAAGTTGGACTCCATTTGAGGGTTGCAGATTGACGGTTGTACTTCGCGCAATGGTGAGAAGACGTTGCCAGACCTGAGAGATGTATCATCGACTGTGAGTGGCTGCATGGCGATACCACCTCCGGGCCCAGTAATGGAAGATGCTAACGAAAAACTTCCTGCATCTTCCCTCTTTTGAGGCACCTTCCGAGCAGGGTTCAGATAAGTGACATTCTCGTCAGCCTTCCCTGTTATAGTTGGGGATATCGACGGGTGGGGCGCAAGGTATTCGAAGGGAAGTCCGCCATAGAAGTTGCCGTACTCAGTAAAGCCGTCAGCATATCGCTCCTCGTCTTGCTGCACCCCCATAGTTCCTTGAGCTCTTTGTCCGAGGTCAGTGTAGCTGTAATGGCTGTGTTGAAGCGCTGCCAGGTAGTGAACGTTGCCAGGAGAGCGCGGGGTAAAAGTGTTCCCAGCATTGAGATTTGATTGCTTCTCAGCATGCCGTTAATCCAGCCTTGTCACTAAATACGACATGTCAGGCGTTCATTACTACCGAGTGGAAGACTGGCTTCCGAAACCCTGACAAAGGCGCGAGCGGGCTGTGGTGCCGGCGCACGGAAAGCCGTCCAACACAAGGATCATGTCCGCAGGGGGGCGTTCGTAACAGCCTCTAAGGGACTTTGGCTGCAAAGGTGAGATGAGCATACGGCATAAGCGAATGAGGATCGTGAGCGCAGCACGTGTGCGAAGAGCTTCGGGATACCCCCAACTCGCCTGCCGTCTGCTTACACCAGATGTCGCATCAACGTTCTGTTTCGCCGCTCGTGGTTTGTGAACTTCTCTCTCATCGTAGGGAGTATTGTCAACATGTCGTAGCGCAGACATGGATAGTGATCGGTGGGTGTTTCTTTGTTCCCAATCTGCCAAGCTAGGAGTGCCTCAGCCCTGCATGGAGAACCGAAATCCCGAAGCCCACATCCACCACTTTTATCTCGATCGTTCAAATGCCACAGCCACGAACATTTTGTCATCAGAACCTTCCAAGCCGCTGTCGAACCGTCAAATGCTTACACATCCTCCACGAACGCGTTCTTTTCCGCCCTTAGAGCGCGTAGTGAAGATGGATCTCGCCAACCTTGAGCTGAAGGACTATCTCGTCATTGGCTCTCTTACCGGGCTTTTGCGAACGACGTCGATGCAAATTGCCGGCTATAAGCAGAGGGATCTCACGTACTGGCAGTCTTATGGGACGTGGATGAGCGCGAGCCTCGTTGCTATCGTCGTATCCACGATTGCGGTGCGGCTGCTAAGGACACCGGCATTGCGCGAGGGTCGGATCAAGTAGCAGGGAGCCACGAAACGGCGAGGGAGCCACGACAAGGGCATCTCGGGTTCGACTCAGCTCTGAGGGAGTGAAGATATATCGGCGATGGGAGCCTCAGTGATATCGCGCTGCATGTCCAATGATGGCCCTTTCGCTCAGTCGGGATGATACGGGACGAGTGCACGAGCGCGGCTACTCAGCAAGAAGCTTTGACCAGGTCGTTTGTGCAGGTGCCGTCATCACCAAACCCATGCCATCAATCATCACCAGGACGCCTCAACCACCACTATCTTTTTTGCACTGTATCGAATGGCTTCTATCGCCTTCCATGGGCAAAAGGCGACGATTTTGAGATGTTCGATTTCCTCTCTATGGCATCAGCCCGTCGTCATCCTAGTTAGGGAGCATCGATGGCCTGCGCGACTGGTTGGGTTGGAACGCTTTCTACAACAGTCCTGCTCTTACATCGCGACAATCCCTGGATCTTGGCTTATCCCCAGGGGATTAGGCGACCGTCAGTATCTTGCGCTACTATCTCGAAGTAGTTCACCAGAAGGACACAAACAGGAGTCGCGCATCATATTCTTGACTTTTCCGAGGTATCTTGTGATACAGAATCTTGCGTTCCATACCGAGCTCATTTATCTGGGAATCTGTAAGCCTATTGATATGATCTAGATATCAAAGTCGCACAGCTGGGCCCTACTGTATAAGGTTTGCTGGTGTCGCGTCAGTCCCCTCTAGCGCAGAGCCCCTGAAAGGTCGGAGCATGGCTGCGACGCCAGACGCTGATTTTGCCAAGGGTACAGTACCCTCAACCTCAGATCCAGTTCATCTCCGCGAGTCCGTTGGTCCACTTCGCAGAGATCTGTAGATCAGTGCGCGATAATTGTGGGATCTAGGATCTGGGCTTTGGAGAAACGGAACCCACAGTGACGCTATGGAACGCCTTCGATCGCGAGATAAAGGCATTTAGCCTACGGCGTGTCAAATGCCCATGGCATGTTCCCAGTCGCTTTGTGAATGAAGACGGACCGACGACGTCGAGGGAAAGTTGACCGCGACCACTCCGAGGGGTTGTATGCTGATCGGAGACAACCCCGCGAAATCGCCAAGTCGTTGGACCGCTATCTGACCATGCTACGAGTCAAGCGTGCGTCGTCAATCGCCACGAGGCTGTCTCAACGCAAAACTGGACCGTCTGGGCGGACGCCACGAGGATATCCCAGAAAAATTCTGTAGCGTGCGGTAGCTCCGCAACAAGCTCAACCAAGGACACTGAAAGACTCAAGCACTTCGTGACGGCGCCCGCCCTTAGCTTACCACGTTCTCTTTGCGATCAAGAAGCCCAATTCGCGGCTCAGACGTTCTCGAGTCGCCTCAGCTTCTTCTAGTGCTGTGTTGGTATAGGACTGGTGTTTCATTGTTTGTTCAGCTCCCTCTGTCAGGTATATCGATGCATCATGCCTGCCCAGCGACAGAACTGAACAACTCGCCGGCAAGATTAAGATAAATTATGGACGGGATGGGGAATGTTCCCGCTCACGTCCGAGACGCCGCGCCATCTGAGTGAAGCATGTCGATATTTGCTGGTTATCTCGTGCGCTGGAGAGTTGCAGGAACCTCACGACGTTGCGTTAACGTCACGTCAGTGCAGAACTCGTATTCATAGGATACCGAAGCTTCTCTCACCCGTTAAGCAAAAGGAAAGAAAGGGTTCATCTCACCCGCAGTGCCCGCGGAGCCGGTTGATCTACTACTGATCAGCACGGGACAGACGCTACCAGCCGCCTGGGACTATGCGACTCATGATTCCGACGTGTAGCACGACAAGTCGGATCATACCACTCCCTTCTTAAAGTAGCCTGACCCTGGTCTTCGCGTTGCCCGCTATATGCAGGTGTCAACATGTCAAACAATACAACCCCAAGTAGAGTTCGCACTTGACATCACTCACCACTTCTCCCCATCTGACCCCATTGGGGCGAACTTAAACTTCACCGGCCACACATACTGTGTGTGTGTTTGCTGCCGCGATGGAGATAGTCACTTCTATCGTAAGAAGTACGCGAGTCTAGCTGATTTGAAGTCTCACTTACAATCCACAGGTTATCCAGGGTATTCTCCTCGTGTTGGCACTAGGTGTCACAATCCTACGATGTTGGGTCCGTCTTTGTATGGAGCACCGCTCACTGACTCTACCCGACTACCTCGTATGGGGAGGATTCATCTGCGCGCTCGGATGGTTTGCTTGCTCCACGAGAGCGCTTTACATCTTGATTGATCATCCTCTGGATGAGGAGACGAGGAGCGATTCCGTTGAATATCTGAAAGTACGTCAACAACATGACCTTGAAGATACGCAACGAGATGAATGAGCTGACAAGTGTTTGCTGTTAGGTCGTCTTCGTGTCTATCTACTTCTTCGATACGGGCTTGTACTTCCCCAAAGTTTCGCTGGTGGCTTTCTACTGGTGGTTGATCCCGCAAGGCTTCAGACGTCTTCGATACGCGGTCTATGCCACCACTGCAATCGTGGTCGCCTGCTTTGTTGCGAGTATCCTGTGCGATACTCTCCTCGCACCCAACATCTCAGACAATTGGTAAGCGCCTACCACCCTTACTACGACCGCCTTGTTCCTTAGCTAACATACATTACCCAAAGGTCTATTGAGAACCAACTCAACTCAACATGGAATACCTACTCTAACTTGGTCGTCAACTGGACACTCAACTTCGGCACCGATCTGCTGCGTAAGTAGCTCAAAGTTACTTCCTAAGACATGAGCTAATTTTGTTCCCAGTATTTGGTCTGCCATTCTTCATCTTCAACTGCTTGAAGCTTCGTAGACGACAAAAGATCGGCTTAGTCGGTATCTTCTCTCTAGGCGCCATCACCATGGCAATCAGTCTCGCCCGCTTCATCGTCTACAACATGGACTACGACATCGCGGATGCCGACGGCAGTAAGTTACGGTCCTAAAGCACACCTTGCCTAAACCCTCACTAATAGCCTCCAGACCTTTGGTGCACGGCCGAAATGTGCACGGCCGTCATCGTCGTCTCCCTCCCGTCCCTGAAAGCGCTCATCATCAAACCCACACCCGCCACATCATCCAATCGCAGCAACTCAGGTTACCTGCAAGCTGGCTCGGGCAAGACGATTGGTAGCAAGGGCATCAATATCAACGGGCACAGCTCGCATGTGCAGGGTGGTACCATGGACGATGAGATGGAGTTGACTTTTCTGGACCGAAAGGCTAGCCCTACTCCAACTGGAACCACTGATGGGTCACGCTTGCAAGATGGGAAAGATAATGTGATTGTGACTACAGATTTCGAGGTCACCAGCACGAGGAATGTGTTTTAGACTGGTGTCTGTCAGTGTTCCTGGTTATCCTTTAGACTGTATAAAAGATGGAACGAAACGATAGCAATGACTACTTGTGTACTGTCTTCACAGCGAAGATCGTCCGCTCGACCCCTTGCTCTAATCCCTCGGGAACTAATAGTACCGAGAAATTCAAAACATATCTTCAGCAATGAACGCTCTGCGACATGTCGAGCCTTCTGCACAGTTAACGCCTTGTACTTGTCGCGATAAAATGCATACGATCAGGACATCGGTATTATCATCCCGAAAGGCCCTTGGTCTCTTCTCTAGTGAAAATGATCGGGCCCTAAGTCGTCCTAGCTATAGAGGCGTAATATTGTTGTGGAATAGCATGTGACGTCAAGTCGCGAAGCCGGACTCGAGGGCTAGCTATGTAGCACACGCGGCCTTTAGCCACATGTGCACCGCCGTCTAAATGTACAAGCTCGCAGTCATCTAGCACCAAGATAGCATATATCGCGCATCGCATTGCCGCATCGTGAATACAAGCTATGCAGATGTCATAGGGAGATTGGCACAAACGATCCCTTCGCAACGTCCGTGCGGTCATAACGGCATGAGAGGAGGCGGTGCATTCCTCCGCCCAACCACATCGCCCACCTGACCCCGACTGCGACCCACCCACCCGCCGTCATCCACCACCATCAACTCCATCCTTTCCTCATCGTCGCCGGATGCACGCCGTCCCTCACGCTTTACCCCGACCACCGAGCCCTGCACTTCGCGCTTATTACCCACGAACGACTCTCCGCGCGAACCCCTCGGACGCATCGCATGCCGCCGATATGAAGCCCAGTAGCCGCCTCGTTTCTGCGTCCGCAGTACTGCTGGCTTGGACGGGCACAGTACTAGCCGGCGACACCATCACTGCGGGAAAGATCAAAGTGCAACTCTTTGCTGCGCCCTCGTTTCTGAGCGAAGTCAGCGTCGACGCGTATAATAACCAGTGTCTCTCGCTGGATAATAATCTGTATGTCGCACGCACCACACCCGGCTCTTCGCGCATCGAGCAAGGAGTTGTGCTAACGAAAAGGAAACAGCATCGATGGGCGCGTCCAAAGTATTCTGGTAGGCGGACACGATGTTCAGTCTGTGTTGGCGAGGGATGATTATTGGAGCTGTCGGTTCTACGAGTAAGTTTGTTGTGTTGTGTTCGTGGTTCGGGTTGGTGTTTCTGAGAGCGGCAGCTAACGTGACAACAGCAACTACGACTGCAAAGGCGACGAAAACATGGATCAGTTTCTCGCTATTTCTGATGGCGCGAATAACCTCGGGAGTGTTGGTTGGGGGACCAAGATACATGGGTTGAAGTGCAGTAATAAGGAGCACGAGGAAGACTGAAAGGACGACGCATGATGGCAAGAGATGGATACATGCTGCGATACGTCGAGCGAGATTCGATCCAGACAGAGTAGTGCTCGTTGCACGACGACATGCATCCCGGGTTACGGATGCGAACGATACATTTCGGTCGCGGGAACAAGGACGCGCCAGGGAAGTTGAAGGTCAGAAGCACACTAGACCGACGTGTGCTGATCATACGGCGCGAGTCGAGCAAGCAAACACACAGAGAGAGCAGTGGATATATACCAAGGGCATGGTTTATGCGATATAGCGTTGGGTTTGGCGTTTACATTGGGGTTCTGCATCGAAATGCGATGGGAGACGGCACCGGCGTTCGAAGTGCTCGACGCCTACATAGTGCTGTATCAGTACCGATTAAGGATAAATCTAAACATAATGATTGTATCGAGCTTCTGTCTACGGTCATGAGTGGTTGAAATATGCGTGTTGTCTGTTGCTTGAAAAAAGACATGGTGTTGAATCGTACCTGCCTTCGACGTATGTTCACTCGGGCTGTCCTTCGGCTCCATTAGATATATGGTCTCTCACCTCTTCATCCATTCAGTCATGTCACATTAGCACCAGGGTATCTCTAGCACAAAAACCCAACGCAGAACGCCACGCCATGCCATACAATCCATGCATCCCCTCTACAGATCAATCAAATCGGGCGCCTCCCCACTCCCCACCCCCCTCAACAGCACAACCATATTCCCACTCTGACACGGCTCCCCAATCTTCTCACTAAACTTCAACAACCGTCCCCCTTCCACATGGAAAACCCTCAACTTCTCCTCCTCGCCTCCACCTCGATTATTCACATTCTGCACCTGCAGCGCTTTCGCCGCCATATCCAGCACGCGCCCTACTGTCCATTCTTTATTGTAGAAGAATTTCCCCGTGGGGTATTTGGCTTTCGTTGTATCGGCTGAGGCTTCGACGTGTAGGTATATGCGTTTTTCGGCGGGGATGCTGGCTTCGCCTTTGGCGACGCGTTTGAGGGCGTTAAGTTCGGATTGGGCGGAGGTTGCAGCGGAAGAGGAGGATTTGCCTAGGCCGAGGAAACCGCCTGTTTTCTTGGATGAAGAGCGTCGTTTCTCATCGTCCTTTTTCTTTTGCTCGGCCCATGCTTTCAGTCTCGTAAGGGCGGTTTGCGTGCGTGCTTGGACGTAGTTCTGGGGGCGCGCGCCGAGGGGAGTGAGGGTGGAGCAGGAATGGTCTTCTTCGAAGCGGTGTTTGAGGCAATACCGTCTGTTGCAGCGCGGGCAGTGGACGCCTTGTGCGCGGGCGGTGTCGATGAAGGTCTTGCAGGAGGGGTCGGCGCATTGTGAGTCGTGGTTGTAGACGCTGGGTTTGGGGGCGGATGGGGTGGTGTTTTGGGCGTTTTTGGCTTTTTGGCGCGCCCATTCGCCTTCTTTGGGGCATTTGTGTGCGTGTTCGGTGCGGTGGTCGAGACAGAATTTCCTAGGGATGGTTGTAAGTATGGTGGTGTATGTTGTGTTGTGTAGGTACGCGTGGAACGCGTGGCTTTAGGGAATATAGGTACCTACCCGTGACAGCTCTCACAGCGGAATGGTAAGAAGTCTAGTACATTGCAGTATTCCATCTGGCAATGCGCACCGATTGCTTCCAAGTCGCCCTTCATCTCGGTGTAGCTTGATTCGTTGGTTGCCATGGTTGTGGTGGATATGGGAATGATATATGTGTGGAAGACTAAGGGAAGAAGATGCTAGAGAGCTAATATGGAGGCGACAGTGTGTAATAACGAAGCTGAGCAAGCATGAGAAGCCTCGAGAAGGCGGTTAGGCTACCAAGAGCTTACGATTGTCGCCGCGCCATCTCGGAAGGCGATTCCGATGGATATAGCGCTAACCGTGAATGACCGTTAGCGTCAGGGTCCAGCACCTGCCATCGATCTCATCTACGCCAGCCTTCACCTTTACTTTCACCGCCACAAGATGTGAATAATCTACAACAACTGCCAGCTACGGCCCGGCATCTCTGAATCACCCGTGCTTGACATGTGGCTCACGACGAAATCCTGACCTGAGTCCATCGCCTTCATCAATCTGGTTACAGGGCTGAAGCTCAGCCTCGCCAACACCATGTACATGATCATGCACGTAGTCTATTCGCTCAGGGTGAGCTAAATCAGCCGTGCTTATGCATATGAACCCATTTCCCGCGGCTTGTACTCATCCTTCTCATCACAATACCTCAAATGGCGGAGGTGGTGGGCGCCGTCGCCGCAGTTGTCCAGTTCGTGGACGTAGCTCTTCGCCTTTCATCCTGTCTCGAACGCTTCTGCTCAGATGTGCGCAATGTACCGCGGCGTTTTGTTCAGCTGCAGACCGACCTACGTCAGCAAATCGAGATCGCGCAACAGATCCAGAATCACCGCTTGCCTGGTTTCGCGGCGGCAGTAGCGTCCTCAGCGTTTAACACGCCTCTAGCTGAGTACATTGATCTCGCTGAGGAGCTGTGTAAGACGCTGGAATGTCTACTCGGCCGTAAGAATGATGGCGTCTTGCGACGAGGCTGGGATGCCATTTGTTCAGTCCGTAAGAAGGAAGAGGTGGTAAGCATATGTGATCGACTTGAACAGAAGCAGAGCACGCTCTCCTTGTGGCTGGAAGCAGCGAATCTGTAAGTGGAGTCCTAACAATCCAGAAACTTGCTGCCCAGCCTGGAGGATACCACTGTACTGACTAGCATACAGCAAGCTCATATCCAGTATCGCGGCGACTACAGGCCAGACGCGGCTTGATGTCGGAGATACCCTGACGCTCGTTGAGACAGTGAACAACACATCGAACAGCATCGCAACGAACACAGCACAGCTACTTCCGTACATCGAACAGATTGACCGAACCATAGCAACCACATCCATCAGGACGGAACACATCTTACACGATACCCAACGCCTCCTTACAGGATACGATGCGGATGCAATAGCACGGCAATCAAGTCGACAGATCATGGCGATGACTTTGGCGAATACAGAGCAAATTATTGCGGCTATCGAAAAGTTGACCCTGAGCCCAGGCAAACACAGCCCCCATGCACAATCCGGCTCCGTTACGGACCACGTGTATGCCGGCTCCTCGGCAAGCCAGCAAGTTCAGCAAAGCACAGTAAGCCATCGCCGTAGACCACAACGATGCAAATGCCGTACTGTCAGCACTGCACGTCGGTGGCAGCCGTTGTCTATCCTTCGATTCACACGAACTTTCCGAACGCAACACTTCTCATACTGTCCGGATTACCGAAACTCGGAGCAAAGCCTTGAGGTTACCCTGCAGGTTGTCCCTCCATCGTGGCTTCTTTACCATACCATCGACTTTGGTACTCGAGTAAGAAACTGGTCAACTATGAACCAATTCTCAGTCAGTCCAATCGTAATCGGCACGAGCAGGCTCGTTGATTCGAATACATCACCTGCATTTCTTGCGATATCGGACGCTAAGAAGGAGCTCTTTAAGCTTCGACAAGGTGAGCTGAGCATTCATCAGCATGACATTGTGACTCAGCTCCACAACACGCTACAACGGATGTTCGACAACGCAGAAGCGTCAGCTCTAGATGTGGACAGCGATGGCCACACTGTCTTGAATGTAAGGCTTTGCAGCTGTGTGGCAGAGCCATGATCTAACGAGCATTCGGTAGGAAACTGTTCAGCTTTTCATCTCACATCTTGGGTCGCCATGCGTCGCGGAATACGTAGCTCTTTTTCAATTCTTATTGGATAAAGGGGCCGATCCCAACGTGATAAGAGACGCCAAGCCGGTTCTTACATTCAGTGATTTAACGCACCATGGGGGCACCACATGTGATCAACTCATGGACCCAATGTATTTCTACTCAAGCCCCCTTACTCTGGAGCCCAAAGGACTCCAGACCATCCTTGAACTACTCGTAAAGGCTGAGGGACACACATCGAAACCTTTTGTAGGTTCCACATACCGAGGTGATACATGCATTGGGTTTCGCCGGGATGTCCTACAACTAAGCTTATTTGAAGACCAAATCGATAGTAAGTGGCTCAGTCAGTTCGAAATAAACTGGTATTGAATCCATTTTAGTCACGGACTTAGGGGATCTTGTGCCAATCATTCTGCAACAACAAGAGGAGCATTTCCACCGCATGATTAAAAAGACTGAGCCATCGATATTGAATCGTAAATCAACAATCAATGGACTTGCTCCAATCCATTTCGCCGTCTTATGGCCAACCGGACTGAGGATGCTAGTGGAAAGAGGTGTGGATCTGAACATCGAAGACAACTATGGTCGGCGACCTGTACATCTTGCCGTGGCCCTAGGGATGATCGATTCTGTCCGATGTCTGCTCAACGCAGACTGCGGGCTCTTTACCCCAGCAGAAGACTGCAGCCTATTGCAATATGCGCTAGTGTTGGAAGACGAACAAGAGAAGTCACAGATCCTGTTTCAACTCACCCAGGCGCTATGTGATCGCCATACTCGCCTTAAGGACATGGCCATTTCGTATCTGCCGCCTTCAGTATCCACCAAACTCGAGTTAACGCTCGGCGAGCTCCAGGAACAGCGTGCGCCATCGATTATGGAGACGCTTCTATCGCACGGGATCGATGTTCCTCCGGCTCTAGAGCTCGACGGGAAGGGCTTTTATGACTTCTTCAAGGTGGGTCCTCGACAGGTTCAAACAACGTCAAAAGCCGCAAACGCACTGTGGTCTGCCGAATTCTACCGTTTTGACGAACCCAACGACGATGGGTGGACACCGTTCTTGCAAAGCTGGTTCTATCATAACTTTGAGATGATAGACTGGTTCGCAAGAAGAGGTGTAGAACTAGATTCCAAGCATACGAACGCCCCTTTGTCTGCACTTCATCTCTATGCAAAGGGAATGCGTTACTTCGGGAAAGCTCCTCGGCCCATATCACCACTAGAAGAGCACTGCATCGAATCGATACAAAAGAAACTTGGTATACCCTACGATGATTGTACTTGTATATGCTCGCCCGAGGGCTGCATACCTAGCAAATTTGTGTTCGAATTCAACTACGAAGGACTGTATTCGCAAAGACGTGAAATCCAACATTTCATCAAACATTTGAACCCACCAAAGCATCTCCTAAGTCGATACATCTACCACCTCACTCAACACATTCTGTTCGATTTCTTGGGTGGGGAACATACTTGCTGTTCTCTTGGACGGGACTATGTGTCGATGCTGAAGCTTCGGAGACCGACAAGGACGAACAGCTGGCGAAAGACATCTTACGGCTCCATTGATTTCCCCGGTGAGCATTATCAATGCTGCACGAATGGACTTCCCGTACCACGAGTAGAGAGTCTACGGGCTTTGCAAGACCCTGACGTCTTCAGCGTAACGCTGGACTCTGCGATGTCACACTACGACGAGATGGATCGGCCTGATACAATGCCAGCCGAGGAGCAAATTTACGCGTATATCAAGTGGATTTTGGAGGAAGGATATCTGGACATCGATGTAAGTCACGGGTGCGAACATGACCTGAATGAAGACATGGAGTAAGATCTGGACGAAGAGTTCGTACCTCAGTCAAACAATACATGCATCCATATCGCATACTTTGTCGCGTTCCACTGTCTTACAAACCATTCATTAAAGCCGACAAAACTACTGTATTACTATGCCTGCCAAACGCCGAATCCATGCTTATGCATCTACCCAACGCCATATCCAAGAGTTCACTTGCTACCGATACAAACCAATGCACAACCACAATCACGACCTAACCTTCGTATCCGCATCCGCAACCCTCCTCACCAACCCCCTAATCTTCGGCCAAAGCTCCGGAATACGAAAAGGTTTTGAAATCGCATCGTCCATCCCCGACGCCAGCGACTGTTCAATCTGCTCCATACGCGCATTCGCGCTCACAGCCAGGATAGGCAAACGAAGCGATTGCTTATCCGGCCGTTCATGCGACGCCGAAGACGTAGACGAAACGGACGACGTCTTTTTATGACAACTTCGACTTGTCAATGCGGACCCCGGCGTTGGTGGAGTTGCGAGTAAACCCTGGTGTTCGTAGTCGCGAATCAGGCGGGCGCAGGTGAGGCCGTCCATGATGGGCATTTCTATGTCCATAAGGATGATGTCGATGTCGTGCTTCTTTTCTGTGGCAGATTGTTCGTTTTCGTTGCGCCAGTATACGCTGTCTTTGAGCCATTCCAACGCTTCTTGCCCGTTACCTGCTACGCTTATGTTCCAACCGAACTTTTCCAATTGCTTCCTGAGCACTTTTTGGTTGACGAGATTGTCTTCTACAATGAGCACGTTGAGTCTGATCGATTGCATGGCTTCTTCTCCTGTCATGGTACGACGGGGAACGGGGCGAGCTGGGACTGCGCGAGCAGAGACTTGATCGGCAGGTGGATGCGCGAGACGCGTGCTTATGAAGAAGGCGAATGTTGAGCCTTCGCCTTTCTCGGAGTGGACGCCGATGGCTCCTCCTTGTAACTTGGTAAGAGACTTGGAGATGAAGAGCCCGAGGCCTGAGCCGCCGTATTTAACGTGCGTGCGGGGCGTGGCTTGCGAGAAGCGGGAGAAGAGTTTCTTTTGCTCGTCTGTGGTCATGCCGCAGCCAGTGTCTTTAACTTTGAGCCAGAGGAAGGCGATGCGGCCTTCGCCCCATTCAGCTTTGTCGGTGATGTCTGTCTTGGGCTTTTCGTCGTCAGTGAAGGTTATTTCGTTCCAACATTTTGGTGGACGGGTCCAGGAGCCACCGATGGTGACGGTGATGGCTTTCTGAGGGCGGTCTTTGGTGAATTTGATGGCGTTGGTGCTGATTTTGTTAGCGAAAGGTATGGGAGATGAAGATGAGATTGCTTACAGTAGGTTGATGAGTACTTGCAGTAAGCGCGAGGGATCCAACATCGTCCAATCCATGCCGTTGAAGGTTTCGTCGACGAGGAAGGCGAGCTTGATACCACCCTGATTGCATTCGACTTCGAACATGCGCACCGCGTCCGACACGACCACCGCTGGCTGTACCCGCATGGGCGTAATCAAGATCAAATTGGAATCAAGTTTCGACAAGGTGAGTACGTCGTCAATAACGCGTTTCTGGTGCATCGAACATGACACGATGATCATCAGCGATTCAATGCAGCTCTGAACTTCCACCTCTACCTTGGATATGTCGGACAGTTCTTTCGATGCTATGACCCGGCTTCTGTATAGTTGTTGGAGCGAAGCAATGACGGAGTCGGCGCATTGTATGACTGCTGAAAGTGGATCTGTATATAGGCATATACTGTTAGCGAATATCGCACATGTATCCCGAAGAGGGATATCACTAACTCCTGAGTTCGTGCGATGTCATATCAATGAAGCTACTCTGATCAGCGAGGGCTAAGCGGAGAGCGCGCAGTGACATACTTTTCTTGTTGTCGTTTGGCTTCAAGCGCTTCATCTATACGGCGCCGCTGGACGCTCTCAGCCCATTTGAATTGCGATATGTCGAAAAGGGTCCCCATGATGCCTACAATGTTTAGCGCGTGCAATATACAGAATACAGGGAGACATTATCTTACTTATCACTTTCCCATTCTCATCTAGCTCTGGACAACTTGAACTTTGCACCCATATGTTCGAGCGGATACCATCTTGATTCATCCAGGTCTTTTTGAGCCGAAACTGTACACCGTTGGCTTTACCACTTTCGAGCATGCGTTCCCAATCTTTCTTCACTCTTTCGACGTCTTCCTTGGCGATAAGGTCAAACCACTCGTATTGGCTAACTGGAGCGTGTGGGTGACCCGTGAGTTCGAAGAACTGATCATTAACGAAGTTCATCCCTGTATCAGCATTAGCGTGTAATGGACGATGAGGCAACTGTACCTACCACTCTCAGGGATATATATGTATATCGCCGTCGGTGAGACTTGAGCAAACCGCGCGAACTTCATCTCGGCTAGCCGCGCTTGTTCGAGTGCTTCGCTGGACGGATTTTAGCTCTTTCGTATCACATATGCTGTAAATAAGACTTACACCTGTGCTTGCGCTGCTTCTTGTGATTTCTTTTGTGCGTTGATATCTATAGTGTTGCCGGCAATACCAATCAACTTCTTATCATCATCAAATACAGGAACACAAGCGGAGAGTACCCATTGCGCTGCGTCCTTCGTTCCCGAGCGTGCCTTCCAGCGCATCTCAAACGTGACAGACTTTCCCAGGGCAAGAGTGTTCCACATAGACATTACTAGTGTCTGGTCGTCTGGGTAGACAAGGTCCATGAACGAGAACTCATCAGGTTTAGCGTCTCTGGGTTGGGAACTGAGAGTTGTCAACGATTTGAAACGCAGTGTTGTGATCGTACTTACCTCAGTTTATACCACGCCTCATTAGCATGTAGAAGCTTTCCCTCCGAGTTGTACTCAAATACCCCAACGTCGCTCATCTCCATCATCGTCTGGATACTTTCCCATCTGGCATGGAGGTTTGTAAATGGAATATTCCGAAGCGACACGGTTCTATCACGCTTGAGCTCACTGATCAACTGCGCCTTTGATCGTGTGAAGACCGGCGTTCGACCAATACTAATGTAATCATCGTCGTCTGCCCCCTCCTCCGATGCAGGTGGATCTTGCTGCTGTATGTTGGATTCCGACGCTCTCACGACCTTCCAGCCGCCATTCCGACCCGCCAATCCCGCAGTCCAACATCGGCCGCCAAACTCATATGTTGGCTTGTATTCACCCAGAGCTTGCGCCCAAGACCGGAAGAGGAGTGATCCTCGCTCCTCGGCTAAAACGGAACTGCGGAGATCGAGTTTGCGAAAGGCCTCATTGCAGAAGACAAGGTCGAACCCCAAGGCTATCTCATCCGCTCTAATGACGAAAAGCGGTGCTGTGTCAGACTCCAGTTCCTCTAGGTCCAGCGGGCGCCTGTAAGAGCGCTCGGCCGACGGCATTCTGAATTGACTGCGGTAGACCTCGATGAAACATAGACGAAAAACAGGCGATTAAGGGTTCAAACAAGTATAGTGCTCGGGAATCGCTTGGGTTCAGCGCATGTTGCAAGATGTAGTTGTGGCAATGCGACAGAAAGGGCGGTGTCCAGCGAGTATGTTGCTGCCCGGGCTGCACAGATCCGTCGCCAGGAATCCAAGGCCACCCTATATTCTCGAGTGGTCCTGCCAGTTCGTTCTCAGAAACGGTGAGTATGGCGTTTGCCCCAGGATAGGAGTTGAGTAAAATCGGATATTCGTGCGATGGCTTTGGTGGTATACCGGCTTACCCTAGAATTGCGAGCCCGGAACCTGCACCGGCGAAGTGCACCAATGTATGGCATGGCAGCTACTGTATTTCCCGGGGTGGGGTTCAAGTCGGACCGTTCTAGTCTTCGATGGCTGCAGAGACGGACTAAACGTAGATGCATCGGATATCGGATCAGCATAGAGGAGAAGGAGGCGTCCTCGGTGATTGGTCATTGTGGCGAGTGTAAAGCTCTGATGTTGACGCTAGATCAATCTCGACCGCGGCAGGAAATTGAAATAGCAAAAGAGTAGCCTTCAGGGTCTAATGATCATCGATGTCGGCCCTATTCTCCAGCAAATTCCCCACCGACAACCGTTGGAGGCAACGATGCTTATTCACATTTTGCGCAGCAGCCCAACACAGGTGGTCTTGCAGCGTTTTCCGGCGTGGCATGCCAGGATGACCATCCCAACTTCGAAAAAAGCATCGATGATCCCAGACACATACGGGTGATAACCAAAAGGCCCCTTGGCAGGCATCTCAAAAAGGTGAAGTAGGTGATGTTGACTCTCACTCAGCTTTCGAAGAACCGGGTCGTGGACAGTAAACGCTGCAGTCACAGCATTGCAGCCTCATCTTGATAATGTGCGAGAAACGATGCAATCATTTACATGCATAAGCATTGCGAGTCCCGGGGAAGAGTGTCGCTTGTCGTCATCTCCCTTCGCGATCTGTCCAGTACCCGGGATACGTTCAATCACGTGCTAGCGCGCTTTCGATCCCTTGGCGTGTCACCCTGGATTTGGGTGAGATCGCGACTGCTACGCAGAGGTGGCACCACAACCTCCCCCAACAATCGACGGACGCGATTGTATTTCAAAAAGCTCGAATTACCGCGGCTAGCTAGTCGTTGCTTGATACGCCGACATGAGCGATGATGAGTACGGCTGGTCTTCGGAAGATGAAGAGCAGTTCGCTGCTAGCACAAACATTGCGCCTGATGGAAAGCGTAAGATCGCTAACGACAGCGCACACATTGAGTCTTCAACCAAGCGGAGTCGGCACGAGGAAAGCATCACCGACACGCCTTCGGCCAACAAAGTCCTTGCGAACAACATCCTCAAGGGACGGTTCGGGCTCAATGGCTTCCGTCTCGAACAAGAAAGAGCGATTACCCGCCTTCTTGACGGAGGCAGCGCAGTCGTTGTGTTTCCTACTGGAGGCGGAAAGAGCCTTTGCTATCAGGCGAGTCCTGTCTTGTGAAATGAATTGCTTGTCTAACTATCCAAGGTGCCTGCTGTGGCGTTCAGATACCAAGACGAAGAGCTTGGCCGCAGGACTGCTGAACAAAGCGGCGTCACTTTAGTTATTGCACCTCTTATTGCTTTAATGAAGGATCAAGTCGACGCCCTCTTGCGCCGCGGTATCAAAGCTGCCGTACTGAACTCATCTATCTCTCGCGACCAATTCCTGGCTACGCAAGACGACCTCAAGAAAGGGCGTCTAGATTTGATCTACTGCGCGCCGGAACGTCTGAACAGCGAAGGCTTCATTGCATCGCTCAAAGACATTCCCGGAGGTATCCGTCTGCTAGCCGTGGATGAAGCGCATTGTATCTCAGAATGGGGTCACTCTTTTCGACCAGACTACCTCAAGATTGCTCGCTTTGCAAAAGAAGCGCAGGTTGAGAGAGTCGTCTGTTTGACAGCTACGGCCACACCGAAGGTTGCTGAAGACATCCGTGATGCTTTCTCCATATCGAAAGAAGGCCTGTTTCGGACGACCATGTATCGTCCCAACCTGCGTCTTCTTGCTGAGGCGAACGGCAAAGACGCTGACTATGTGTCTAAACTTGCTGCTCACGTCAAAAAGTACCCCGGTCCTACCATCGTATACGTGACGATCCAGAAAGGCGCTGAGACGCTGGCCGCAGAACTGCAGAAGCGAGGCTTCAAGGCCAAATTTTACCACGCCGGAATGCCTGCACCATTACGGACCAAAACACAAGACGAGTTTCTGGCTAGCACCGACATGATCGTCATCGCGACGATCGCATTCGGTATGGGTATCGACAAACCAGACATTCGTAGTATTGTTCATTTCGACATACCCGACAGCATTGAATCGTACAGTCAACAAATCGGCAGAGCTGGACGAGATGGCAAGCCGAGTACGTGCATGTTCTACCTCTCGACAAAAGACTTCTATCTCCGCAACATCTTCACCTACGGCGACCGGCCTTCGCACCGCTCACTGAAGCTCTTGATGCAGGATATATGTTCTCCTGCTCGCTCGAAGCTCAAAGCAGGTGATACTTTCCAGCTTTCACTGTATACACAGGGTCAGGAAACCGACATCAAAGCCATTGTTCTCAGTATCCTGTACGCACAAATGGAGTTGAACTTTGGGCTCTTCCGTTCTGCTGGAGCACTCTACGCGAAGTACTCCTACATCACAAAGAACCCTAATATGGTGAAGAACGACGGGTCCTCGGCAGCATCCGCTATCGTCAGAGCATCAGTCAAGAGTAGTAAATGGACCCACGTAGCTTTGGATGATCTTGCGAATTCGACCGGCATCCCTCGAGCTGATCTAGTGCGCAAGATGGACGAATGGAACGAGCGTGGTGCGATCGAGCTGAAGAAGGAAGGCGTACAGAACATATACCGCCTAGAACGTCCTCTGCCTTCCACACCCGAAGAGATTGAGAAGATCGTTGCGCAGCTCGACGAAACCATGGAAAAGACTGAGAAGCAGAATCTCGCACGCACGAAAGCTCTAATCAACCTCATCACCGACAACCGCTGCCTGTCTAGGTCCCTCGCAGACTACTTCGGAGAGAGCACTGATATGTCAGAAGAATGTGGGCATTGCACGTGGTGCGAGACACATACGCAAGTCGTACTGCCTGACGAGCCGCCGCAACCCCCTGATCCAGCCAAGATCCACCAAGTACTGAAAGCAGTCACCGTACGCGATGACCCTAGGTTTCTTGCTAAATTTGCTTTTGGCATCAAGAGTCCACGCATGAGTGCATTGAAAGTCGACAAGAATCCTGCGTTTGAGTCGATGAATGTGTGCGATTTTCCCGAGTTGTTGAGGGTGTTTACGGAGGCTTGTGAGAAAGCAGAGAAGAAAGGAAAGGCCTGAGCATCAGCGTAATGAAAATCCTGAAGGAATGATCTTGTTCTATTTCAGAGATACCCATTTAGCGGAGTCGAAATACACTTGTTCCTAGTCCACTCATCTCGAAGTGGAAAATCCCATATATACATATATTCATGCTGAGGGGAAGAACGCGATTCGTGATATTCACGCATGTCGTATGTCCACTGCGGAAGCCGTCTACAACTCTTTCTTCAACTTATTCGCCTCCGTCTCCTCTTTCCTCAACTCCTTAACGCCCGTCGCCGGCCTGCCCTCAACCGCTTTCTCCCCACCAAACGTCTTGAATGCATTATAAAACAGCCACTCCGTCGCATGTTCAACCGGCTCGTCGAAAATATAAGGCAGGAAAGGTACACCCGCGAGACCAAGCTATCACACAATTAGCATCTGACTCCACTTCCAATTTACTTCGACGGAAATCACTTACCCCAATGGGTCCCCACGTCCTCAACGTCTTGTTCTTCGCATCCTTCAGCGCACGCCCCGAGTACCTAACAATACTGTGAATAGTAAAAGCCGGCAGACCCATAGAAGCAACAGCCTGGAACACAGCTCTTTGAGCCATAACAGCCCTGTAGTCTTCAATCGCCGGTATCCTTCCGCCAACAACCTGCCCACCCGTCAACGCACTCCCCGCATCCCCATACTTAATACCCTCAGTACTCGTCGCATTCCTCGCAACCTCTTGCACCTTATCGAATATCCCCGCAGCATTACTCTTCCCGCCCGTCGCCGCCATATCCTTATCTTTACTCGTCACGTTTTCCAAAGTCTTCTCTGCGGCGTCGTCCATGTACTTTTCCGGGTGGAGTATGCGCTGGTTGCGAACGTACGCTTTGTAGCCTTCGTGCGAGACGTCGCCAGCGAGGTAGAGCCAGGAGATACCGTAGGCACTTTTTACGAGGTAGGGATGTGCGATGGGACGGAAGGATTCGCCTATGTCGGAGGTGTAGGCTACGTAGCGGTGGGCGGAGAGCATGATGGTGCGGATGCGGGAGGCGTAGGCGGCATAGCGGAGGGAGGTGTCTGTTGTATCTTCGCCTCTGGGGGTGGGTTAGCTGTGTCCATCTTGTGTAATGGTGGGTTGAAAGAGTAGGCGCATTGCTGGTAGTAATGAAGTCGGGATTGAGGATGTATACATACTCGCCATCATATAGCACCTCCCACAATTTCTCCTCGTCATTCAGCGTATCCTGAAGCTCCTTCGGCAACTGTTTCCTCGGCGGTGGAATCGAGAAATCTGGTCGCGCGCCCTGTCGCTCTGCAGGCACACCGTCGACCTCTTCGATCTTCTTGTTGCTGTCTTTCGCCATGGCCGCGGTGTTGCTCAATTCCTTCTTCTAGTGACCAGCTTCGTACTACAAAAGAGAAAAAGCGAAGAGAACGAGATTGAGAACAGGTAATTGAGCAAGCGCTGGTAGCTTAGTCGCAACCCTCCATGCTTCTTCGGTACCACTACTGCCTACCCAACAAGCTCACTCACACCACCTCGGTAGCCGCATACAGACGTCACACCCACTAAATCGCTTGCCTAACCACCAGCCACCCACCTAATCCCTGCTCTTTCCCTTCCGCACCAGCCACACATCTAACGCCACACTTCGCCGCCAAGCCCTATCTTCTCTTCCGAAGAGAGCTCCGCGCAAGCACCCGGCAACGCACCCACCCCACGACTCTCCACCCACCACCCATCCATTGACGACGCATCACCCCGCTTACGGCACGGAAATACCTCGAAAACCGCAAAGATGGTTGCTATGTACACTATTATGGGCCGTCAGGTCGGATCGCACGTCGTATGTTCTTGCCTTTTCTACATGTCTCGGGCAGGAAAAGTTTGGATTGGGAAGCTGCGCACGAAGACTCCGCGCGCACGCCTGGGAAACAACGATTGGGCGATTTTGGGGTTGGAGAAGGCTCAATTGGAGATAATTGGATTCGTTCGAGGGGTTTGAATATGGGCTGACAGATGTTTCTAGCTCGCAATGGCCACCCTCGGTATAACCTTCACCGGTGCTGCGCTCTCCATGGGCGGCAAGAAGGTTGAGGACCCTACCACTCCCCCGATCAACGCGAAGAGCCCTGATGAGGAGAACTTTGTCAAGTGCGTACACAACTACCTAGACATCTGCATAACTGCATACCTTCGTACCTACGCCTCTCCATATCTCTACGGCGACGTGCAGCTACCCATTCGTCTGCGCGAGCAACAAAGTTGGAGAGGCTGTGAAAACGATGGGATGAGATGAGACAAGATTGGAAAGGACTATGGCTAACAATTCGCCGCAGGGAGTACGTCAAGAAGGCCGCCGACAAGGTCACGGGAAAGCAATAAACACCACGTCTGCTTCGATTCGATCAGAGTTCCGGGGTGGTACGACAGTGACGGTGCTGACTGAGGACACACGATGCGGAATTCGATATTTCCTCGGATAAACGCGCGTGTGCCTCGAGGATACGGGACAGTGTAGATATATGCGCCGATTGTGCCAACAAACAAGCAAGCATTGAAACGACTCTATCCAACCTTCCTCGCAGATGATGCATATTGTTACTTCGAACTGGATACGACTGACAAACGTGAACTTGACTGGGTATTTGCGATCCTAACAAACAAGCAGAAGATATAAATCGACCAGGTATAAAGTCCTCGTAACCATCACGGAACATAACAGCGGGAATGCGCATGCCTCCTCCCTGAACAGCGAGCCCATCCTCCTGCCACTCACCACTTGTTCTCTTCTCAACTTCTCCCCCATCCTCCCCCGCTCCCCCTTCACAATCTCACTTACTCCCCATCCTCCTCAAGTACAATCTTCTTACTCATACTATCCACAACCTTGCAATAAAACTTTGCCGCCTGCGCCCTCGGAAAACAGATCTCCTCAGTCAGATAATCCGGCAACAAGTCCAATAGTTCCCTATCACGCTGTTCGTTGAGCAAGGGCTGGTAGATGAACTCTGTTTCTTCGTAGGAAGAGCCAGATGTTGCGACTGTGAGGTGGAAGTGTAGGGCTAGAAAGATGTTAGTACAATAAGGGGTGAAATGGTAGGGATGGTATAGATGGGGTAACTTACTCCCATTCCTCCCCGTCTGCAAACAATCAAACACATCCTCCTCATCCTCACTCCTCTTCACCCCAAGGACAACCAAATTCGTCAAATCGCTATACAAATCTACTTTTTGCTTCGCGAGCGCCGCTTCCTTTGCCGCTTCAGCTGTGCCCGGTAACACAACGCCCGTAGTCCTTTGCTTGACCGCGCTGCCAGGCACGTTCTTATTGCTCTCGGATTGTTGTGAGGAGGAACGGGCTGCGGCAAGTTTGCTAGACAGTGTCTTGCTCTCGTTTTGCGCGGTTGCGAGGGCGTCGGTGAGTTTCTTGTTTTCGGTCGTGAGGCGCGTGGTTTCCTTTGTGGAGGCTGCGAGGTCGCGTTTTAGGGTCGTGAGGGTTGAGGTGCGGGATTGGAGGTCGGTGAGTTGGGATTTTAGGGATTTGATTACTGCGTCTTGGTCTGTCCATCATATTAGCACAAGCTGCCTCATAATATGTAGAGGGCCATACCTTTGGCGATCTGCTCTGTCCGCTTCTTAAGCTGCTCAAAGTTCGATTCTTTGCCTGTCGAAGCCGATTCCTTGAGCGCTTCGTACTTGGCAGTCATGGCATCTAGCTTCCTGGTGAGGTCTCCGACTTTCCGTCGCATGACTGGGTCGCGCTCAGAGTCTGACACGCTTCCTGTCCTTTTCCGTGAAGCGGATGTTCGGCGCGCTCTGCTGTTCGGTTGGGCTTGCGCTCGTCGTGCGGATGGTTGTGATTGTGGTGGAGGCATGCTTTCAGGTATCTCCTCTCCCATTTCAATCGACTCTTCGATATCCATAGTGTCTGCGTCTGGCTCCTGTTGTGTCTCAGGGATAGTCATCGGCTCGGGCTCGGTTTCTGGTTCGGCCGCGCGCTTCGTTCCTCTTGACTTTGTCACAGGCTTCGCTTTCGTCTCTTTCTTCTCAGCAGGTTCTTTCGCAACTGCCTTCCGCCCCCTCTTTGCTGGCGCGGGCGCTGGCTCTTCGACCTCCTCCTCTTGCGCCTTCTTCGCTGGTCTGCCTCTCTTAGCTGGTTTGGCCTGCGCAACCGGCTCCGGCTCTTCAAAGTCGTCTACCTCCTCCGTATCGCTCGCGTTGGCCTCCTCAATTTCTGCCTGTGCTTTGCGACCGCCCTTTGCCGCTACTTTCTTTGCGCCAGCCGCCGCGCTCTTCTTCATAGCCACCGCACTAGTACCACTTGTTCGACGCGTCGCCGACTTGCCCTTAGAAGTCGCCTTGGTCGCAGCAGTCGTCTTTTTGGTCTGCGCAGCAGTTCCACGCGTTTTTCGCGCGGGTTTGTCACTGGTGGAATCGGGCGTGGGAAGTGCATTGAGCTCGTCGACCGTCATTTCGTCTTCCGAGGCCGAGTCGACTGTGAAGGATATGTTCGCGGTTTTACTTCTGGGCGCCATCGTGTTCTCGTCGGTGAGTTGGGTAGGCAAATGGGGAGTGTTGCGCCGATTGCGTGTGCGGCGGGATGGGAGCGGGAGTGGGATGTAAACACACGACCCTAGCGTCGCTTCCTGACCTGGCGCGTCACCCCATAACAGGCGGCAACTTCTTCACTAATAACATCATCCAAGGAAGAAGGTATGTTTGCAGAATCGATATTATTCACAAGAAACTATCTACTACACTGGAGTGAGCTCAACAGCCCAGCTCAGGTATCATCCCAAAGTATATATCCAGAACGCCGAAGATCAGTCCATCGTGAAGTCGTAGTACAAACCACATTACCGCCCCTTCCTTACCCTGGGTATACCTATCTTCCAACACTGCTGCCGCCCCAGCTACTGGGTGTCATGCTACTAAGCTTACTTGAAATCGTGCTGCCAGAGAACCAACTCGATGATACGCCGCCGCCGCCGCCAAATCCAAACTTCCACCACTTGTTCTGTCCATACTTGCGGCCGCCTCCAAGACCAGTTCTATTGCTCTTCTTGTCATCGATCTTGTCCTCCCACTTGAGCTTCGTCTCCATGATGGCCTGGATAGAGTTGATGATGAGGAAAGTGGTTGAGCCAATGGCGCGGAAGAAGGCGAGACCAGCGACAGCCCAGAGAATGAAGGTCAGATAGAAGTTGTTCGTTACTTTGCGGTCCGAGTAAGCTTCGCTGACGGTCATGGCGAGGATGGCGTTAGAGATGAGCCAGATGACTACCATGTAGGTACGCACGGCACGGTAGTAATCTTCCTGTTGCTGCGACTCAGAGATCGGGGGCTCGGGAACTTCGACACGGTCACGGAGGTTGCGAAGCGCCTCGTCGTAGCCGCTGTCGATATCCAACTGCTCTGACGGCATCTCGAGCTCGACAATGTCCTTCTTCTTTCCTTTGGCGTCTCCTAAATCGGTCTTTGCGACGTTGTCTCCCTTGGTTCCCCAAGTGATATCGTGAGTGTTACAGAAGGCGTAAACTTGAAGTGTGGCGATGTAGGATGGGAGGAGAGCAAAGTATTGCGCGCTCGAAGTGAACATGTGCCATGGATCCAGGTACATGAAGGACATGAGGAAGTAGAGGCCAATCGTTGTCGCAGTCGAAATGATGAGATTCGTGAAGACGTTGGCACCAATCGTCTTTTCCGCCTTCGGATCCTTCAGTTGGACAATGACAATGTAGAAGGAGGCGAAGGTAGTGTAAGCCATGATGACACCATACATAACCATACTCCAGAAGAACATCTTCTTGGCACCTTGAGGTCGGTTACCCATAGACAGGATGAATTGCATGCAGATGAGCAACGTGCATGTGTAGCGGAGGATGTAGAAGATGTATTTTCCGATGTTGTGGCCGAAGGGATCGAGTTCCGGGTCTGACAGTGAGCCGGCGACGAAGTAGAAGGTCAGGTAGAAGTTGGCAAGCGAGAAGAACGTGAACAAGAGTTGCACGAACTGGTAGACGAATTCGATGTGGAGGAGGATCTTGCGCCCGATGGTATGGTCGGTTGCCCACACTTGCTTGAAATGCAGAAGTGAGTAGACGGCTGCGAAGAAAGCTCCGTTCAGCCAACGACGACGTTGGGAGATGAACTCGGGTACAGTATCTGAGGTATGTTAGTGTGTAATCAAGAATACTGCGATTGTGAAGTCTTACCTGGCACATCTGTCTCACCAGTCGCCGCCTTGACGTATTTCAACACCCATTGCTCGCTGCGCTTCGCTACAAGCTCCCAACACAGAATACGATCTTCAGCCAAGTACATGTTCGCGGTGAATACATCTGCGTCTTGACCATGGAGCGTTTCTCCTTTGAAGTACTGGCTAAGAGGACCGTGGCCTGTGTGATCGTTTTGCAACGCGTGATACCTGTATGCCGAAAGCGCACCGGGCAAGACCGTGATGTAGCCAAACACCGACTCCAATGGCTTGTCAAGGATATTGGACATCTTGTATTCGAAGTTTTGCGATGCGACAAGCGGATTGAGCAGACCGAGCCACGCCTTTCCTTTGCCGGCCTTGATTTCTCCGGCAGCTCCAGCGACGGAGGAGTCAGTGTCAAAGGCCTTCCACAGATGGTACAGAGCCTTGGGTCCAGGCTTGGTTCCCACGTCGAGTAGAATGCAGACGTTCGGGTTCAGAGCACGGCCAAAAGCGTTGAAGAACCAACGATGCGAGTTCAGCTTCTTGGAATTCTTCTCCTTCAAGCAGAAGATCATTTGGCAGGGAACGATGCCCTTTTCAGCGCCCTTGAACTTCAGGTCTGAGTCCAGCGAGACTTGGGTTGTGTATTCGTAGACGTGGGCAGTGACCTCTTTCTGGTTGACGTGGTTCTTTGCGATACCTTCTTGGAAGCAGCCCATGGCAGCAATCGCATCGAGTGTTCTGGGGTGAACCTTTCCACGACCATCCGCAATGATGCATACGACGATCTTTTGCCATCCGTCCTTTCCCCAAGTCCTTGACTTCATGCGCGAGCAGAAGTGACTGATGTTTTGCATGACACCGTGCATGGTTCGGGTGAAGTCGATCTCGTTCTCGTTGTACATGGTAATAGCGATGAACAGTTCGGTTTCGCGCGGATTGCCGATGTTCTGGCGCAGCTTGTATCCGCGATCGCAAAAGTCATCTGGGTCGCATGTAACGGCTGTGTATCGCATGTGCGTGAACTCGATGTCGTCTCGTCGTGGAAGGAAACTGTGGAGGATGGTAGGAATTTTACACTCGAGAATGAGTTCGCCGTTGATCAAGCGAACCTCCTTCTTCGTCATTACGGCGTCGCGCGCTCCACGTCGTTCTTGTGCGCCATCGGGAGCCGGCCCGTAGTGCTCTGCCTTCTCATCTATCTCGGTGTAGATATCTGTGTATGTGTCATCGGTCATGTACGAGTCGCGCGATCGCAGGTCTGGTCTGTCGTCGCCAATGTCGGTGAAAGGGTCGTCGTCGTCGTCGTCGTGAATGGGTATCGAAGTCATATCAGTCATGTCCATGGTGCCCTCGGAGCCGCGAGAGTTGGGTCTGCGGCCGGTGAACAAGGGCTGGGGTGGTAGTGGCCGCTGAGGGCTGCCTGGCCTTGGGCTACCATGGAGGTCGACTGGCTCATATGAGTTGACTGACGCTGGCGGCCGCGAGTAGTCCGCTGATGTGCGCGTGGGCGAATATGGTCGGTCGGGTGACAGCGGCCGTCGGTATGGTACGTATGGGTCTTCTCCCGGCGGCGGCATGTTTGGCGCAGTATCCATCACAGACGGCGTCCGTGATAAGCCGGATACTGAAGAATTTGTGGGGTGGTATGATCGCGATACTGGCGATGGAGGTCTGCGGGAAGAATGTAATGGTAAGTCTGGGTCTTGTAACCGTACGGTCTGGTAGGGCGTTGTGTCGAACTGCGACTTGACAGTCTTTCTTCGCGGCATCTGCGTAGGCATTGCCGCGCTCGACGTCGAACTCAGCGCATCGCCGGCCTCGCGCAAGAAGTCGTGAATGTCCGCCTCGGCAGCCTTCTGCTTGCCCACTTCAGACATGGTCATGCGCTCGCCCAATTCAGCCGTGTTGCTGTTGGCATTCGACATGTTTGAAGTGTCCTCGAAAGACGATCTTCTGGTGGGGAATGAGATTGGGTCCGGATGCAGGACGCAAGTGAATGGGGAGAAAAGAGTGAGACAAATACTCACGGCATGTAACTCTGTTCGTAACTTTGGTCCTCATCCACGTTTGTCAATAAACGCATGGTTGATCCTCCTTGTAGTTGCTGAGGGGATCCGTCATCATAGTCATATGCAGGTGGCCGTCCATAGTGTGAACCACTGTGTGGTGTGGACCCGTCCATTATGTGTATGCGTCGCGAAAATTCAGATTGGGTATGGAAAACTGTCGTCGCTCTTCGTGGCACTCGAGAAGTGATTGCAATGGGCAAAAATGCGATATGGATGTGTTCAAAAAGGGTGTAATAGTTACTTTCCCAGCAGTGATGCAGCGGAGGCGCATGCAGTGGTGTTGTTTCTTCGGGCGTTGTTATGGTAACCCCACACCCCTGCCCATGTTAGCTCAGGCGTGCCAGGAACACAACCCCAGAGGCGGCCTCCATATGGCTTAGACCGTGACACCTCAACAATTCATGCGCTTCCGTCCTTAGCCGCGTGCGACTGTTTCGCCTGTCCTGTTCTATAGGCCCGGGATGTAGCTTGCACTATTGGCATTCGTCATCAGAAGGTTGTCGAGGTGAACGTGAGCTAAGCCTTGCCGCCTCTGTATTAGGCCCGGATCATGTCACAAACCCACAGCCGAACCGGGTGTTCGCAGGTAACGAATGCATGTTTGCTTCTATCCACATGGAAGATCCCCATGAGGTAGGCCTGGACTTCAAATTGGTCTTCGCAAGAAGTGGGTCAAAGATCGAGGAGAGTGGACCTAGCGCCGCGGCCTCGGTAGCAGGTAAGAACGACTTCGCCAGCGAACAACATAATAGCTACCGCAATCATACCGTATTACGAAATGGCTTTATCATTAAACAGGCTGGATTAAGACCAGGCCTTAGTCTGAGTCAAAGGCGCACTGCATTGTCGTTGCAAGAACGACTTCAATATTCAGGTATCAGTCTCCACCTGAGCCATATTTCAGACGTAAAGCTGGGCTTCGAAGGTGAATTTATAACTTATTTTCAGCTCTTTGAAGAACATCTCTTGTTCGATTGTCGTTTGAAATGCGGAAGTTGTGAGTAGCTCGTCACTGCGACGCAGTGCCATGGTAGGACTTGCGCGCCCACTATGGGTCAGTAGATAGAACATATCGCGCATTCCTACCGCTCCTCATCTCGATGTATACCATGATACATCAACCCTTACACCTTTTAGCTTACTGAACTACGAAAACCTCAAAAACGATATTAATATCACCATGGCATCGACAGCCCCTACTCCCAAGATATCCATCACAAGCGAAGCCCTCCAACAAGAACTGGGCAAAGCCTTCCGCGCAGCCAAGATAAAACAATACGAAGAAAGCCTCCCGGAATCATGGGAGGACGTACAAATCGAATACCTGTGGAAGAAGCAGCTCGAGGTTACTTACTGTAGTGTTCTCAGCCCTCTGATACAAGTAGCCTGACCGCCGCCAGCCCAGCGGTTTCCTCCCATTGGTTCGACCTTTGCGATCTGGCCCGTATCGATTTTGACTTTTACTTTGCGGCACTACTGCAAGTGAGTGAACCAGACGTTTTATCGAGTCTGTCAGAGCTTGTGGACAGGCATCGCGTTACGTGTGACGACGTGGAGCTAAAGATGGAGGAGCAGCTTCACTATCAGTTTGACTGGGCTTTCTATCGACCCGAGCAGGGATTTCTGGTGAAAGCCTGCATTCGGGGAGGTCGAATATCATGGCCATCCTAATTATCGATACCAGTGCAAGGACGAAGAAGACTTCATGAGGGCGGTTTATCGCGATCATATGTATGTTGAGGCAGGGGAAGATGGGCCTTGGATTCAAGATGCACTGCGAAAGGTTGATGCAAGGAGGTTGGTGGATGAGGTGGAGTGGAAGCTCTGAGCTGGTACGAAGGCTGAGAGGAGCTATGGTTGGGTACTGAAGAGTGATCTGACCAGCGGCGATTTAGGCTTCGGGGAATATGGCGCGGTGTTTGGTGCGCCATACGCTTTGAACCTTCGTAGCCGTCGTCTGTCTTCATGTCGGTTCCTGGATTCGACGACTCTGGTAGCGACATTTAGGATGCCAGCGGTCGCGGAGAGGACGATGCTTTGTGAGCCATGTTCTCTTGTGCTCCTGAATGACGTCCGTGTCCATGTCACGCGGACGGATTGCGGATCTACCGGCACTAGGAGGTGATCTGAGCATCGTAGGCCGATGCTTTGTGCAACATGCGCTCTGATGCTTTTCATTCGACGTCCATGCTTGCGTCCCTAAGTCGGTACCGTTCAAGGGCTAACGCTTCGTCTATTATGCAAACGATCTCTTCCCGATTGGCGTTTGCGTTCCTGCCAAAGAGGTTAGGAGTTTCAGTGAATGTCTCCAGACGAGACCTGTTTCCAAATGCGGCGATCTGGAGCCAGCAGATACGAGTTTGCGACCCGAGAGGGCGTGGACAGTGACTCAGAAAGTATGACAACTTTTCTTCCTCTCAATGGCTAGATGGCGAGGTACTGTCCGACAGTGAGAACGGAGGTTGATGTAGTGCCAGGACGTCCTTTCCTAGAACCCTAAGACAAAATCTACCTCTATGCTATTACCAGTCACCAAATTCCCCTCCCCGAAGCTATAAGGGCTGAATGTGTTGCTTCATGGTGATATAGACTTTGCGAGAAAGTTCGAAGGGACATTCCTTCTGCCCGACGACGGTGATCTTCTCGAGTTCCAAGCTCAGCTTGTCGTCGTGGGTCTCCAGAACTCCACCAACAATCATCTCAAAGGTCTGCTCAATATGGCATGGAAGATATCGCCGGCCTGGGTATATACCCGGTGGCCCTTGTCAGCCGCCGTGCCATCATCTCGGCCCTTGTGATCATGAAGACAGGTCGACGTTCGCTCAGCCTCCCAGATTATCAGTCTGGTGGGCGTAGTGGAACATAGATTTTGTATCGCACTTTGCTGCATGCACACCACTAAGTCTCAGCAGATAAGTAGCATCGAGGACAATGCAAAGTTCAACCTAGAGGTATTTTTCAGAAGACTTGTAAATTTTGACACAAATTCTGTCACTGTTTAGTATCTGTAAGAAGATGATTGATGTTGTGATAGGATATGCGTGACAACTATAATTACATTGAAACGAATGAATCGACAAGCTCCTCAGGGTCATAGAGTATACATACCAACTTGACTACTTCTCCGTCACTTACCGTCGATATACACCCGGCAATGACATATTGGCGATTGGTGTATATAAGCTAGTGTGAAAGTAACTCGGCGATTCGCGCAAGCTGCTCGGAGTACGGCAGCCCGGTATCATCGCTTAGCCGGCATCACTTCCTTATGCGCGGACGGCATCTCTGCTTTTCCCCAGCGGGCCGATGGATGCGCCTCCCCTTCAGTGGATCGTGGATAAATGTTTTAGACCTGTTCGGCCATGATTGGTTCTGACAACTGGAAGGCGAATATAACCGGGTAGTTCAATGTTCCCGTTTACACCGTTCGTGACATCTGCGCTGATGGGTGTTGGCTGCGGCTATTTTTCCCGGACCACTCACGCGCCTGTCTTTGTGCCTGATTATTGGAGGTGCTGTTCGCGTAATGTTCATGCTGTGTCACGCTGACAATTTTTCCGTTGTCTAGATTGGACGGCGGTGGTAATGCAGTGTACCCAACAGCTGGGCGATTACACCTAGTGGCGCTCCAAACAACAGCTTGTAGGATGATTTAGTCGACATGCAAGTCAAACACAATACGGTTGTTTGAGGCTAGACGAGCGGGCTGAAATGCAGGGCTCTTCCAGCGCATGATTGTATGATGACACTCTATCGCGGTCGGCCAAGTACGGGCATGACACCACCTAGAGGCACTATCAGACTGGTCTTGTCATGTAGCTGAGATCTATCACAGCTTCTGATGTCCTGGTAAGCTGCAATCGTTACCGACTTACCATTATATAGCGCATCTGCTGTTCTGTACGTAACATGGTCCGGATTCCCGCGAGCTGTCGATCGGGAAAGTTTAGCCGTAGATACGACAGCACGGCTGAGGTCGACGAGCACATATCCATTAGCGGCAGGTTAGTTGGATGCCTTGCAAAGTCTTGTGTCGCATCCGCATACGTTTTGTGTGGCCAGATCTAGTGGTTGCGTGGCTGAGGCTTGGTAAACACGACCACTCGCTACATAGAGACCAACGTACCCCCCCTGGCCCAACAATTCCAAGTTTGACGTTCCATTCGAGGAACACGAAGTGGAGTAGCGAGCAAACTAAAAATGTAAGGTCAGAGAGAATGACGAAAACGGACGAATGAGGCGCGTTACCGGTGAGAGGTAAGTGGTGTGGGTGCAAGGGTGCATACAGGTCAACTGTTCTCCGATAGAACGTTGCTCGGCCCGGGGGGCTGTCACAGACTTCGAGGCTGAAAGCTTGAACGGTGAGCTAATGGGGCTCGGTTCTGGGTAGCGGGCCACCCACGTGAACTGAACCGCATGCATACATGACGCAAAAGTATACCAAGTATCTTGTAGTATTTGAACATGCGTGTGCGCAGCTAGGAGGCACGATGAGGTGGCGATGCTATGTAAGGATAGATAATCAGACGCAGGGTATCACGCGGAATATTGTTGCCAAGTGGCGTAGGAACCGGGACTTCGCATGCCGGTCGGAGTATTCGATGGCGGATATGCAGCAGCTAGTGGTATATAGTGCTGCAAGGAGGTTTCCGTGTGCAGAATGCACATAGCTAACGAAGCAGCGGTGTGCATATTGATGGGATATCGAATCATGTCGAGTCGCGCGTCGACAGAAGGCCAAAAGAGAAATTCTAGACGAAAAATGTAAGAGCAGCGCAGCAGATGTAAGCAATGCAGGCGTTAGTGCCACGCAGAGGCGAATTGGACAGAGCGAAGAGGTATTGCTGTATGATTGTAGATGGTGTTGATTCGCTAGTCCTACGACAAGAGACGTTGGTCGTTCATATCGGGACGGTATCTAAGCGCGCGGTGGAGTGACATGTAGGATGTGACGACAGCCTCCACCATGCATGGCTGCGGCGCAGGTTGTGTGACATTTGCCGGACTATTGGCGTTTAATTTAGGCGAAGTAAGCGCTGAAGCACAGATGGCGATGGCCCGGGATGCTGATTCACTTCTTCTTTTTGTCCTTGATCTTTTTCTTTGACTCTGTCCCGCTGCTTGCGCCGCTGCCTGCCTCGCCGCCCATCATCTCTCCCATCATATCCTGTAAGAAGTTCTCACTGACACCGCCACCCGTTAGGGCAGGTGAGTGTAGGGGGAGGATCTTGCTCATCTTCCAGCCCTTTGGTATCGCTGGCTCCGGCATCTCCTTGGGCATAGGCAGACCCGCGATAGGTAACCTGAAAGGTGTATTCTTCTGTGTCGGATTTGCTTTGAGGGCCTGGGCGATGAGGACGTAGAGATGGTGCTTGTTCTTCACATCGTCGTCCATCAATTTGCCTTCATGCTTGAGAAGGACGCGCACCCTGCCGGGGTTGGCCCAGTCTTTGGGGTGAGTCTTGTCAGGCTCAAAGACAGTCCGGAGACCCAAGTCGGCAGCAGCGTCGGCCATCTCCCGCGCCAGAGGGTTCTCCACCGCAAGCTCCTTCCCCACGCGACGCCCTTCAGCCCGTGTCCGTGACTTGTCAAAGTATATGGGGTATAGACATTGGTAGTGCTTGGACTTTTCCCGGTCCGTAGATGTCGACATGGAGGGCGATTGCGGCTGCAGCATCTGCGATTGGAGCGCCTGCATCTGCGCTTGTGTCGGCATGGACTTGTTGCCCGTGCTGGGAATATTATTCGCGTTCATCAGAGCGGGTACATCGTCGATGCCCATCTCTGACGGGTCGCTGTCCGAATCGCTGACTTCTTCGACGCGTGGATTCATCGTGGCTTCAGGTCAGTCCTATCTGGAGGTTAGGTTGCATGCAATGCCAGTGTCCCTCGGGCCGTCACTCACCTTGCCTTCTCCGGTATGATAGAATTATCGCGTTGTTGTGAAGGCCGCCTGCATGTCTGGAAAGATGTGGGGGAAGCTAAACGCGGGGCTTGGCTATGGAAGAGGCAGGCGCTTCCGACTCGGCTCGGCGCTTCGGCGCTTTTCTTCCAGCTCCGCATCACGGCCCGGGCAACTGCTCTCGTCCCGACGGACAACTTCATCGCTCTAGCACCACCTCCCAACACTGAGCTGACTCTCTCTCTCACCGCAACTTGCGGCCTCTAAGTTCATCAGGTGACGTCTTGGGACCCAGCTAACGGCCTGCCGGTATACGCAGGGTCTGACCGTTATCACCCCGCCCCACCACCTCAAGCCCGCCCGTCGGAAAAGTACCTCCCATTTCGCTATCATGGCACCTGACCTAGCGTCTAAATTTATTGTCTGCCTCATTGTATACTCCCGCGCTAGTGCCAGGATCTGCAGTTAGTCGATTGTGGCAGCTGGTCCGCGTGTGTCCAGCATCCCAACCAACCATTGAAGCGTTGATATACCATTCCTCTGATCAGGCCTTTATGATGAAACGCGGATGGGTCGCATGGATGTGGTTGGCCTAGCCATCCCATGCAGTAGGCGTCAGCGTGTGAGTCGAGTCTTTCCCTCCAGCACATCCTTGCGCTGTCCTGATTTACAATAGCGTAGTCCGCATATTGAGCCTGCCATGACAAAATATCAGTCTAGACATCATAGTAGATCACGTCAGGTCATGTCTACGCAATCGAAGGAGTACTAACATTGCGGCCTCCAGGGCTTCTGGCCCGTAGAATGCGCCGGTACTCGCGACACTACGCATAAGGGCCTTCTCGCTTCTGGCAGAATCCGCGATACTCCCCTCGTGTTCAATGCCGTCACTAACCAAGAAGGAGCTCTTGGGTTCTATACACTAGGTTCGGTTACACAGGACGAACAGCTAAAGCCTGATCCGATCTTCCTGGCACCGGATTGCATGCGGCCGCAGCGGCCTCGTCGATCCCAAACCCCGGCGTATTTCCACACTCCACTTCTACCATGTGGCAATGATGCAGGCGTCGCAGCCGTTCGCGAGCCGCTAGAGCAAAGCGTTGTCAGTCCTGCATTGCATGCGTGTGCCAGCCTGCCCATGTGAGATACGATGGAGAATCCGACAACGACGGCCTATGCACGCACCACTCGCGTTGGCCCTACTAACAACCGTCCCCGTCTCCTGGATAATCTTACACCGCGCAGCATATGCAAGGATAACTATCTATGGTTATTTCTGGTTTTTGCCCTGACATCGAGGCGACAATGGCCCCTGATCTTACACGATGCGTCTTCCTGTCACGTCCGGCTGACCGTCCTTTTATCATCTCGATAGCAAGCAAAATCTGGTAAAACAGCCACAGTCTGCGCCGATTGGCTAATCAAGTAAGCGGTTGACCGTTGACTCTCCACAAGGATGAATAAGCATAGGATCCTTTCACTGCATCCTACATACATATCTATCCACCTGGAAGCCAGTTTTGAGCCGGCATCGTTTCTGACACTAGTTTTCACAAATTTGGGTTCCCCGGACGGCCCGAACTTAAGGCTGAAGATGGTCTGCCAAGAATCAAAGTGTGGTCCTAATGACCCTAAGCCTGATTACACCGCAAACGCTCCGCTCCAAGAGGACGCCTCACCCGTCGGGATACCATACGCGTCGTGGTTAGCTCACGCTACTATCAATCGACTATAAAGTCACGCATCGTGCACCTGCGCTTCCAGTCTCTCCAGGCATTGTGCGAGTTCATTTAACACTGCACACACCGTTTCCTATATCAATCTTTGCCTTTCCCTCCAACAACTGTGACTACTACTCACTGTTGCCAAAAGCCAACTTGCAACGATGGCACCGGCTTTATTGATAAACGATGGCGGCAGTTTCAATCCCGCATCCCAGAGCAGCGTCTCACGTGAAACGATGGATCAAGCTCCTGCACTAGTCACTTCTCGCAGCCGTCGAGCCCGCCGAGGTTGCGATCATCTCGGTAGTCCTTTACTCAAACGCAGTGCAAGGGGTCCTCCGTTGTTCCTGGAAGGCGCCGAGGGCAACTGGCTTTCGGTAGTAGATGGAGAGAAGGCCTGGAAGATCTTTGACGCATCTGGAGGTGCCGCTGTAGCGAACATTGGTTATAAGGACGAAAGAGTGTTTGAGGCTATAAGGAAGCAACAAGAGTCCGGTGTTGGGTATGCCGCATCGATGAGTTTTTACACTGAGATAGTGGGAGATTTTGCGGACTTTCTTCTTGAAACAACCGATGATAAGTTGAAAGAAGTGGTGTTCTATGGTTCTGGTAAGATGGCTCCACATTCCAGGGCTGAGACCAAGCTGACAATCATCAGGCTCTGAAGCTAATGAGGCAGCACAAAAGCTAGCCTATCAGTATCACTTCAAATTGAAGCCGAATCCGCAACCTCAACGCACCTGGTTCATTGCTCGCGATCGTTCCTATCATGGAACGACTCTTGGGGCTCTCGAGACCAGTGGACACAAGGCCCGCAAAGAGGTTTATTTACCGATATTGCCTAAGAAGACGCAGTTCATATCCCCTTGCAATCCTAGCCGCGACATGAACAAGGGAGACTCGGTGGCTCAATACGTTGGGCGACTTGCAGATGAGTTGGAGCGCAAGATTCTTGATCTTGGCCCTGAAACAGTAGCAGGCTTGGTGATGGAGCCTGTTAGTGGCGCGGTATGTTGAAGTGACTCTTTTTCCCCGCTTATTCTTTACTGACACATGGCTACAGTCACTCGGATGCGTTCCCGCATTACCAGGCTACCTTACGGCGATGAAGCGAGTATGCAGGAAGTACGGCGTGCTCTTGATTCTGGATGAGGTCATGTGTGGCATGGGTCGCACCGGCTATATGCACGCATGGCAAGAAGAGGATGTTGTCCCCGATATCCAATTGGTAGGCAAGGGCATTGCGGGCGGCTATGCAGCCCTCTCCGCGATGCTGGTCGGGCCACTCATCGTGGATGCCATGGGAGACAACGCCTTTTCCCACGGCCAGACGTTTCAGAATTTCCCGACTGCTTGTGCTGCCGGAATGGCAGTTCAAGAGATTGTCCGAGACGACAACCTTCTAGAGAATGTTCGGGACAAAGGGGACAAGCTCATGCAGAAGTTGCAAGCTCGTTTGGGCGACCATCCCAATGTTTTCGACATTCGAGGAAAAGGCCTCTTCATAGGGGTAAGTCTGACCATCACCTGCTAGTCACGCTGCAACTACTAACAAAGCCAGATCGAATTTGTGCAAGATAAGCACATCAAGGCAGCTTTCGATCCGGAAGTGGAAGTGGCTTGGAGGGTACACGAGCTTGGTAAGTTCATATTGTCCTAGCGAAGATCTCATCGCTGACCATCTGTGCAGGATTGAAGGATGGATACAATGTGTACACGTACCCAGGCTCCGGTACCGTTGATGGCACCCGTGGTGACCACATCATCATCGCCCCTGCATACAACGTCACTGATACCGATGTCGAATTCATCGTAGAGCGTGTCAGCAAGACCATCGTTGACTTCTTTGAGGAGCTCAGCGTCACACCGAAGTTCTAGATATCGACGTCGAACCATCTTAACGACCGCTGGACGATGGCCGCCACTCGATCATATTTCCTCGGCAACGAATGATTACGATTTTCCTTAATTTCTCTCTTTGCACTGCACGGAAGGCCTTTGTGATCAGCATGTGCACGGCGGCTCTATGATCATTTTCTGGGACTGACTGTTTGGATGCTGCATCTTTTTTACGGTACACTCAGGATCATCTGCAAAACTGCATTGGGGCTGCTGTCTGAACCATTGATCGCAGTTGAAACGGGTATTAGACTATAGACCGAAAGCGTATTCGCGTGTTAGAAGCCGATAGTTGTATGTTTGTCGTTCTTCCTCTATCAGTATCCGACTCTATGTCTACGTTCAGGTCTTGATCATGGTCTTTGTTTAATACAAACTATGTAAATTGTGACAAAAGTTCAATACTTGCATACCATGTCACCGTATAAAAATTGACTACTTCAACATGTTGAGTGTACACCACGACTTCAGCACTGGGATCTAGTGACCCGTGCGGCGCACGGACCATTCACCAAATCACGACTCCGCCTTGGCGCCTAATCACCACTTGAGCAGGAAGGCGCAGACAGCCGGCTCCCATCTTCCAGAACCTCAGCATTGATCCGCAGTGACATAGCCAGAAGGGCAGTGCAAGTACTCAGGCCTACGAAATTGTAGTGTAGGAGTGGGGAAAACGTTGGGGGGCCATGACGTTATCCTTTGAAGCGGAGTGCAGCGTGCATCGAACCTTCCATCAGCCAAGCCAGTGGGATAGGCAGAGGCAAAGAAGCGCATCCGAATGGGCGGTACTGATGAACTGCGGTAAGAGAGGGCTCACATCAGCGTGAGGGCGTGTGCCTGGAGGCTGCAGATAGGTGAGAGCATCAGAATAGGAGGAATATTGCGTCATAATAAAGAAGCAACAGAAGGAAGTGCAGTTCCACGTGCGGCAGGGGCCGCGCCTTCCAAGGTTGTATGTAGTGATTATCCCAGCTTCGCGAAGAACCGGGAATGTGCATCTAGAAAGCGGCATCGCGGGAATAGCTGAATTGGGATGGACCCTGAACACCTCGAACTTTGATCACAACAAATGTGTCGAGAAATTCATCGGGTTGTTGCCATGCCATCATGTCTTTCGAGGCGCTCGTTACGTACGCTGGTAGAGGCTCGTCGACTACTACCACAGTAACCAGATGACATTGTAGGTACGTGCAGCATCGCAGATCATTGTCTTGGTCTTCTCGTGACCATGGGCGTTGCCTCACTTTGCAGAGCGGTCACACAAGGGCTTTGTTTGATGGGGAATGGGCTCCGATGGTGCTAGAGCCGCACGCGGTGTAGGGATTAGTGTTACGGAGGTCTTTTGATTGTTGGGTGGAAGTCTTGTGCAGCGGTTTCAGTCAGATGTCTGCGACGTGCGGGTGGTGGTCTGGGCGCAGTTTGGCAAAGAGAGCACTTGGGGGCGGGATGCACATGATGGAATGTGCATAATGAAGACGGTGAAGGTGATAAATAGTTGATGATTAATGACTGATATTGGTAAATGTTTTGAGTACGAGTGAATCCAGACAGGTCGAGTGGAGACGGCTTTGCGCTGAGGGTGGGCAAGCGACCGAAGACATATTAATGGGCTTCGGGCGGCTTTTCTCTTTCACCAGGCTAGATATCGCCAAACGCGCTGCAGGCACATGACCTGGTTGCGAACATCTAGCAGCACAAGACAAGCGCTCTGCGGGATTAACATCATCAAATAGAGTCGAGCAGAGCAGCGTCAAGTCTTGGGCCGCAGAATTAGGACAAGGCAGAGTTCGGCGCGAGACGCGAAAGAGAGACGTCGCTGGCGTGCCGCGAGAAGATTGAACGAATGACGCTCCATGTGGACCGCACAGGCCGGTTCTCACCACAGACTCCGCAACAAGTGTGATCTCAACCTCGCCTGCTTCCACCCGGCGACATCAACGCTTTCACACCTCCCTGGCATGTCCGACACCCGCCATTCTTCCCAGCGTGCACCTCCATCGCCCTCAAGAGTCTCGTAGCCCGCCCCGGCACTGCCTCCAGCCGCGGCTACCAGCACCTCCGCAGCACCATCTACAGTGCCCAGGCCTGCGATAACGCCTCTGCTGGCTACGAGCCCGCGTCCCAGCACGCAAAAGCGCCGACTGAGCATCCCGACGACGACGCTCCCCCAATTCGGCGCCCCCGTCGCGCCATTTGGCCGCCTCACCGACGTGCTTGGTCCGCTTGCCTGTGCAGACAAGTAGCGTCACGACGTAGGCTCTCGCACCCCCAGAGACGCACCCAGCCATGTCGACGCCCTCGACCGCCACGGCCACACTCCCGCCCCATCACCAGTTTTATTCTCACCACCAGACGTACCAGCCCAGCATCACCAATGCCCAGATAGCCAACGGCGGCGCTCGGATAGGCAACTCGCTCTACAACGGCTACGCTAGCGCTTCCTCCAGTTCAGACCTTCGCCGGAACGCGACTGCCCACACACGACACCCGCCCCAGCTGCCGCCCATCTCCCAGGCATCGCCCATCGACATGAGCGCGAACGATCCGGGCTCGGCCCACCGGCGGCGGAACCCTGACTGGGCCGACTTCTACAGGAACGGCATCCCGAAGGAGGTCATTGTTATTGACGACGACGATGACGACGACGATGAACCCCAGCTGCCTCCGCCTCGCAACCACGCGCCCTCATCACGCACTGCGACAAACCCATCCGCGCGCCATACCGACAAGAAGCGCAAGACGACCGCATCCACGGCATACGACCCCGTCTACAACCAGCACACGTCCTACTCCACCACCCAAACACCCTACTACGACTCCCCCAACCACTCGCTGTCCACCGACAGGACCACCTCTGCGCTCAACACTACGGCGCCGACGTCATTAGGCTCGCAGGTCAGCAATGGCCATCACATCTCGCCTCTCGACAACAGCGCAGCGGGCCAGAAGCGCAAGCGCACCCGCGCCGTGGTGCAGGATGAAGCAAAGCAGGCCAAAAGACGAGAACTGGACAACGACGACCCCTTCAGCCTGTATCAGCCACCGCCCAACCCGGTGATCAAGGCGAAGGACGTCTATGTACAAGTCGTCCCAGATGTAAGACCAACGCCTCCTCTCCCAGGACCTGAACTGACATGCTCTAGAAGTCGTATACCAAAGACCAAAAGGTGGACGATGACGATGGCCACTACATTGTAGTACCAGAGGCCGACCTCACAGAAAGATGTACGCACCCATTGTTACAACCCGAAGAACGATACTGACAAAGGACCTCAGACCAGATCACAAAACTGCTCGGCCAGGGCACTTTTGGCAAAGTCGTCCAAGCCTACGACAGACGGAAAGGCACAAATTGTGCCATCAAGGTCATTCGATCAGTGCCCAAATACCGAGATGCCAGCCGTATCGAACTGAGGGTACTGTCAACATTGGCATCCAACGACAAGCACAACATCAACCGGTGTATCCACCTACGAGATTGCTTCGACTTTCGGAACCACATTTGCATCGTCACAGATCTCTACGGACAAAGCGTGTTTGACTTCCTCAAGTCGAACGGCTTTGTCCCATTCCCCAGCTCCCACATCCAAAAGTTTGCAAAACAGCTATTCACTAGCGTTGCCTTCCTCCACGACCTCAACCTCATCCACACCGATCTGAAACCGGAGAACATCCTGCTTGTCAACAACAATTACCAGACTTTTACGTACAATAGGACTGTGCCGTCATCGTCAACAACAGTAAACCGGACAGCGCGGCATCGCAAGGTCCTTCTGGATCCCGAGATCCGCCTCATCGACTTTGGATCGGCGACCTTCAACGACGAATATCACTCCTCAGTAGTCTCGACCCGTCACTACAGAGCACCTGAGATTATCCTCAACCTGGGCTGGAGTTTCCCTTGCGATATCTGGAGTATAGGATGCATCCTGGTCGAATTCTTCACTGGCGACGCCCTCTTCCAAACGCATGACAACCTCGAGCACCTGGCGATGATGGAGGCTGTCTGCAGTGGCAAGATTGACCGAGACATTGTGCGAGCGGTCTACAAGCAAGACCGCGGTTCATCACGCAACTCGTCGAGCTCGTAAGTAGACACGGTGCCATTCTCATGACGTTGCTAACATCTCTAGTGCTGCGCGATACTTCAAGAACTACAAGCTCGACTACCCCAACGCAGACACCAACAAAGCCTCGAAGAAATACGTCAAGGCGATGAAGAAGCTTCCTGTACGTCCATCTACACCACCTCACTCAATCCTCCATCTAACTTTTCACAGGAAACAATACCAGCCCACACCGACTTCAACCGTCAATTCCTCGACCTCCTCCGGCGGATATTCGTCTACGACCCCAAGAAACGGATAACAGCCAAGGAAGCACTGCAACACCCCTGGTTCAAAGAGTCTCTCATGGACGACGGAACCGAAGCGCACAAGATCCGTCTCGAGCGGGAGAAAAAGGCCCGCCGCCAGGAAGAAGAGCGAAGGTTCCGTGATCAACAATCGCGAGCGTATTGAGCGAATCTGCAAACTTGACAGACACACACATTACCCCAGTCTGGATGGATCGGACGAACGGACACAGTGTCTTTGTATAGATTAACAGACTACCTAGCTCCGCCGCGCTTATAGGATTCACGGGCATGTGCAGCAGCAAGCAAACAGTATGATAATTGGGTTGATGGGCGGTGGGTGGTATTGTTCTTTTCTTTGGCTTCACATCTACTGCATTTACGACAGCGACATGAACGCATGGAGAGAGAGAGAGAGAGAGAAAGAACCGCAAAGGGTCAGACTAGGTCTCTTTATTCTGCTCTGGACTTGATTGGCGTTTTTATTGTGTTATGGATGGATTACACCAATTATCCTCTCTTGTGTTTTTGTTCGTTTCTTCTGAATGTGCTTTCGAGCCGATTATGGGAGAAAAGTATTACTGTCTTTTTGGCTTGTCTTGTCTTGCCCTGCGAGTGCTGCGTGCGGCATGAGATCGAGAGACAGAAGAAGAAGAGGCGTGTATCTTACTCAACTGTGTTGAAGATGGTGGTGGGTATGATCTACCTTTACCAGAGAGAGGAAAGAGAGAGAGCAACTAGCTTTTCGTATGGACGATATCAAGTCGTGCTGTACGCTTGTATAATTTAGGATTTTCAAGCTTCGATGCTTGGTGTATGAAAGTAGTGGTGTGGCTAAATAGGCTACACTTTATGGAAGGATCTCATCTTTGAATCACTGTTTGTGCTCATGTGAGAATTTGCCATGTTGGTGATGTCGTGACCAATCCATATCTCGCACCATTTACTTTTGCAACATCGCCAGGGAACAAGTGCTTGCAGTCAACTCCGCGGACGCACCCAGGGTGGGTGGGGGAGGCGGAGGGGAGGAGGAGGGGAGGTGGTGGAAGTCACTCTTCTGCAAGGTCTCCTCAGTCCTGTATAATCACTTGCGTAGGTGACTGTTTTTGTAACTAACCTTCACCACTAGAAGTCCCATCTTTTGTTAAGTGCCTTGTAATGTGAAGGAATTACTTTTGACCCGTCTTCACTGCGCGCATCCCAAACCGGCAAACCAAGCGACCCCACTAGCGCGAGCCCTCGACCCTTGTCTTCCGTCCAGTCAGATCCCGGACCCGCAGTAAACACGTCCCTCGGCGCGCGCGTCGCAAACAACGTGGTTGACGACATTTGCGACAACGACGACCACGCTACGACGAAACGACAAGATGGCGAGCGCAAAGCAGCAAGAGAATATGCTGCTTACTGAGCACTTTACTTGGCCTCCTATTGTACGTATACATACTGAGCGAGGGGGGTGGGGTGGTGGGAGGGGAAGTAGGTGTAGACGGAGTGTAGATGGTGTCTGCAATGCCTTGTAGACACTCCACGATACCTCTCTTCTAATGATTGGACCTTGTTCTATATCCCAAATCTAACATCAATTCAGTCCCTAATCGACGACATAATAAACGCCATAAACGAAGTCCTCTACCGCTGCACCGACTCCTTCGAAACCGGTCTCTCCTCCGCCGACCCCTCCCTCCTCGGTTTCGCCGACCTCTACGCCTCACAAAACCGCACGCCACAGAAAGACGAAGACGGAAACGATGTATACCCAGAAGCACGATTGGAAATTGAGGAGGGAGTGCTGAAGCTAGAGACGCTCATGGAGAATGCCGTGGACAAGAACTTTGATAAATTGGAGATTTGGACGCTGAGGAATGTTTTTGCGTTGGGGAGGGGGAAGGGGCAGGATGAGGGGCTGGCGGAGTGGGTAAGGTTGGGGCATTATGAGGTATGTTCTCTTTCACAGCAATAAACCACAGTACACAGAGGCAGTAAAAGGGCAGGATAGATGGAATAGGCAAGACGAACACAACACTAATACCCAACCAGAACCTCGAACCCCCCTCCAAAAACTCAACCCTCACCCCAGAATCCCTCTACACTCTCCGCCGCAAACTCATCGAAACGCAAAAACTAAACGCCGCTCTCCTCGCCGAGAAAACCCGTAACGAGACGCAAATAGCACGGTTACGCGCCCTTCTCACGCCATCTACCTTGCCGAAACGCGAATCCCTTACTTCGACATCAGGAAATGACAAGCAGGAGGGACAAGCAGCGCCCTTCGCCTTCTTAACGCACGCGCCTGCTGCGAAGGAAATAGGCATCCAATCTCTACCTCACCAACAACCGAGTACCGCGAACGGGGAGAAGAATGCAGAGAAACCCAACAACGACACAAAACACACGCCCCTAACAACACACACATCCTTCACCACGACTCAACTACCCTACCTGCGCCAACTCCTCGCGAGTTTGCAACCACATCTCGCCAATACCGCACTACCTAGCAACACCACACCCCACAATTCACACTCACACGCGCACGCTCAACAGCAGCCAAAAGATAAAGAAGAATTAACCCGCGAACGCAAGATTTACGTTGAGAGTCAGAGTAAACGCGTACTGGAAAGACGGGGCGTGGATACTAAGGATGGCGTGGAGGGTGTTTGGGAGGGTGGGAGTAGGGTGGGGAGTGAGGAGGTTAGGGGGTTGGAGGGTTTGGTTGAGGGGATGGGTAGAACAGGGGAAAGCAGGGCTGGTGGTGAAGGAAGGGGAGGGCGGAGGGAAGAGGAAGAGGGGCTTGAGGGGATACAAGAAGGGGACGAGGACGAAGAGGAGGATCCTATGGATACAAGTTGAGTTGAGTTGGGTGTGTGGATCCGATTTTGCTGGGCTGGGATGGGTTCATGGGTTGGAATGGGTGTTTTGGCGCTTGGAGATATACCAGTGTGAGGAACTCTGTGGTACTGGAGTCATTTGCACTATTCTTCATGTGAATTTCACATTTTTTTGGCGACAATCTTCCATTTGTGTCTTTTTTTTCTTTTTTTCTTTTGCTATCATACATGGACATTCGTGTCACAGAAGATGCAGGACGTGCAAACTGTGAGCTGTGCTGTCGTCCACTACATACGTCCCAAGACGTTAATCTTGCCTCGAGATCAGTCGCAGGCGCGCTCTGGAATAGACTGAACATGTTCTTCGCTACACGGCTTCCGTCCACAAAACCACTCTCAAGCCCTCATCCTTTCCAATTCCACCCTAGTACTCCACAACCTTAGCCCTACTCCTCAACTCCTCGGGCACCTCCTCCGGCGCCACAATACCCATCCTCATCGCATCGCCCCAAACAAACATCGCGCGATCATTAGCATACGCCAAGTAATCAAACTCCTCTTCATCCTGTGGTTTGAAAAGGTCAGCATCCTGTTCCGCTTGTGATTTATTTTGTCCTTCAAGTGCAGCAGCCCGTTCCTCCACCGTCATATTCTCACTACTCACGATCCCTGCCCCCGTCTTCTCTTCTGATCCTTCTTCGGCCCCCGCCTCGGCACGTATCTCTGCTGTGGCGCTGTCGAGCTCTGCTGCTGAGCCGCTGGGATTGGCGGAAAATGCATCTGCATTTGCTTGTTTATCCAAAGCGTCGAAGTCGGGGAGACCGGGGACGTGGGCTTGCACTATGCCCCAAGCTACCCACATGGCTGAGTTGGCGAGGCGCCAGAGTTTAGTCTCTGCGAGGAGGCGGCGGGTTTCTTCTTCGATTTGGCGTTCTGCGGCTGCTTCTTGCTCTTGGTACTGGGAGCCGGGTGGGGCGCGCGAGTCGAGCATGAAGGCGGAGATGTTGCTGGGGGCTGCGGTTGCTGCTAGGGCGGTTGTACTTCCTGAAGATGGTAGGGGGCCTAGGTGGGGGGTAGCGGGGTTGGATGTGTAGCCTCCAGCTGCTTTGTATGAGGGATTGTGCATCAGGTATGCTCGGATGAAGCGGTGCTGTTCCTCGACGGTTGGGTAGTACTTGGTGTTACATCTCCACGGTACTTCGGCGTCGTGGTAGTTGTATGTCCATTCGGTCTACACCTTGGTAAGCTCTTGTATGCGCGCAAAACAAGCCTCGAATATGTGAAGAGTGGTAAACGATCAAGGGGGTGAAGGAAAGTATCTTACGAAGTGGTTGGCAAACTCGAGACCAGGAAGGTTCGCGTTTGCGTACTCGAAATCGATAACCACAAGCTGCTTGTGCTGGTTCGCTGGAAGTAGTAGGGGCGACTCACCCTCTGGAACCATGCGCAGGATGTTGCCATACTGGGTCTACACTGGGTCAGCTTAGGAGGCCTTAGTAAAGTAAAATGACCTACGTCGTTATGGGCAAAGATCATGCGCTCGTTAATCTTGTCTGCACCACCGTACTGTTCCTCCACCCACCTGCGATATTTCTCAACCATCTGCCTGAATACTGGCCACTCCATACCACATACGTAACCTCGCTTTTTCCACTTGTCGCCAGGGGCTTGCGCAGGGTCTTGCTTGCTCTCGCGAACCTGATCATCCAGCCAGGTGACTATCTGCTCACAACGGTCAACCCACTTATCCCAGTTTTGCCATACGAACGGGCCAGCTTCTCGCTCTTCTTTGAGAAGGTCAATGCCCTCGTGTAGCTCTCGCATGCGCTTTGCAATCTGCTTTGAAGTCTCTGCGTTACGCAGTTCCTTCGCGGTCAACGGCTTTGCATGGAGGAACTCTTCGAAGCGGCCATTGGTGAAGGTACCAAGCAGACGTGGACCAATACGCTTGCGAGCGAGGCGTGTAAGAATCTGTAGTTCAGACTCTCGATCGATCAGATGCTCTACTTGGGGACCGTAGATACGTAGCAAAAGCTTGCTAGAAGGTGTTAGATATGTCTCTCCCACATTTAAGATAACTTACGGAGGAGGATTCTTCGGCCTCGGCTGGCCGTCTTCTCCCTGCTCTTGAAGTTGTAGATTCTTGGGGGGAGAGACAACGTAGACAGCGTTTGTCAGTGCGCCACTCAGCCTCTGAACATCAATCTCATTGCTCTGCTCCATAGATACCTTGCGCCATCCCTTGAGCTTCAGAGTATGAGCTAGACGGAGAATCTCAGCTCGGAACTTGGTCCACGCCTCTCTCTCCTTGCGTGCTTCTTTGTCAGATAGTTTTGGGGCCGACTCGCTATCTGCTTCATCCACGTTGTATGCCATAGTCTTCGAATTATCTAAGATGGCCTCGCAACTCGGGACCAGCTGGTCTACAGACTCGAAATAGTCCGTGTCGAGGGAGATGGCAGAGTGTCGCTTCAAGCCCGTGGAGGACCTACGGAAGTGTTGCATCCTCTTCTTAGCATCGGCTGGCTTCATAGCTAAGGTCTTCTCGAGGATGTGTGCCAGTTGGTCGAGAGAGTCCTCACCGTGGGACGACGAAGAGCTGGTCCTAGTAAGCGGGATAGGCTCTTCAGTTGTCTCGTCAGGTACAGTCGATGACTTTTCCTGAACAGCGCCCTCCTTGGCGGCTTTGCGTTTTGCCCTTCGCACATGACGTCGGCTTCGTTCGTGCTTGAGCCATGTGCCTACCTGCTTCAACAGGTTCTCGTGTGCGTGCTGTCCATGGGTAGCATCGGTTGAGCTATCAGAAAGCAAGGAGGATAAAGACGGGTTACCCTCAGCTGGTACACCCCTGGTGGATGATGACAGACGCTCGACTGAGGGCCGACCAGATAGTTTCTTTTTACTAACACTTGCGGGGTAGTGCTTTGCGGGCCTATCAAGATCCAAGTAATCCCTCTGGTCGAGTTCCTTGTTCTTCCCAATCATCAGTGGAGAGATGGCAGTATCGTCGGGAAAGGACACAACTGTGAGCACATGGTTAGCAGTTGTTCGTTAAGCACTTGGTAGGTGAGATGACAGTGTATCAGCTAAACATCTTGTTCATTGTTCTCGAATATTTCAGTCGCTGTCAGTGCTACATGCGCATAGCTAAGCCATACCCAGACTTGTGTAGACTTGAGATTAGACTCAGCGTTTGAGCAAGAGGGTTGTTAGTCACTGCGGAGTCACGTTGGTCTACAACTACCTCGCTGGTTGAATCACGATTCCAAAAAGTGACATGACTCAATTGCCAGAGCTTGCAAGTCAAACAGTAAGGAAACGAACAAGAACTGACTTTTGGTAGAACGCGGCGACGCGCCATCCACTGGAGTAGCGTTGTGCGAGAGGGCAGACGAGTCGCTTCGGTGGGGGACGCTGGGCCGCGACTGCTCATTGGAGGAAGTCGCCATGGCGATTACCCAGGGCAGGCAACGAGGTGTGCGGAAACGAAGTAAGCAATATCGGCCGCGTCGTAAATTGAAGCTCGCTAGACGGTTCCGAACGTGCTGGAGTCAGACCACAAAATAGGCGTGCCCAACTTGGTGGGTAGGAACGGCGGGTTGTTTGGTGGGCGGTGTTATCGATACCTAGTGCGGCAGGAACGCCAGAAAGTACACGCGAGCTCAGGGTCCACGTGCCAAGCTGATTGGCGGTAAGGATACCGGCGAGAGAAGACAAGGTGAAGAGGAATGTGAAAAGTCTCGAGGAGTCTACACCTAGATCTTGATAGAAATAGACAGTTTAGAGGTAGAGCATCATCATCGCTGGATCAGACGGCAACGTGGTGTGTAGCTGGTCCCCACGCTATCTCCAGAGCTATTGGGCAGCTATCGGCCTCCGAGGCCAGTCTTGGCAGTCTACGTCAGGGTTTGGATACACAAAAACCTGCCATGAAACTTGGACACGAAGGTGCTGAGCGCCATGTGGCGAATTATCTTCTGGCCTTCACGCTCGAACTTGAAGTAATTTCGCAAGGGACTTTGGGTGTGCACATTGGTCGGTTCATAAATCGACAATGGTGGTTTGCCAGGGCCGATTCTCTTCATGTGCTCTAACAGTGGATAGCAAGTATCATAGAGGCCTGATCGGATCAAAGAAAAGGCAATCCTGCGCCAAACCCTAGCACCGCACAACTTTGGGATGTATATACAAACTGCTTTTATTGCAGTCTCTGCCATGTCCCAGTCAATGTAACTACCAAACCCATACCCAGTACCAGAACGCCTCGCTTTGAAACCTGATTATATATCGCAACACGGAGGATGCTCTGCGTCCTTCCAAGCACTAACACTTCAACGAACAAGTGACTCATTTGGCCCATTCCACTGTCTCCAGTGCAAGCATGACCAGAAGAAGAGTCGACGGCAGGATCCAGACAACGTAGCTCTGGAACAGAATCCTTGACATGGCACCCATGTACACGTTGTTGATCTGGCAGATCTGTGCCAGCTGCAGCGCACTCGGTGCACCGCTGAGTAGGAAGCAAACAATGATGAAGATCGGGTCGTCGAGAATACTGACAGGCACATACTTGGCGGTTAAAGCAAGCATAGGTGCCATGAGAAGCGTCGGGATAAGCATGCGACTGACGAGGGAGGCAATGACAAGCTTCTTCTCAACACTTGGGTCTTCCATCGAGTGCTGGTCCTCCTTGGGAAGGGTGTTGCGGGCAAGGTTGGCGCCTAAGACGACCAAGATGAGTGGGACGGCGACTTGTCCGCTCTGGTTGACAGCGCGCGTGACGGAGTTGCTGACAAATGTTCCTGGGTCGAAGAAGAGGTGTTGTAGCGGAGGAATAGAGGCGACAAGGATGGCGATCAGCATAGCCCAGAGGGGAGGGTTCATAAAGTCCCAGACGCCCTTGAAGAACCTTGACAAGACATGGCCAATCTTGGCAAGAGGTCCCTGGAGCCATGTAGGAAGGGCATTGAAGACTCTGTTTCCAGCGCGGGTTGTGGAGACAGAAACGGTACTTGCAGAGCGCTTCAGTGCCATGCCCGCTCGCTTTGGCATTCCCTTGATGCCTTTGGGAGCATTCTGCTTCTTCTTGTGTGCCTCAAGGACACCGTTGAGATGACCGTTGGCATAACCGTTGCTGTTCCCGCTCATGTCACCCTGACCCGGAACGGTTGCGTTGCCGTTGGTGGGCGTGATGAAGTCGGTCTCTGCCTGAGCGTCACGGTTGAACAGGGAGTCTGAGTCGGACTCGTCGGAGTCAGCGGAAGTAGCGTAGCTGGTGACGTTGCCAGATTCGTAGTCGGAGTGCGAGTCATCGAGAAGGCGTTGCGCCTCGTCATCGCTGTACTCTCCGTTCTCGATGGCGCTGTTCTTGCCGCCATCTTCGTCTTTGTAGGCACTGGCGGGCGCGAGAAGCACGTTGAAGCCCCACGTCCATCGCACGAGCTGGCCAAGTTGTTGGAAGATGAGAAGGTAGAGGATACCGCGCGCGCCGACATCGTTGTCGTTGTCGCCTGGAACTTTGTCCCAGTGCAGACCCGACAGTGTTTTGGAGAGGGAGATAACGAGGGAGATTGGGAGCGAGTTCGAGTTTCCGAAGACCTGAGCATGTCAGTTTATATTGTTTGTCTGCATAAGCAATGCGACATACCGCCATGGCGACAACAAAGTTGGAGGCTCGTTTGTTAAACCTGCATACTTTCGATACGATAAGCGCGGCGAGGTAGGATATGAGTGTTTGAACGATGAAGATTACGGGAATGACGGCCAGATCAGCCAGCTTCTCGGCCGTCAATTGTGATGCGAGTTTGGTAAAGACTGGTTGGACGTTAGCTATTGTCGAGGTTTACGAGGCAGGGCGTTTTCGAGTGATAGCAGCAAACACAGACTTGTCAAGTCCCAAGGTATTCAGCAGGCTCTTCAGTGCGAATGTAGAGCATGGTGAGTACCTTGTGACTACTGCCTGTGTAGGTGCAAGTGATACGAGCAAACGTCGTCGTTATCGGAGGTAGTCCACTTACTGAGGCAGGGCGTAAACAGCTGCGTGTTGAGGTTGGCGAGGAACTTCTGACTTTCCGCGTCGAATTGGCCCATTCGCGCGACAATGTATCCAGGCGCGCTGACGCAGACAACTTCCATTACGGCCTCGAAGACAAGGAGGGTGAGGTTGGCGAAGTCAGGATGCGAGCTGTGCGTGTTGCTCTTGAAGACACTGAACATGCCATTGTCGCCGTACTCGTAGGACTGAGAGGCCATGGCGACGAAATCCGAGGAGTAAGTTGGAGGGCTGCGCAGGCGCAAAGCCTGGGGAGCCGAGAATAAAGGCATAGCAGATGCCGTTGATGTTGTTGGGAAGGCGCAAAGGCGCGATGGGGACGGAAACACACAAGTTATCTTGAAGCGCACCGCGTCTTGGCTGAGAACGCGCTACGAGCGGAGATCGACGTCACAGCCCGCTCCAGGTCTAGCGGAAAGGCAAGTTGAGCCGCGGGCCCTGCAGGAACTGTACGAGCAAGTCTGAATGGGTTAAGGAAGTCTTTAGGGAGAGAGATCGGCCAGCTACACGTCGCAAATGATTCACACATGGCTATGGTGGGCTAGAGCTTATCGTCACCCAGCGCCTAGAGGGCACTCATAGCCTCTCAGCATCTACCGCGTCCCTGCGCCTCAGGTCGGCGGGCTGGGCGGCATGCAGCTACATCGAAAACTGGCAGAACATCGGCCACACCGAATGCTGTCTTGACTGATGGGCAACGCATCAACTCACGCAGCATTCGCTAGGTTCCCCATGGCTTGGTCATTACCGCATACTGCTTCTGCGCGCTGAATCCTGCTGGCGAGACTCGGTTCGGGTGCTGCTTAACCGCATGTAGATGCCGTCCCTGCTTGCGCATTCCCACGTCTGAGGCCGTAAAAGCAGGCTTACAGGCGGCCGGCGCAAAGCAGGAACTGCTCCCTACAGCCTGCGCACTAGAAATATCGCGGGTACCCCTTTTTTGCGAGCTGCATCTGCGTTTACGCCATGGCTGCCGTGTGGCCAGACCCATCATTGTGAAATCATTCCAGATTGCAGAAGCGCGCTACTCTTCGTCTCTGCAGCATCACGTCACAGCTCCAACTTGCACGCTACCAGACAACCCACACCCACGACACCTCCACCAGACTACCAGATCCGCTGAGATCGCCGCCGTCACTCCCTCCGCGGTGTAGTCGCAGCCTCTGAACTCACCTCACACCCGCGTCTTTTATTCCTATCTCCCTACCACCTGTTCCGTTTCCTCGCCCTCCGTACCCCGCCAATATCAGGCCGCGACTTTTATCTCTCTTTCGCCATGGCCTCCAATCCCTCCACCCCCGACACGGAAGTCGACGCCGATACCGTCTTTGACAGTCCCTCGCCCTCACCTACACCCTCGAGTCCTGCCGCCGATGCCACCTCGCCTGACGAACCCGCTGCCGAGCGGCCCCCTCCCCGAACTGCATCCACGACATCAGGCGCGACAGCCAACATGACATCCTCCTCAACACCACTCGGAAACATCAACGCTGCTAGGAATCCCCGTCCTCCAAACCCCCCTACCATCTCCAGCCGAGGCAGCGGTCTCAATGTCTCCCAAGACATCCTTGCCAGGATACAGGCAGTACATCTCGGTAGAAAGGGCGCTCCGCCGACCGGTCTGCCTGGAAGAGGGCCTGCGCCTCAGAGTCCTGGCCCATCTCCCGACAGCCGTAACCCCATGTCGCCGGGTCCTCACCCAGGAGGTGTACCCAGCAACTTCCGCATGCCTGTGAGACCGCCTGCGACTAACTTTCAATCGGCACCAGCAGTTCCTGGTCGTGGACCTGCTAAGCAGTCTATAGCAGAGAAGCGCGGCATGAGGTTCTCAGGCGGACTCCCAGGCGGATTACCAGGCTCATCCCCAACTGCAGGCGGTGCCCCTCCCGCCGGCAAGAAGAAGCCCGGGTTGACACTCTCGCAGATGAACGGAGGACCCGCTGAGGGCGCTGAAGGCGCTGAACCGAAGAAGCAAGAAACTCACTTTGACAAATTCTCTCAGTTCGTCGATACCAAAACCGGCAGTCTCAAGTTTGCCGGCAAGGCCGTACTCAACTCAGATGGTGTGCAGTTCGAGAGCGGTACCTCCTTCAACATCTCCCTGGACGAAGTTGATACACTGGACGAGCTTGGCAAGGGAAACTACGGCACAGTATACAAAGTTAGACATAGCAGACCGCGAATGCGGAAGCCAGGGCAGGGTCTGGCGGGTAACAAGGCTGCGCCTGGCTCGCCGTCGCGAAAGGAATTTGGCGAAGAAGCGAGCCCAACCAGTGCGAAGCCAGCTGCGGGGACCGGCATAGTCATGGCAATGAAGGAAGTGAGGCTCGAGTTGGACGACTCGAAATTCGCTGCTATCATCATGGAACTCGATGTCCTTCATCGCTGCGTATCACCCTTCATCGTCGACTTTTACGGTGCTTTCTTCCAAGAAGGTGCTGTATACATCTGTATGGAATTCATGGACGGAGGTTCCATAGACAAACTTTACGCCGACGGTGTGCCCGAGGGCGTCTTGCGCAAGATCACCATGGCCACGACTATGGGTCTGAAGTCACTCAAGGATGATCACAACATCATTCACCGAGACGTGAAACCTACCAACATTCTAATGAACACCAAGGGTGCGATCAAGATCTGTGATTTTGGTGTCAGTGGAAACCTAGTCGCCAGTATTGCCAAGACCAACATCGGGTGCCAGAGTTACATGGCACCTGAGAGGATATCTTCAGGCGGCATTGCACAAGCAGGCGCCAACCCTGGAGGCGGCACATACAGCGTACAAAGCGACATCTGGAGTTTGGGACTGACAATCATCGAGTGCGCTCTGGGGCGGTACCCATACCCACCAGAGACGTACAACAACATCTTCAGCCAGCTCAGCGTAAGTTTTCGCATTGGTTTCGCACATCAAATACTAACTCTCTCTAGGCTATTGTCGATGGCGAGCCTCCGGATCTGCCTGAGAGCGGATACTCTGACGCGGCGCGCAACTTTGTACGCGGCTGCTTGAACAAGATTCCTAACCTTCGACCGACATACGCCATGCTGCTTCAACATGCATGGCTTGCGCCTCTTGCCAAACCCGACACGATTACAGAAGAAGACGAAGAGGAGGTTGAGGCCGCAGCTGAGGCCGAGGGTGGCGAAGCTGCCGGCGACCAGGGACCTGCTGAGGCGATCGAGCCCGTAGAAGACCAAGAAGTCGCCGACTGGGTCAAGGCTGCCATTGAGAAGAGGAGGAGCGGCAAGATGAAGGGCGCTGAGAAGCCTGCACTGCATGCCGCACCTCTTGATGCAGCGACACAGAGCCCGTCACCGAACGGTACAAACGGGCTAGAAGAGGCGGGCTCAGTGGAAGCCGCAGCATAAACTTCTCGAATGGACGAAAATACTTGGGCCATTCACGAGAACATCAGGCCGCGCCAGGAGCAGCCTTATGGGTTTACGGCGTTGTATAGGCGTATTGCATGGGACGATTGTCATGGAGCATTGAAATCGGGCCATTGAGCGTAGAGGACACATGTACCTAGCATAGCATACACCTTGTCCAACTGGACGAATAACACACTTCAAGTCGCCAACCTGCAGTCATTGCATCTAGTGATGAATCATCTGTGGCTTTGCCTTCTGATCACAGAACCTCGTCTTCGCAGTGGAGGAGATGCTGTTGGCGTTGCATGGTTGGGAGTGACGTAAGCGGAGAGCGCACTGACACGTGATCGCAACCCCTGCTTAGCCAAGATTGCTCGCGGCGGCCATCTGTCGTGGTGCGGGAAAGAACACAGTGGTCGGAACAACTTCAATAAGTAGCCACGACTTTCTTTCGTACGCCGCCCCCACCTTCTTTGTAATGCCACAGGCCTAGCATCACTTTTTATTCCCTCTGCTGGAATCGTAGTCGACAAACCCCGCAATCACCTCCAGTCGCTCTCTCGCGTACTCAGACACGTCCGTAGGGACAATCGTTCGCCATGTCCGGGACAGATTACAACTACGATGAACAGGTACATTTTGCATGCGCCACCGCTGTAAACAAATGCTTACAACTTGCAGGGCCAGTTCTTCCCTTACTTCATCCTTACCGTTACCACTCTCGTCACCGTTCCGACTACAATTTCATTCTTCAGATCAAGCAAAGGTGCGCACTTCTCGCCACTTCCACGTAACGCCATACTAATATATTACCAGAGCTCGAGAATACTGGATCGCGGATAGAGTCCGACTTCACACCCGAACATGCCGATCTCATTCAAGGACAGCGCAAGAAGCAGAAGCGACTCGAGAGGAGGATAAAGCGGGGTCTTCTCATGGTGGGCGGATGGGCGCTTAATGCTGCCATGATATACCTCATAAGCACTACTACGCGGACTACGCCTGACATCTGGGATCCCTATGAGGTGCTGGGTGTCTCTATGGTACGACTGCTGCCTCTCTGTCGCGAGCTTCCGACACACGCTAACTTGCACATCAGAGCGCCGATGAGAAGGCGATCAAGAAGCACTACCGAAAACTGTCCCTCACCATGCACCCCGATAAGGCACGCCCAGACCCCGAGAAGAACATTACCATACAATCCATCAACGACCACTGGGTAGAAGTTGTCAAGGCGTTCAAAGCTCTTACCGACGAAGAGATCCGCCGGAACTTCCTTGAGTTCGGTCACCCCGATGGCAAGCAAAGTTTCAGCATCGGCATTGCGCTACCCCAATGGCTCGTGACTGAAGGAGCTGGCAAATACGTCCTGCTCATCTACGCGCTCGCCCTCGGTGTTATCCTCCCGTACACCGTCGGAAAGTGGTGGTATGGAACACAGAAGCTGACCAAGGACAAAGTTCTGGTGGCCAGCGCTGGCAAGGTCTTCCGCGATTACGACAACGACCAAGGCGAAGTGGGTGTCATACACGCGCTCAGCAGCGGAGAGGAGTTCAACGAGGTTCTCACTGGTCACAAGGCGGAGAATGGTCTTTCGAAGCTTGAACAAAAGGTTCTCTCAGAGAATTCTGGATCTCTCATTGCGCAAACACTCACCAAGAAGGACCGACAGAAGCTAGACGATCTGGAGGACAGCCGGAGACGCAAGGTTCTGACTTTGCTGTGGGCATACCTCGGCCGCGTTGAACTAGATGACGAGGCTCTGAACGACGAGAAGTTCGAGGTTGCGCCGATCGCTCTCCGACTCAACGAAGCTTACACCGCCATCGCACTCGCATACGGTAACACCAAGGCGATACTTTCAGCCTACAGGACTTCCCAAAATCTCATTCAGGCTCTGCGACCAGGCGCATCACCGCTTGAGCAGCTGCCACATTTTACACCTGACGTTGCCAGCGCGGCTGAGGCTGCGCGAGCAAAGTCACACTTGACCATCCAAGAGTTCATGCAAATTCCCGACGCTGAGCGCAAGGCTCGTGTCGTCAAGTCTGGTCTCCTATCCCAAGAACAATACAGCACAGCCATGACCGTAGCCTCGCGCATCCCGATGTTCCATCTCGAAAAGGCATTCTTCAAGGTTGTTGGTGAGCGTTTCGTTACACCTAGCAGCTTGGTCCAGTTCGTACTCAAGGGTCGTTTCATCCCAACCGCTGCTACCAACGTCCCCGAGGTCAACCCGAAGGACCTACTAGACATCGATCCCGCGGAAGGCGACGTCGCGGCAATTACCGGACGCAAGAACGACCGTTCCGGAGAGAAGCCCATCCAGCCACCCCTAGCATTCGCTCCATACTACGCTCGCGACCACGCGCCAAGATGGCATGTATTCCTTGCGGACAGCAAGCAGGGACGTATCGCAGTACCACCTTTCACTTTCTCGACTTTCGACAAGCCCATCCTTGACGAGAGCGGTAACCCCACCTACAACGTACAGACTCTGAAGATGCAGTTTGGCGCACCACCACAACCCGGCAGCTACACCTTTGTCATGCACATGATCTGTGATAGTTACATCGGCATGGACACCAAGATGGAGGTTACCCTTGTTGTCGAGGACGCGAGCAAAGCGGAAGAGGTAGAAGAGGAGGACGAAATCAGCGAGCCAGAAGAAGGTAAGACTGATATTATGCGAGGCGTATGTAACACAGCTAACATAACTGCAGATTCATTGGCAGGCCAAATGCACCAAATGAAGACCGGCGCCCCACCAAAGAAGCGGAAACAAGCCACTAACGACGACTCCAGCGGCAGTGACACCGAAGGCGACGTCGAATCTGAGAGTGAAACCGACACTGACACCGACTCGGATGACGAGTAGATCCCTCCATTCGGTCTGCCAGTAAAACGGTTTTCAATCTCTTTTTGGGGCTATGAATTTTCTGTTACAAGAGACTAGTTGCCTCCCATCGAGTTGGCATCGGTTTCTCACTCTTCTTACAAGCTCCCTTCGGAGCTGAGGGGTATTCCTCAGGATTCTCTTTTTGTCTCAACAACCCGCGCGACAAGGCATTAGTAGGCGTTTTGGAGTATGTATTGGACGAGGGATTCAGTTCTCTCTTTCGCTGGTGTGAGCGCCTTTTGATGTGCAGTGCGAGAATTGCTGGTATGGGAGACTCGATTCATTGAAGAAGAACGAGAAGCGCGATTACAGGATAGGGTAGCGGAGGGTCATTAGGAGTATTGATGCGTGTGTGTAGATATCCGGGTCAGAAATTCACATTGAGTAACCTTTCGATACGATGACACTTCTTCCCCCACCTACCTTTCCATCTCTTCTCGCAATGAAGAAGTTGGCAACTGCATACTAAATATAGATAGGATCAATCAAGACTTTTTCTCCAACCAAGCCTGAGCTAAGACGATCTACCTGGTTCAAACTGTCGATCATGCGTGTGGCCTCAGGAAGACAAGGCATCCGAGAAAAGACGAACACCTGGCCTGGCCTTAGTGCATACACGATATAGATGCCTGTCGGGGATCTGCAACGTGGCTGGTGCGTTCCTCAACTGGTGGGGTTTCAGGTGCGTCTCGCCTGCGCTGCTCCCTCACCACCTCGAATAGTGATCACCTTCGTCGAACGAAAAGTAGCGGAATGGCAGCAGCGAAGAGTCAGGGTAGTAAGAGTTGGTGAGTGGTGATATAGGGTGCTGTGATTGGGGGGTTAGGGGTGCATATGGGGGTGGTGGTGCAGCGGATGGCTGTCAGTCGCTACAATGGGGAGCGGCATATGGTGGCATGATGGAATCGACACATGAATATCAGCATGAAGAAACGCGTTCCTATCGACAAGAGCAAGTCTAGCGGTAGCCTTGGTATCGCATAGTGGTCTTACGACAACCGTTCGTATGTACGCGCACAACCACCAAGCATCCTTTCCATCTCCACACGCAATCGCAACGCAGATCACCGTCCCCTTCCCCTGCCCAGCGTAACCGAAAATCGCCGAAAGTACTGCCTGAGGACGTCGCTAAGGCATGAAGCAGCAGGAGCCACCCCCAGACGAATCACCCACGTCTTGGCTCCCGATCGGATACTACGGCTCCGCTAACCTAAGGCTCATACAACAAAGCCTCAGGTCGCAAGGCAAGTACAGACAAAACAGTCAAGCAACTCTTGGCAACCGTTTTAGTTGCACATCATCTGTCTTGGCAAGATGCGGGAATAGACTGCGCCGGTAGCAAAGTGCCCAAGTGGCGAGTTACTGAGGCACCCAAGGCTACGATGGTACGTGTGTCACATCTCTACGGCAATACAGGGGCGGCAAAGGCAAGTACCGACATATCGATGTGTTCCCTGGGCATTAACGAGGTCGTTTGTGATGATGGCAATGGTTGGATAAAAGCTGGTGGAAGGACGCATGAGTTTACCTTCTCATCCCACACTCACTCTTCTTCCAGCCTTCTTCAGTCCTTCCTTCCTTAATTCCCGCTTTCGATTCTTTTAGCGACTTTGATAGTCTGCTTATTACCACTTTCTTTGAACTTTTTATACACATACGTCTGTGACGTTTAATCTTTACCTTCTTTTTAATCACGATACTACCGTCTTTACCCTTTCAGGACTCTATCATCATCAACATGTCTATCAAGGCTATTGCTACTATCGCGCTTGCGGCTGGTCTCGCTGGTACGTTCTCCAAATCAAACACTCCATCATATGACACAACGTACTAACCCACCCTCACAGCTGCAAAGCCCATCTCCACCCCTGCCAAGCGCCAAATCGGCTTCAACTCCGTCGTCAACGGCTTCAACGGCAACGACGGCGCCTTCAACTTCATCGACGGCTTCAACAACTTCAACCAGCAACAACAAGTAATCCAGATCCAGCAGGAGAACCTCCAGATCATCGACAACGGGCGCCAACAGGCCGTCGTCCAGCAAGTGGAGCAAGTCCTCATCGTCGACCAGGTTAACAACGGCTTCAACAACGACCTCAACAACCTCTTCCGCAAGAGCAACTTCCAGAACCAGTTCCGCGATGTCGCTACTGTTACCCTTGTTGTGCAGGAGATCCAGGTCGCCATTGACGACGGCCGCGGCAACCAAGTTCAGCAGAACATCTTCGCGCAGTCCGCCGTTGTCGCTAACCGTGGTGCACGCGAGACACAGACTGTCATGGTCTTCGACAGCCGCACTCTGATCGCCCAGGACATTCTCGGTGGCAACGCCTTCGGCAACCTCGGTGGTTTCGGCGGCATCGCAGGTGCAACTGGCGCGTTGGACAACGCCCTTCCCACCAAGACAGCTGGCATTCAGCTTTTCGGTGCTAAGCCCACTTGGTCAGCTGTCGCTGAGGATCCTGCTGCGACTCTCGGTGCTATCTGGCAGGGTGCTCTCCAGGACCTTCAGGATGCGCAGAACGATGAGGCGGACAACAAGCTCAACGAGCAGATTGCTGCTGAGGAGTTGAAGGCGCTTCTCGAGGCTCAGGGCGGTCAGGACGACAACAAGGATGGCCAGGATGAGGCTGACAAGCAGAAGGCGGAAGAGGAGGCCAAGAAGCAAGAGGAAGAGCAGAAGAAGGCCGAGGAGGAAGCTGCCAAGGCTGACGCTGAGGAACAGAAGAAGGCCGACGAGGAAGCCAAGAAGCAGGAAGAGGAGCAGAAGAAGGCTGATGAGGCTGCTAAGCAAGAGGCTGAGCAGGAGAAGAAGGCCGAGGAGGAAGCCGCAAAGAAGGAGGCTGAAGATGCGAAGAAGGCCGAGGAAGAGGCTGCTAAGAAGGATGCTGAGGAGCAGAAGAAGGCGGATGAGGAGGCTAAGAAGGCCGAGGAGGCGAAGGCTGCTGAAGAGGCCAAGAAGGCTGAGGAAGAAAAGAAGGCAGAGTAAGATCTGATAGAGTGATGGCTCGCGCTCTCTGCAGTAGAGCGATGATGCGCGGAATATGTATACCCTGAGAGGCTTTTGTTAGTTGCTCTCTTACCTAGGTAGTCGGTACCAGCGAGACTGGGCCGAGAAGATCAGTTACGAAATTGAATGAATAACCTCTGTCACTTCACGGCCTACTAGTCTAAATGCATCTACGGTGACGAGATGAGCTCGTAGTGATGTTCTCACCTTCACTGACAGTGAAATGTCAATTTCTGCTAATTGTGACGACCTCTACCAGGTTATCTCTCCACACTATGGGCTTCGCATCCTCTCTCAGCTTTAAATCCTCGAGCTTCAGGGCTACAGATATGTCATCGCCTCCTCTATTACTGCGCCTCTACTGCAACAAGACCCGGCTATGAATCGGAATCATACTGCTTCTCGTCAATTTGGATGTGTTCTTCGGTTGCTCAATCTTCAATCTTATCTCATCAAATATATCTGCTACCCCAAATCTCCCCAACGCTATATCCGAATCCATACCTTCGACGCCCACAAGATCGCAATAAGATCTCCGATTCTCAAAAGCAACGGTGCTATACGACTCCAATAAGTGTGGAAAACCGCACCCTCGCCCTCAATGAACTTCACACCCAAAACTTCGGATACACAAGCCATGTTCTCCAAAAGCCGATTGTACGGGGGGCTTTGAACAAACTCCTTTACCTCCAGTCTCTCATCATTACCGAGCTACAAAAGCCAGTCGAAGAACAGAAAGAATGGATACTCTACTCTGACCCTACCGTCATCCTCGCAAATCCTGACATACCTTTCCACCGCTTCCTCCCACCCATCACAGATATCCAAACATTCAAGACCCTCTCGACCATCGCCACGAAATCTGAAAGAGAGAAAACTGATACAGCGGTCTTCTTCATCCGGGTCAGCGGGGGCTCACTTCGGTTCTTGACAGAAGCAATGGAATTGATCTACAACTTGCCAGACAACGAAAATGAAGACAAAGATACAGATCTCCCCTCATCAGCCCTTCAAACCATTCTACTCCTTCCCCACCACCTCGAAAAGATAATCTACCAACCTCGCGAATGGTACAATAGTACCTCGTCTCTCTTCTATCAACCCTGCTATCGCACGCTAGCGCATCGTCTCCTTCCCTCCCCTATCACTCAAACCATACCAGTTGACAAGGAAGGAGAAACTATGATATTTCCTGATGCAGATACAGTGCACCGTTTTGGGCACGTTGTGAGCGAAGCGAGACGTGTATTGAATGAGGCGAAGGAAAAGGGCCATACGAGTGAACAGGGAGAGTGGTGGGAAGTGGTGAGCGAGGTGAAGGAGTGGGTTGAGGGTAGGACCTGGGATACGGAGGAGTTGCAGAGGAGGGTGCGGGTTCCGAGGGAGGGGTTATATATCGACTGACGCCGATCGGCCTGCTACTTGAAGACAGCAAAGATGATCGTAGACGGTTGAAAGGATTCCGCGGCCGGGATAACTGCTTCTAATCCAGGCTCATACGTTATACCGAACTTGATGAAATGACGCGGTAGGACGCAGGCCAAGCCGCATTGTTCTCAACTTCCAATCATGTATGATAGTTGAACTGGGCGTTTCGGGTAGCACGGCTTGATGTCGAGTAAGCGAGACTTTATCCCCGAACTACATGCTCACCATGTCTTCATATAGTAACATATCGCGTGCTTGCAATGTTGTATGTAGGAGACCCCTCTATACTCATCACTCACCATGCCGCGATCGCCAGAGATAGTATCACTGCAAGACATCGCACCACCAACCAACCCCTCCAAAAAGACCACAGCATCCAAGCCCGACCAGCCAATCACAACAAACGCAGCAGAGCCCTACTCCGCCTTCCCTCAATCCACCGGCACATACCTGACCTACATACTCGGCATCATCCAACTAATCTCCACCCTCACAACAACAATCTACTTCCCGCTCATCCCCACCCTGAGCACCCACTTTTCCGTGTCTATCCAGGCTATCAACTTGACCGTAACCGTCTACGCAATCTGCCAGGCCATATCCCCGGGTATCTTTGGCTCTCTGGCAGATTCATATGGCCGCCGACCCATACTACTCGGTCTCGTTACTACATATATGTTAGCGAGTCTGGGTCTCGCCTTAAACAAGAACAGCTATCCGGTCTTAATTACGCTGCGAGCGTTTCAGAGCATAGGTGGCTCAGCTACGGTGCCGATTGCGTATGGTATTGTGGCTGATGTTGCTGTGGTGTCGGAAAGAGGGGGGATGCTGGGACCTATGTTGTCGACTTGCAATGGGATTTCAGCTTTCGGGCCCGTTATTGGTGGGGCGCTTGCGATGAAGTCTACAGGGCATATGGGCGTCTTCATGGCGCTTTTGGGGATCGCAATCCTGTGTCTCCTTCTAGTGGGCTTTGTGCTACCGGAGACGTCAAGGACAATCGTAGGGAATGGAGGGAGACCTGCGACGGGGGTTTGGCGGACTTGGATTTCTTTCCTTGGGCGGAAGGACAGCGATCAGACGGCATCCACTGCTACAAATCGACCTGCGATGCCCAAGTCTTCTCAGACTCTCTCAAGGATCTTCAATTCTATACGTATGATCCGTCATCCAGACGCAGCTGTGATTCTCTGGATGGTCGCTTCATCCTACGGGATCTACTATACCTTCCAGGTAGCCCACTCCGTCATATTCAAGGAACTGTACGAATACAACGAACTGCAAATCGGACTAAGCTTCCTGCCTGCACTAGCTGGTATGACAATCGGCGGGACGATAGCCGGGAAGCTCATGGACATCAACTACGCGCATCATGCGCGTCAAGCCGAGATAGTCGACCCAGCAAACATCCTGGATTTCCCAATTGAGCGCGCTCGGTTCAGGAACATGGTTCCACTGATCCTAGCTGAGATGGCGCTGGTCACAGGCTATGGGTGGACGGTGCAACAACACACTCACCCTTCCATCCCTCTTGTACTAGAGTTCTTCGTTTCCGCACTGGCTACTCTGCTAAGTCACACTGCAAATGCGCTACTCGTGGATGTATTTCCCGAAGTACCAAGCACGGCGTACGCGTCAGGTCAGCTTGCGCGAGGGGCGTTTAGTGCTGCGTCTGCAGCTATCATTGATCCTCTGGTGCGCGCTGTGGGTCGCGGGTGGTATTTCACCATTCTCGCGGCATTTACCGGGACGGGCTGTTTGGCTTGTGTGAGTTGAGTCGGTGGGCTGGTATGAGGTGGCGTCGAAAAAGGTATTTGAGAGCGAGTAGCAGGTCAGGAGAAAGAGCGAGTGGCTAGGGAGTTTGAGACCGGTTTCCGCCTGTCGGCAACTACGATCACCAAGATCTTCACCCCAGCCTAGAATCGGCCTCTGGAGTCAGAGAATTTGTTGTGTTACTTTTTCGGCGCGCCTTTGAAACTCGGGTGGCTGGCATCACGTCTGAGGTTGGGGGTCATTATATCACGCTAGCCGCTTGGAGTTGATCGCGGGCGTGCCTATCATCCCGAGGTCACTTCAGAACAAAGCACAAATCCATTGACTAAACATCAATCCATCGGGGAGCCACGATTATTTAGCCATGCTCTGGAAGATCGGTCCCATATTCTCCTGCCAAGTATCCACAATCTTATTCGCAGGACCCGCAGCGATCATCTCGTCTCCTTTCTTCCACTTCCCTATCGTCTCCTCCGTAAACTCCTCTACGCTCAACGCAGCTTGGTTCTTCTCCTTCTTGTTGTCGTCAGGATCCTTCCTTTCACGATGTAGATCCGTCGCTACAGTCGGCGGTGCAATCTCAACGACCTTGATCTTGGTATCCTTTAATTGAGCGCGTAGATTCATCGACCAGAAATGCAGCCATGCTTTGGTACCGCAGTATACGGGGTTGACGAGGGAAAACGGGACAAAGCCAAGGACGGAAGATACGTTGACGACGAGTGCCATTGGCTTGGATTTAAAGTGCGCGAGCAGGTGCAATGTGAGGTGCATGGGCCCACGTTGGTTGATGTCGATTTCCTGGTCGGCCTTGCTTCCAAATTCTTCTGGATCCATTTCGTTGACATCGAGCGGTCGCTGCACACCGGCATTGTTGACGAGACAGTCCAGATCCGGGTGCTCGGAAACCAGCTTCTTGATGAAAGCTGGGATAGACTTGACGTCTCCGGTATCAAGCACGTAGTAAGCTGCTGCTCCGATTTCTTTTGCGGCTTCCTGCAGTTTTGACTCTGTCCGGCCGGCGATGATGACTTTCTTCCCGTCCTTTATCAGCTGTTGCGCAAGGGCCTTTCCGATGCCGCCACCACCGCCGGTGACGAGGGCGGTTTTGAAGTCGTAGTTTGTGGACATGTTGATGGTATGAATGCGAGGTCCGAAAGATGAATAGAACTTTCCAATTGAGAAAACTATAGCAAAGATTTCTTGCGAGCTTATTAGATCAACGCTATGATACTGGTGACGTGCATCTAGGACGCCGTCGCTGATGGCGTGTGTACGTCATGACCCCATTTCAGTAGTGGAATTTGGTCCAATGCGCAGACTGTTGGCAACTACGACACCAGTGCAGCACAGTCTTTCTCAGAATTCGAAGTTTGTTGGAGGCAAACCTCGCCGTGCAACGAGGCATAATGCTTTACTAATGTTGTGCAAGATCTGACCGCTGTCCAAAATCTCTCGTTTACCAAGCATGACCAAGGACCCACACTTATTACGCTGAGGACGCACGATGGAAGGGGCGCAGCCGCACCCGGGACGGCTGCATCCACATCCACATCTTCATCTCCTCTCCAACCCCATCCGCCTGACAAAGCCCTGACAAACTGCAAAACGTTCTTGCGCTCACCTCCAGGCCCACACCGAGATGAGCGAATCACGATCTCAGGACGCCGTTCCATGCGTCATACGGTCCAAACCGGCTTGGCGTGATGTGGGGTAGCCACGCACCAGATCGCGTCGACAACGCCGGGATGTGGGCTTTTGATGCGCCGAACAGCATTGCCGTAGTGTGAGGTTGCTAGGGTACGTGGGACGGAGCGTTTGTAAGGTCGTCTTATATTAGATGAAAGCCACGCTCGTGCTGTGCATAGCCAGTCTTGCGTCGAATGAAACATTTGTGCGGGGTATACACACGCGAACAAGCAACTCTAGCGACAACGGCAAGGAACCTTCAAAATGACGATTTCAGAGATACCAGAGTCAAAATGCGACGTGTTAGTCTGCCGATATCAAGCAATGCGATGATGTAGCTAATGAGTACAAAGCCTCATTGTCGGTGCTGGTCCAGCAGGGTAAGGATCACCACAACAATGGTCATCGTTGAAGACTGACCAAGTCTTAGGTTGATGCTGTCAGCTTGGATGGCGAGATGCGGCATCAATGCTCGTGTTGTCGATAAACGTGGCACAAAGATCTATTCAGGACAAGCAGATGGTTTACAGCTCCGCAGTCTGGAGATCTTTGACAGCTTTGGTTTCGCGGATAGAGCTTGGAAGGAAGCGAACCACTTGATAGAGGTACGTGCATGAACCTTCTTCCAGAGGACAGCTGGCCCACGGCGTTTCCATCTGGTTGCTATCCAAGTGAACCTTACTGACTAGTATCTAGTTCTGCATGTGGGTATGTTGTTACACTCGATAGAACCACTAGCATTCCTAACGTTCGTAGAATCCCGGCGAAGATGGTGTGATACGCCGCTCGGACGGAGTTCCAGATACACCACCTGGTCTCTCCCGATTCAAGGAGATCGTTCTCCACCAGGGACGGATTGAAAGGTTCTTCCTCGATCACATCAAAAAGCACTCCAGGGATACATTACGTGTCGAGCGTGCAGTGCTACCGGAGTCGCTTCACATCGCCGATGATCGAGTTGATGACCACTCGCCCGATAACTACCCTGTTACAGTCCAACTACGATATCTCACGGAAGATGAGGCCAAACCAGCGCAAAGCAAGGGATCTGGAGTTAACGATGGTCTGTTCAGGAGCAATCTGGCAGAAGACGACACTGAAGACCTTATCGCCAACAGCCAGCAAAAGCAAGGCAGCACGGAGATCGTAAAGGCAAAGTATGTCGTAGGCTGCGACGGTGCTCACAGTTGGACGCGAAAGCAACTAGGCTTTGAGCTCGAAGGCGAGCCTACCGACCACATCTGGGGCGTCTTGGACATTATCCCCATCACAGACTTCCCGGATGTTCGCAAGCGTTGTGCTATCCACAGCGCGTCTTCCGGATCGATGATGATTATCCCGCGTGAGAACAAGATTGCACGCCTGTACATCCAGCTCACAGAGATCAAGCCTGATGCCAGCGGCCGAGCGGACCGGTCGAAGATCACCCCGGAAACCATCATCACGGCGGCACAAAAGATCATGGCACCGTATAAGCTAACGTACGAATACTGCGACTGGTGGACGGCTTACCAGATCGGCCAGCGAGTTGGCAAGAATTTCCACCACAAGAGCCGTGTTTTCCTAGCTGGTGATGCAGTGCATACGCACTCTCCGAAAGCAGGCCAGGGTATGAACGTCTCGATGCAGGACGGGTACAACTTGGGCTGGAAGCTGGGATTGGTGGTGAAGGGCATCGCTCACCCATCCATCCTGAAGACCTACCAGTCCGAGCGGAGGCGTATTGCGCAGGACTTAATTGCCTTCGACCACAAGTTCTCGCGGCTATTTTCCGGTCGACCGGCCAAGGACGTCATGGACGAAGAAGGCGTCAGTATGGATGAGTTCAAGAATGCTTTCCTCAAGGGTACGTCACATCAAAGCCGGTCTCATCCACTAAACCCATCCACTAACTCCCCCCAGGCCAACTCTTCGCAACCGGCCTCTCAGTCGACTACGGCACGAGCATGCTAGTCGGCAAGCCGGGCTCCGCCGCCGACCAAGGCGACGGCACAGACGTGTCCTCCTCGTCTCCCGTCATCGGCAAGCAGGACCTCGCCTCGGAAATCAAACTCGGCATGCGCTTCCCCAGCCACCAAGTCATCAACCAAGCCGACGGCCGCGCCTGGGAGTTCCAACAAAAGCTCAAAAGCGATGGCCGCTTCCGCATCATCGTTTTCGCTGGTAACGTCTCGAACGCACAGCAAAGCGCCCGTTTGAAGACCTTCTGTCAGGCCCTCGAGTCGTCGTCGGTACTGTCGCCGCACCTCGGAAAGAATATCGAAGTGCTCACGTTGCACTCGTCCAAGTGGAAGGAAGTAGAGCTGTTACGCGATTTACCGGATGTACTGCATCCGTTTGATGCGAAGACAGGGTGGGATTACGATTCCGTGTATGCGGATGATGCGAATCCGTTTGAGGGCTTTGGTGATGCGTATAAGGGGTATGGGGTTGATAGGGAGAGGGGTTGTGTGGTTGTTGCGAGGCCGGATCAGTATGTGGGGTACATTGATGAGGTTGATGGGGAGGGATGTAAGGGCGTTGAGACCTACTTCAAGGGTATATTCGTATCGTAGTCAGCTATCGAGGAGATAGGCAATCGCGAAAGAGATGACTTTACACATGTATGCTCCACGTTTCAATCTCTCGTGTCATCACAAGATACAAGGTATTCGTATGTCTGACGGGTCGTTCTTGAAACGTTCTTATTGGCATTTGCTCTCTTCGAGAGGCAGTCTTCTAGCGCAGCTATCTACTTGATGATCGCACTGGAAAATCTGAACTGAGACCGCACACAGACTAGAAAGACTCGCGTGGAACTTCAGTACCGAATGTAAACTAATCATGACTAACCGCTTCGACAAGACTTTCGATGTCTGCATGTATCAAGTGATGAACCTTTTTCTTCCCCAAGCAAAGCCATGATTGTAGCGCAATAGTCGAGCGTAAGATGCAGTCGTCGATCGGATCGGTGGAGCAGTCTTCAGTCTTCCAAGGCTGGCGATCTGAGTATCGGTTAGCATTCCTTTCAAGAGTCAGGAGCAGTGACGTACCTTTCTCTACTTACTTGTAGGCCGGGTATGTCTCTTTGTAGCAATCTCTTTGTTTAGTGTCGTGATCATGAAAGTTGCAGTTATGGTTCTCCTTGGAAAACACATCCTTTGGATTCCGCCGTGCTCTTGCCTTCCGTTGAGAATTCTCGCCCATATCCGCGATGAGGTCCTCCAGAAACTCGCGATGGTAATCGCGGCGTCCCACATACCTGAACTCGTCTTCACTCCAAAGGTGGGAGGCGATAGCAACGGCGAATTCTCGGTGCGCTGAAGATGAGTCGGTTGCTTTGTAGATGCAATCTACCACATCGGTACTTTTGCCAGCGTCTAATTCCATCTTCTCTAGAGCCACGTCGATGCAGGCATCTCGAAAACCACAGTCTTGTATCTTGTGGCCGAGCAAATAGCACTCACGCCACTTGACAGACTCCTCCTCGGCACGAATCGCCTGCGCTTTTTCCAAAGGAGATTCACCGGTATCATGGAGACTTATGAGCGTGCTTCCAAGTTCCACGGTGGGGAAACCAGTAATATCTTCGTCGACGATGTAGAAAAGGCCTGTTTGGAGCCAGGCGCGGTAGATTTCGAAAGCCCGAGCCGAGTTGTCTGGCAGCCTCACTTCTTTGGGCCCGGCGTTTTTCTCCTTATTCGCGAGTGTTTTTTCGTCGAAGAAGGTGGTGCTGATTCGAAGAAGTTTCTTATCGACCGTGAATGTCTTCGGAAATCTGCTGACGAGGACGGTGATCGTCTCCGACTGGAGGCTGTCTGCGGTCAGATATACATGTCGATATACCGCTTGATCGCACTTAACTGGGTTTCTCGGCAACTGAGCGCCTCAGCTTCCTTGGTTCAGGAACAATGTCTGATTTCTCAGCCTTTCGCTTCAGGTGTGGGGTGCGGGTTGTCATTGTGAGCGGTGATGATGGCAGGAGTAAGCGTGGAGAGAGAGTTGGTGGTAGGAGCCAAAGTCCAAACCTAGCAGCGAAAGTCTTTTATATCGATGGAATAACTGCAAACTAGCAGGTAAAAGCAGCGAAGCGAAGATACGATGAAGTAAAGGTGCTCGGTATCGCAACTTCCTGGCAGCATTAAAGTGAGCGTGTCACGGTGGAATGAACATACATCAGTCGGCATGATAGAGAGATGAAGAGACAGTAAAGTTGTATTGACTTGTAGTGATCAGACCACCGGGCAGCTGCCTGCGTATGAAGTCCGATGCATGACAGGGCTTAACGCCAATGTATGCTGCAAAAGGAATTAGAACCTCAACTTCCGATATCGTTATCCTTCTGCCAAAACGCTCTGTCTTCTGCCGGACGCCAAGTCGAGGACTGAGTCGTGCGATACAAATATGCGTAGGTACTATTGGAACGTGTCAGCAAGTCGTCAAGAGAGTCGCATAGGGAAGACAAGCTTCGTACATTTGACCTATCATTGGCGGAGATCGCAAGCCATGAATGGAGGGTTTCAGTACCGGAACGCGGGCTTAGTCTTGTAGCAAGGCTTGTCTCCGTGGTCGTGGTACTTGCAAGTCTCAACTTGGTCTAACCATTGTGTTGGGTGGGCTCTCTTGATATCCTCTTGAAGCCCTGGCATGATAGCTCTTACGACATCCATCATGAATTCTGGTGGCTGACTTTCTAGGTACTCTAGACAACCGTCCCGTGGCCAACCGATGACAAATAAGTCGACCGCGAATTTCCGATGGGCCGAATCTTTTGCCGACCGCGAAAAGACATACTTGGCGAATTGTTGAGGGCATTTCCCGAGTTTGAGTATACGCTCTATCATGGCGTCGATTAAGGCGTCCTTGAAATCGATGTCCTGAATGAAGTCTGCAAGAACGTAAAGCTCTTTCCATGTGTCACCTTCCTTGCTGTCGTTTTTCCCTTCTTCTTCACTTCCAACGAAGACTCGGCCGGTGTAAAGGAATTTAACCCAAGCCCTGAACCAATCTGGTTCGACATCCAACACATCGACAGCAGCCTCGTGGCCCGTTTTCCACTCTTTCTTCAGCGCGTTGTTGAAGAATACCGAGCTTGCGCTGAGTAGCTCCTCGTGGACATAAAATTCCTGCTTGGCTACGCCGACGCGGACGATGATCGCTTTCGAATTCACACTACTGCAGTCAGCTAACGTATGAGAAGTGTCTATGCTACTTACCTAGGCCCATCATCGGCGGAGCACCGCACTCTCTTTCGAGGCGGCTCCGTTGTCGCAGGTTTGTCGACCATAGTGCTCTTGACTGGCGCGCGTGTGTTGCTAGCGAGATGGACGAGGAAGAGCGTTTGCGACTTTGGAAGCAAACTCGGGTCGCTAACGAGCGTGGGATCGCTAAGCACGGGCTGATGAGAAGTGAGAGAGAGTCTATAGTCAAGCGGTACGTTACCGAATCGGTCAAAGTGAGTGTGAAACCGAGCAGCGGAGGCGCCGCATCAGAGTGTACCCTGAGGAATACATTGTAGTGTAATTAGCAAAACTTGCAGATTACGAGACCATGTATACTTCAACTGATCTGTCAATGTAATACACAACAAAAGGACGAGAAACATCTTCGTATGAATGTACCGTCCAGGCCAATCGATATTGCACATGCTCAAAAGCAGAACTCTGCCATCTCTTTATAACACACCCCATCACCATGATCATGATACCTACACCCTGACCCTTCTCCATCTTTCCCCTCAAACAATTCCCTAAGCCCACACCGCCTCAACCCCTCTCCGTTCCCATCCTTCCCACCCACCAAACCTCTCCCAACCCTCCCCAACACATCCCTAACAAACTCCGCGGGATGCTCCACCCCCTCTCCCAGCTCCCTCCCCCACCTCTCCCTATTCCACACCTTAACAAACACATCCACAGCCAGCACCCTATGTTTCGAGCCCCGCATCGAGTACGGATAGATGTAATTGGCGAGCTGGAGTGGATACTTTTCGCGGGAGAGACAAGCTTCGATTAGGACGTCAATAAGAGCATCGGCGAAGGAAGGGGAGGTGAGGAAGGAGGAGAGGGCATATAGTGCGGACCAGCGGGACCATTCTAGGGATGTAGATGGGGGTTTAGATGGGGGAGAGGGGATAGTAGTAGTGGTGGTGGCGGTGGGGAAGGAGGATGAGAAGGAAGGCGTTGTGGGTGTTATCGGACTTTCAACACTGCTGCTGTTGCTGTTGCTATCTGAATGCGAGATATCCGTAGGCGTAGTAATAAAGACACGACCTGTGTACAGCCATTTGATCCAGATAGCAAAGGTTTCCGCGGGTGTTTCAGGCAGTGTGACGAGGGTGAAGTCGTTGGCGTCGGTTTGTTTCCACTCGGTTTTCAGGGCGGCGGTGAAGAAGAGCGAGTTGGTGCGGAGCAGGGCTTCGTGGACGAAGAAGATGCGGCTGGGTGTGCCGACGAGGATTTTGATGGGCAGTGATGTGATGCTGATGGGTGGTGAGAAGAGGTCTGTGAAGACTGGTTGACAGAACACTTACTCAGGTCCTTCGTCCCTGGAATAGCGCACTCTTCTTGGTCGAGCAAGGCTTGGTGAGGTAGAAGATTCCGTCATGGTGCTCTCGTTCATGTCTGATCAACTCGATAACGGTGCCGGAAGGAAAACCCGGCCAGCGGACAACGACCATTTTGAAATCTCTGAAGACATCCTACAACGTCTTTTGTGCATCGCTTACACGCCTTACACATCTTCCACAAACAGTAAAGGCGATCCGATACATGCGGACGTTCGAACGATAGAAGGGTCGTTGGACCAGGGTGTCGGAAGCGCGGCATATCATTTACCCTAGAGTAATAGCAGGCCCAACGCAAACACCCTCCATCCTATAACGGCCCAGCGACGCTAAAGCCACAAGGGAATTATCCGACCACTACAACACCGGAGCATACCGAACAACCGAACTATTGAACTGCACGGACAGAGGCGAAACTGCACAATGTGGTCATTGAATGGCCGAAAGCATACGTTAGATTGAAGCAGAGCGAAACGAGCCACTCATAAATTCTGCAACATGAACAGCCCAGACGACAAAAAGACCCTTACGAATGAGAGATATTGCAAGGAGAATGTGCCGAGTCACTAGATTGAGGAGATTGGTGAGGAGAAACCAGGAGTAGATTTGCCAACTAGACGACAGGAAAATAACCGGGTATACGCGCCGACGTTACATACATACATCGCTTGTTCATGAACGCCGTTGTTGCGCCGCTGTTGCGCCGCTTATAAGGACCGCTTCGCGTGTCGGAGGAAGGAACCAAAAGGGAAGACAGACTGTCTGTGTGACGTGAACCAAGGTATATACAAGAAGCGAAGTAGCGAAAAGGCTCCGGGGCGACAAGAAGACCGACCGTAGGAAAGAGACCGAACAACCCGCCTAAAAGGAACATCTTAAGCGACCTGTGATATCATCCCTTTAGATACCACCCATGTCCACCTCTTTTGATAAGAAGTCCGCCTCTTCGAAATCACTCCCACTCCCCGCACCAACCCTTCCTTCCATATGCGCCGCGTTTTCAAAATCCATATCGATGTCATCATCGCTGATGGTACGCTGTGCCGTCCTACGCGACTTGGGCAGCGCGACGCGACGAGGTGGCGGCTGCATGTTTAGCCCTTGCGGCGGAGTTTCGCTCAGCGGGCTAACAGGCACTTCATCGACTTCAACACCCATGCCCATGCCCCTCGCTGATGAGCCGAAGAAGAAGGTTGTGTCTAATGTCCTGACTTCATCTTCGTCCTGCCATGAGCGTTTCGACGGGTTGTGAGGGCGTTGCGAGGTCGTTGAGTATCCGCTATCTGTGGAGGCTTTGGAGGAGAAGGGCTGGGTGAAAGTTTCGGCGGGGAGGGGGAAGTAGTTTGGTGGTGGGGGCGTGCCGTTCGCGGCATAGAGGTGTGGGTTTGTTGTTGGTTGCTCTGCAAAGCCGCCGATTTTGTTCAGTCCGCAGAAGGGCAGGAGTTCTCGCTGGTGCAGGACTTCGTCTGGAACGGCTTCTCGGGGTGGTTTGACGGCTAGGGTGGGTCGCGACATGGTGGTTTGGATCGAGGGTAGGCCGGATGTCTTGTGGATCTTGTAGCCTTCCGGCACGCTCTTTCGCACCCTCATGCCGACGCTGAGTAGGTCTGCTTGTACTTGGCCCGGGACGTCGGGAGCGAGTTTCTCTCTGTGCTGGTGCTGATGTTGTGTCGCTGTCCTTGTGTTTTGGTGTCGCGGTCGGGTAATCGGATCTAGGCCCCGCAGATCGTCGTTATCCTCGAAATCGTCCCGCACCTCGAAATAGCTTGTGATGCTGGGCTGGAACTTTCTCTTGCTGCGGTGTTCTTCTGTCGGCGTATGGCGAGCTTGCATAGCGGGTGCAATTGTGTGTATGTGAGTGTGAGGGAGAAAGGAGCGGTCGGAAGGCGAGGTCAGGCAGGATTATGCGGTGTCGCTGAGGTGGAGAGGGGATCTTTCTGATGCCGCTTCGATGCACGCTCGAGCCCTTGGGGGCTGAAGATGGACAGGGTTCCGGGATGACAGGACGGGTGATCAATTTAGTTGCTTGACGAGGAACGGCGGGTAGATTTCGCTTTCCGAGTCACGCTCCGGTCGGAGTGCAAGAGGGAGAGAAGAAGCAAATGCGACAACCCAAGTTCTCTCGAGGGCCTGGCCGGATGACGGCAGTTGATGTAAATGAGGAGTCGCGCGCTGATCAGCGGTTGTGACGCGACTGGACGGCCGAACTGGAACCGCGAACCAAACGATGATCGTTGACCGGCTTATTCACGCCTTCCCCACTGCGGTTCGCTCCCTATCTAACCTGTCAGTTGTCTGAGATGCGAGGTCGTCTCAACGCTGCGCTGAAACCGCTACATGCAATGTCTCATGAACAATGCCTGAGTGGTACAAAGACAATTGCTTGTCGCGCGCGCAGCCGTTGCTCTGCGCGACACGCCGACAACTCCTCCAAGGCTGCTTGCTGGCCCGTCCGACTTTCCAGACGATTCATGTTCAGCAAACGCAACTCTTTGCACCCAGAAACACAAAAGCGCCATGTATGCGGTTCAGCATGATTGCTTCCCAGAGGCTAGACGTCGTGCCTTGTTCCCGCTCACGCACGCTTACGCATCCTGTGCTCAACTCCAGGGTGATCGTCCATTGGACTTGTCGATCTGATCTGGGCCCAGTCCCCCGCAATATCGCCGCACAATGCTTCATTCCAATGCGAAGTGTGAATAAGATCCGATTGAATTCGAAAAGAGGCGTTCATCTGCCTAATAGTACATTGAAAGGAAGACCCTTGTTCAAAGTCACATACCAACGACCTATGACGCCAATACACCGGTACGCCTTCCCCCTTAGGACACGCTTGCTGACAGAGGTCCATAACCCAAATGCATCAAATCTCTCGACTTGATACGTTAATACGCGCATTCAAGCGCGTGCGTGTCTCGTTATCGTCTCTTCTCGAATTAACACCGCCTTCAGGATGTGCCTAGTTGTTCACGGGAATGTTACCCATCTCAACTTCCTTCCTCTGCTGCCGAGCTGCCCACTTGTCCGCCATCCAGGTAATCATTGTGACAGCCATGCTTGCGCCCACAAGTAGGAACACGATGAGGGTTCCGTATAGCGCAAACTTGCTTGCTCCACAAAGGGTCTTGAAGTCGCTGTTGCCCATGCCAGCAGGCATGGCAATGTCAGCAGGCAGATCCTGAGCAAGCGGTTGAGAGCTCTGCATCTTGCAAGTCCAGGTCTGGATGGTATCGACTTCCGGCGCGTTGTTGTTGAGCATGTGGGCCCAGATAGTGGTGATCAGGGTAAGGAGAAGAGTAGGAAGGAGGGTAGCGAGGGACAGAAGAGCACGCAGGGTGTATTTCTGACGAAGTGCAAGCTGATGTTTGTTAGGAGGCTGTTCTTTTGCATGGAAACCTTTGCACTTTTACTCACCTGAGGGAGGAAAGATGCGATCAAGAACGCACCGCAGAGAACCAGAGTCACAACAGACGACGCGATGAGCGCCTTGGTTCCCTGTACGTCGAAGTGCTGGGGCCACATCGGCGCCCACCAAGGGTTTGTGAGATGTTGCCTGTTGAAGACATCGAGGGTGTGTGCCGAAGTGCCAAGAATGCAGATGCTGAAGACGACAACAAGGCCAGTAATGATGGCCTGAGCCAAGTGGAAAGGAGCGGGGTTGATCTTCATCTTGACGATAGTCGTTGCTGGCGAAGTTGCTTTTTATGTTGCAAAAACGTAAAGCACGTAAGAGGGTATAAAGATCGGATCGATTACTAGGCGTCAACCAGGAGCACCTTTCTTTCTCGGAATGAAGGACGATGAACGAGAGAACGAAATAACAAGCAAGCACAGAAAGCGGCCTGATATAAGCTAAGGCTCCGAGAGATCTTCTTTGCCTGGGATGGGGGATGGAAAACAACTCTGGGGGTGGCACATGCCTTTAAAACGATCTTGGTCGCAATGGGGGTTTCACGCGTACAGAACACATCGTGCAACCCCCTGCAGCCCATCTGGTGTTCGCGTACAGAAATAGACGAACAAGAGCAAAGAAAGAACGGTAATCTGTCTTGCCGCTGCGACCATCAGTGGGACCTGGACTAGCAGCGCCAGCGTGCTGGGCTTGTGGTGAGAGTATTGTTGTTCGCAGCGCGTAAGCTGCACACCAGTCCTAGAATAGCGATATTAACCTGCATGGAGTCTTGCCGTATTACCGCATGTGTGCATTTAGCAGCACACCCCGTTCCCTGTGGTTCAATGAGCATGCCGATCGTACCGTGCGTCAAAGGCTGTGGCTGGTCTGCGGTTCCGCTGGTAGCGAGGTAGGAGAGAGTCAGGGCATGAGCGGTTGTAGTGCGCTGTCAGCCGTCGAATGAGGATACAGAAAGATGCGACTGCAGGGTCGACAGAGTGTGAAACGCGAATGCAGCGCGGGCGCTTCGAGTTGAGGTGCAGATGCTAATTCGTGAGATGTATGGGCGCTTACAGCCTGGGGTGCTTCTGCGCGATGATTGGCTGTGAGCTTCTGACGCGAGGAGTGAGACTTTGGAGGCAACGACCAACGAAAATAGCAGATCCTCCTGATAGTAAGCTCAGTTCATCTTTTCAAGTAGGCTAATGGAAGTTCATGAATCGTTCGAACTGCTATGCTCATGTTTATTGTTGGGAGAGATGAACGATGTACTATGCATTTTGGCATCCTCACCACAAAGAGTCTCCAACGTCTGCGTGACATGATATTGTTACTGACCATTTGAAACATCTACACAAGCTCGCTGATTGCGATGGTAATACCCAAGCTACCAAGTTGTCAGAGCGCCGCGAAACGCCATGAGCGGAGAGTCGGCTCGGAAGCGCTATCAAAGTTGACCTGTGAGGCCTCCAAAGCCCCACTTCCGCCGCCCTGAGCCTTGCGACTCTTTTGCCTTGCCCTTCTTCGCGGCCTCTAGAGAATGCGTCTTCTCCCAATCCTCGTCGGCCTTGTACGCAGTGATCGCCTGTTCGAGGTTGTAGCTGGCTTGTTCGAGATAAAGGAGTGCAACGTCGTATCTAGTGCGGATGTCAGTTCTCCATATGTCCACTATATGGTGGAAGGTGATGTCCTTACTCCGCGACCTTGCATTTAACCATAAACTTCCGTAGCTTTGTCTTTTTGATCTCTTCCTCCTCGCCCTCTAACGGCCTGGGGCTTAGACTAACCCCACCTTTGTAGAACTCTCCCGGTATGAGTACCGTCCTACGCGCCGCTAGTAGATGATCCGCATATAAGTTGTTCGTTCGGCGTAAGGCGTCGGCAGGCACACCATATCGGAGCGATAGCGATAAGATCGAGTCGTTGTTCTGGTCGACAAAGTGTAGAACATCAGGAGCGTCCTCGGCGTCTGTCCTCGACTTCTCAGATAGTGGTTGCAGCGCGTTGCCTGCTGAGTATGGTGGTAGTTCGTCGTCGACTTGCTCGCCCGGTGGCGAATACGTAGGAGGATCGCGGAGACCTTGTGGTGGTAGTGCTGAGGGTCCTGTCGCTATCTGGCAGTATGGGCAATAATTCTGAAATCTAGGGTTATCCGTTAAGCATCTGGCGCATATGGCACGCCCGCAGCAGTCAAGTCTGCGCTCGAACTGCGACGGCTTTTCGGTCTTCTCATCGTAGGTTGGGGGAATAGAGGATAGCAGCGCAGCGCAGGTACAGCATGCTTCAGACATGATGAAACAAAAGGGTGAACTATGGTGTATGAGAGGACTTCCGGATGTCTACACGTGAGGTTCGTAAGAGACGACAGGAGGCAAAGTGACTGCCGCTACGTCATGACTAAGACGGTTGGCGATCGCGAGGGCACGTGAAGGCGCGCTGCATCTTCGTGGGATTCAATCCATGTACTCTGCGATATGAACTCCCATGGCTCGGCAGACATGTCATCTTTCTGTATTGTGATTGCGACATGTGGGGGACAGCCAGGTGTTGGAGTTTGGTGCTGAGTGCACTGAGCCTGCAAGGGTCCCGTCGTTGCTGCCAAGTCCAGCCCCGTTAGCGAGGACACGGTCCACCACACCAATTTGCGCCTTCCAAACTCGAACTTTTCTCGCATCACCGTCCTTCCCTACCGCCCACCGCACCCTCACGAGGTATGTCTTGGACCCGAGTGCCCTTCAGAGCCCGGGGATGCAATCACCGTCGTCCGCAAGGATGAGGGCGACACTGCTTCTCCTCTTCGACACGAGCTGAAGAACCCTCATGCAAGGGCACTCTCCATGCTCTGGCATCTGGAGGCTAACCACCCACGCGCAGATACCTCAGTCGCCTCCGCCACAGAGAATCTCCCGTTAAACCGTCAAAATGGTCAAGACTTCCGTCCTCAACGATGCGCTCAACGCCATCAACAACGTAAGCTACAGCGCCTAGGAATCAGTCACAGAGGACATGCGCTAACAACTAAACAGGCTGAGAAGGCTGGCAAGCGCCAGGTCCTGATCCGTCCTTCCTCCAAGGTCATCGTCAAGTTCCTCACTGTCATGCAGCGTCACGGTACGTCGACTCCTCCATCTACCACATCACGCGTCATGTCCCCAAAGACGTGTATTCCTCCGCTAGCAACCCTATCACCTCTTCGGGCTGATAACTACTCACTGATCTCGACTCCCCACGATCAATGAGCTTTAAGTGTCCGATAAATTAACTGCGGAGGACTTACACGTCTTCGGATCCCTTTCATGACGTCTGATGTTTATTTCGCCGCAACAAACACTAATTCTCTTCAGGATACATTGGCGAGTTCGAGGAGGTCGACGACCACCGCAACGGCAAGATCGTCATCCAGCTCAACGGCCGCATCAACAAGACCGGTGTCATCTCTCCCCGCTACAACGTCCAGCTCCGCGACATGGAGAAGTGGGTCGTCAAGCTACTTCCCTCGCGTCAATTCGGTTACATCGTCCTCACCACCTCCGCTGGTATCATGGACCACGAGGAGGCCCGCAGGAAGCACGTTGCTGGCAAGATTCTTGGTTTCTTCTACTAGAGGCTGTCTCGATATGTGGTGGTGTGGGATTCAATATACCCTGGCTTGGGCAAGCATATGTTTGGCCAAGTAAGCCCATCATGGGAACGTTGGACGAAGAAACGACAAAAGTTCATGACTGGGAAATTTGCAACATGTCCGCTGTGATGCTCGTGATTAAGATTGTCTGTGGAAGACGAAGACAGCTTGTACGACGTGATTATTGCATCTTCCGACATTGAGATGTTGCCATTAGAATCCAACGGCGAACCACTAATGCATGGTGAAGGTTAGGGTATTTGAAATATGGTTCTCATTAACTATGTACAAGACATGGTCATCAAGCATGCTACCCAGTAAAACGCCGAACCGCGCCTCTACTTTTCTTCAACAATCATCAAACCGTGAATCATAATCCCATCATGATGCCTCTACTAGGGCATTCTTCCCACAGAAACACATCCCTAAACGCCTATGCTGAAATGCCTCTAACTGAACCTGCAGCTACTACACTCATCTAATCGTAAAGATCCATATCCTCCTCCGCATCCAACTCAGCAGCCGCATCAGACTCGTCGTACATCTCCGAATCATCTTCACTGTCTGTGTGGTTGGGCAACACCATAATATGTCCATCATCAAGCACAACCCTCGCCGTCTCACCATCCTTGATAGAACCACGGAGGATAAGCACAGCAAGCCGGTTAAGTACCTCTTTCTCGATGAGACGCGCGAGCGGCCTAGCACCATACGCCGGCGAGTAGCCCGCTGAACCAAGGTAATCCCGTACCTCAGGCGTCATCTCGATGCGCACATTACGTCCGTTCTGGTTGAGTCGCTTCTGGATCTCGCCAAGGCGCACATCCACGATCTTGCGGATTTCGCGCTTGGTGAGGCGGTTGAAGATGACGATGGAGGAGATGCGGTTGAGGAACTCGGGAAGGAACCAGTTGCGCAGGGCGCCCATGACCATTTCTTTGGTTGTGGGGTCGATCTTGCCGTCGGGTGCGTTGGGGCGGGATAGGTGCTCGGCTCCGAGGTTGGACGTCATGACGACGATGCAGTTCTTTGCGTCGACGACGCGGCCTTGGCCGTCGGTGATGCGGCCATCGTCCATGAGTTGGAGGAGTACCGTTAGGACTTCCTTGGCGGCTTTTTCGACTTCGTCGAAGAGCAGGATGGAGAAGGGTTTGCGGCGCAGGGCTTCGGTAAGCTGGCCTCCGGCATCGTGACCTACGTAGCCGGGTGGTGCTCCGATCATTCGGCTGAGGGAGTGGCGCTCTTGGTACTCCGACATGTCGAAGCGGATCATGGCCTTTGCGTCGTCGAATAGGAACTCTGCAAGAGCCTTGGTGAGAAGTGTCTTACCGGTACCGGAAGGACCACAGAACAAGAAGCTGGGCGGTTGATTGGGGTTGGCCAGACCAGAGCGCTGGAGCCGGATGGCGTTGGAGACGGAGACGACAGCCTCCCTCTGACCAACGACGACTTCTTGAAGATGGCGCTCCATGTTGAGCAGCTTGTCCTTTTCCGTGGTCTTGAGTCGAGTAACTGGGATACCGGTCCAGCGAGCGACAATCTCGTTGATCTGGTCCGGACCAACAGAGTCGCTCATGAGAGCCTCACCACCACCACTAGCTTGGTGAGACCACATCTCTGCATCCGCACGGGCCTTGTCTCGCTCCAGCTCGCTGATGCGCTGCTCGACATCGGGAATGGCGTAGTACTTGAGATCGGAAGCAGTCTGGATGTCGCGCATACGCTCGGCTTCAGCAAGCTTCGTCTTGAGGCCTTCGAGCTTGAGCTTCTGCTCCTGGATGTCCTTGCTGCGACCCTTTTCGCGCTCGTACATCTCACGAAGCGGCTTCAGCTCTTCTTCGATGTTGGCGGCCTCTGCGCGCGCCTCCTTCAGACGGACTTGTGATGCCTCATCCTTCTCTCGGGAGAGCGCGTGGATCTCGATTTGTAGTTGTCGGTGGCGTCGCTCGAGGTTATCAAGCGCTTCGGGTTGTGACTCGCGGGTGACGCGGACGGCTGCAGCAGCCTCATCGATAAGGTCAACGGCAGAATCGGGTAGTCGACGCTGGGTAAGGTAGCGGGCAGCCAGGGTGGCTGATGCGACAATGGCACCGTCCATAATGGTGACACCGTGATGGGTTTCGTAGCGCTCCTTGAGACCACGAAGAATGGAAATAGTCTCAGGAATGGACGGTTCCTTAACGAGGACCTGTTGGAAGCGACGCTCGAAAGCAGCATCCTTTTCGATGTACTTTCGGTACTCGCCTAGGGTTGTCGCGCCAATGCAGTGAAGCTGTCCACGAGCCAGCATGGGCTTCAGCAAATTGGCAGCGTCCATGCCACCCTCTCCAGATGAACCAGCGCCCATGAGAAGGTGGATTTCGTCGACGAACAGTACTATCATTTCCTTCGACTCCTCAATCTCCTTCAGGACGCCCTTCATGCGGTCTTCGAATTCTCCGCGGTACTTGCTGCCAGCAACCAAAGCACCAACATCAAGGGAAAGAAGCTTGCAGGCTGCGAGATTGGCCGGCACATCAGCGTCGACAATGCGGCGGGCAAGACCCTCGACGACTGTAGTTTTACCAACACCAGGCTCTCCGATGAGGACTGGGTTGTTCTTGGTTCGCCGAGTCAAGATACGGATGACTCTGCGCGTCTCATCTTCTCGGCCAATGACTGGGTCGATCTTGCCCTCTCGTGCCATTGCCGTCATGTCGATGGTGAACTTCTTCAAGTTCTCGTTTTCCTGCTCCGCATCTGCCGACTTGGAGTCCACCCGCTTTGTTCCTCGGAGTGCCAAGATGGCATTGTCAATTTGCTTGACGTTCGGTACGTTCGAGTCGGCGAGGATCCGTTGCATTTGCGCATCCTGGCAGAGGGACTGGATGAGGTGGTCGACGGCGATGAAGCTGTCTTTTTGTGTCTTGCTCAAGTCTTCGGCGGAGCGGAGCACCTTGGCCATGGCCGGCGAAGGTGAGGTACGCTCTGGTGGAGGGTCTTGGCTTGGTAACCGTACCATAGCCTTCTTGAGGTTGCGCTCGAAGAGTTGCGGGTCGCCATTCGCGCGTTCGAGGACTTGCTTGAATAGCGGCGGCGGTGGTACGTCGACTTGGTTCGCCAGATCCTTGGGCGGATCTATGAGCGAAACGGCGAGGTGGAGGGGTGTGAGTTGTGAGTGCGCATAGCCCTTAGCTAGATCGAAGCTGTCTGCTAGAGCCTTCGCGGCGCGGTCGGTGTAGGCGTCGAATGAAGTCATGGTGATTCGTGACTATAGCCTTGTGTATATGGCCCGAAGCCAAAGGGAATAATCGTGTGTCGTGAGTGCGTACTCAGGATTCGTATATGCGGTGTGTTGTTGTTGGGTATCTCTGGAGAAGAAAGGAAGGAACTGTTGCACAAAGGACTCGAGAAATACTTATAGGGTGAAGGCAGATGAAGTCAGTCTTACACAACGCTTCGCGAAGAGTCAGGAAGTCGTCAGTGGCATCGTGTGGTTTCTCGTCATATCTCGAAGCTAGGCGTGGGTTCTGCCCTGTCGGTAGAAGCTTCTGGATCCTCGTACAGGTTTCCGGTCAGGCAAAGAGCTGCCCGCCAATCGTAGCTACGTCACGCCTGTTGCACTATACCCGATATGGCCTAGAGCAGTCGCGTCGGCCCAACTGGTGCCACATCAGATCATCCATGGATCACTCCACACCTACCCAACGTTCAACTGCAATGACCATGGTTCAATGCGACTCAGGCGGATCCGCAATCAGCGTGGCAGGGTGTGACTCTTTACGCCTCGCGGCCTGACGTCCGGTTCGAAAGCCTAAGGCCAAGGTATTCTCGGCACGTCAGAGACAACAGTATGCATTCTGCTATGCGTGGTGAAGTATCGCATGACTGAGCATCTCCAGGGGCCATGATTGAGCAATTAACCTCTCTTTGCAGAAGTTTTAATTCTGACACGTCAAAGAATACATTCAGTGCGCGCTACTTATTTGTTCGTTGTCACAGATTGCTTGCACTACTAACCTCAATATTTGAGTATGCAGGCTATCCTTTTTCCACCAAGTGGAACTGTGGTTGATGGTATCTTGGGTGTGTCTTCGCTACTATGGAGCCCTGCTGGCCACATCGCAGTTGCGGAGGCAATTGCTTACGCACGTGACCGAGAATGAGGCGCAGTTACTGTATCTTGATCTTCTGTTCCCCGCCTCCACCATTGCACTCGACACACATTTTGGCCTCATCATGGATAGCCTGCTCAGTCTATTCCGTCCCACGCCACCACCCCCATCTGATAGAGTGCATTTCACAAATCCGGTGTAACGTCAAAGGCACTTGTGCGGTCCGCGAACCATCTACAATAGCGTCAAAGATCTCAGGAAACGTGTCGACTTCTACGAAGAAATCACCATCTTCGCTTGGCCATCACGCGGAGGTGTGATCGTACTCGAGAGGCCCTGTCCTGCAGATTTCGACTATCTCGGCCTCGACCGTCTCAATCCACCGAAGAAGCATCACGCCACTCGACAAGAGGAAGACGACTTTGCTCAGCGCTTACTATCGCTCGGCGGGAAGTGGTGGGACTCTCCCGCTAGACACGCCCTCTTCGTTGAACCCGACCACTTGCAAGATGAGGAGGAAATGGCTGCTCAGCCTGAGCCGACGGCGAGGGAAAACGCGTGGGTTGGTGTCGCATGGCCTAGTTCGGGCGGACTGGTCGTAGCTGAGTGGCCGACCATGATGTACCCTGGTGGACGCATGGACGAGGTCGCTCCACGCGATGTGTCAAGATTGTTCCTATGTGTGACAATGGACGAGAAGGCTGCAGTGCTGATGGACAGCAAACTTGGAGGGAAGCGGTGGAAAGGAGTGGAGGATTACGAGGGCAAAGCTTTCATTGGCAGCTGGGGAACCCATCGAGGCGAAGTTGGCGAACTTCAACAAACGTGGCCAAACGATGGAGAGAGTCAGAATCTTGGCAGTAAAGCTCTGCCTGGTTCGTCTGCTCTGGAGCCCTCTGGAGTGCTCTGGAACAGTCATGAGTGTGCAGGAGCGCATGTTTGATAGTCGTGTCAGCGAATGGAAAGGCCTCTGAAGGCTCTGCTTGATGTACAAGATACGTAAGTTATGTTCAAAAGTGCATGAATAACCCCCCAGTCTCAGCCTCCTCTCCCGCCCCCTCCTCGAGAGCCGACAAACGCCTTTCCTTGCTACACTTTCGTTCCGACAGGCACATGATCTCGCCCCCTACGAGATAGCTATGCCTTTGACAGTGTATCCGTACATCCCGCAGCCAACACCGATTTGTCCCGAAAGTGACATCAAGTTCTTCTCGTCTCCCTTCTGAGAGCGTTGCGGCGTTGCGGCAAGTGTCTGAAAGGCAGTTTCGCAGTCCAAGTAGCACTGGGCTGCGTCAAACGAATCTTTGTCTGGCACCCAATGGAGCTTAAATTGCCAATTGGTATACGGCTCCGGCCCATCGGCTCTCGCCAAATGTGTGAATCGTTTGACCCGTGAATGTTGACTCGGAGACAGCCCGGTGAGATTGTCAAAGACGTCAGCCATCCACTCGAGTTGCTTGCCATTATTGACTGTACCGCGACAGAACGTTGAATAGATCTGATTCGTTGCGGAACTGAAAACGTCTGCCGGGACGGCGCTCGCCGCATCCACGCAACTGACGTTCAGAACTGGAAGAGGTTCCTCCACGGCACTCATCCTGGAGCCGCAGTTTGGGGTCGTGAAACCTTCCAAGAGCTGGTAGTCCTCCTCAATGTCTTCCGAGTCGTCGGAAGAGTCGGCGGCGACCGCGGGGTCGTTGAGAGAGGAGCCGTCGCCTCGTCAAGAAGCTGCGAAGGGCTTGATGCCCTTGGCCTTTGGGTTCACAGGATAATGTCCAATCTTTTTCTGAGCCCACATAGCCATGGCGTACCAAGCATAGGTGTCCGCGTTTTGGCCGGGGTACCAGCCGTCGGCCCTGTAGTTACGCGAAATTTTCGCATAATACGGCCCATAGGTAAGTTCGTTGCGTTGCTTGGTCTTCGGACCGAACATTATGCGCAGATCTTCGACATTGGGGGATTTGTCGGATCCTCCCGAGTCTGTGAGAGAAAGGAATGTTAGGGCACTGTCTTTCGCGGTCCGTACTGAGGTCTACTTACTAACAAAGTATCCAAGATGCGTTATCTCGTGAAAGAAGCACCTCGCTCGATTGTCCCAACTCTCCAGATTCTCCTGCCGTTCATCATATCGTTTTGCGTACCGAGTTGCTTCGTCCAAAGTCCGAAGGTCGTTAAAGAACCTGTTGCAAAAGGTGATCTGACCGTAGCCACCGAACCAACCTCCATCATACTGATCCGAGCAAGCTTGCATGATGAGTTCCTCCTTCGGCGCGCCATCTTTTGGCAGCGGCCGATATTGCGGATTGTTCACGGGAGCGTCTTTGCGGTCACCGCACGTATTACCCGGATCGCCTGTATTGTCACCACCGCTACATCTCACGTGGATCCACAGATTGCGGCATGGCCACCCCGGGCTCCATGGTGGCCTCTGCCACTTCGAGAACCATATTGAGCTTGCTGCGTCATATATCTCTGGAAGCGTCTGATCAGCGTCTACCAAGATTCAAGCCGATCACAAATACACATACGTCAAATCTCTCCTTTCCTCTCGTCGTTCAGGGGAGCTTTTGGACTGACTTCAGAGCCCCAAAACTCCCTCGCTGCTTGACCTTTCCAGTCGAAGTTGGCGTACAAGCCGTCCAGATGAGACAGCTTGTAGAAGTCATTGTATGCCGCGTTGATGGCATCCTTGGCCGGCGAGTCGCAACCTTCGTAACCAAAAAGACGAGTGCCGCGCACATTTGCTGCGTCAAGTTGGTTTGGGCATTAGCTTGAATGACTAGGAAGAGGATTGTTGGAAGAAGCACAAGTTTGCCTGAAGACATGGCTGAAAGAAAGTGTCAGATTGACACAGGCTTTGAAGCGAAACAGAGTTGGTCAGAGAATAGAGAGATCTCCAAGGTTGAAATGTGAAGGAAATCTTGATTGGAACTTGGAAGACTCTCCTGCGAAAACACGCCTCCTCTTATACATCTTGCCAGATGCTGGATTTCTGCAAACCTTACAGCCCCCAGCTTTCGTAGTGAAGAGGTAGCCCCTCCAGAGCATGGATGTACCGCTGTGGCACAGGTCTTGACTGTGAAGTGCAAGGGTTCGAAGACATGTAAGCTTATCGTGACAACGGAATCTTCAGATGACGTTGAGGTAGGACTTTGCTACAAAATGTGATACTGAGGCACAGACTTTCGTGAATGACCATTCGTCATGTGTTGAAGGACTTGCGAAGTTAGCCTCGTCGAAATCTTTGCTTCGCGCTTGGTGTTCGCCGTGCTACTACTACTACTGTGTCTATTTCAGCTCGTACAGACCTCAGTGTTCGGGCTGGAGGGTTTTTGCATCAACTTCAGGTTTGCTCTCGCGGAGTGGTTGATAAAACCGCGAGTCGCTGGGGCTAAATTGGCGGCGCAACGTCTGAGCAGTGAGAAGGATTCGGGTTGATATTCGATTGACGTGAGGGCCATTGCCATCGTCGATATCTAGATGGTACGGATCAGAAGAGCGTAGTCAAGACTGGAATAGACAACGGTTTGCTGGGCCGAGACAGAACGAAGGATTGGGAAAAATATCGAGAAAACTTGCAATGACCGCGAAGACTCAGAAAAGAAGTGATTGCTCAACTGTGACTGTGCCCTCGTGCCTGCCCACCGCGAGGAATGACCCCTGAAGCTTAAACCATCGGATAAGGCTCCGGGTGGCGGTAAAGCAACCACCTTTGCAGACCACTGTGCGTGTACTCATCAGCGAGACCAGAAGTTCGCATCGAGATGCTAGACGAGGAAATTGATGATGGGCCTGCATGAGGCGCGGCAGAGTATCTACGTCAAGAATCCTCAGCTTTGAGATTTCGAAATTCGTATTTGAATCGGCCCCGAAGCTCCTTATATTGGGCTAAACACCTCATACAAAGAAAAGATGAACAGGCCTGAAGCTACATTAGACCAAAGATGAGCAGATATGGAGGCGTAGCGTCAATGTAGGCTCCAGGGTGTTCATTTTTCCCCTTGAATGGGGTGTAAGGACAGCTGTCAAGAGCGATGCGATCGGGGGCCGTGGTCGTGGATGTTTGGCCGCCGATTTCACGCACTCCAACGTGCTGACCCTTAGGCGGGTCCGCGATCAGCGTGGCACGGGTCCGGTTCGAAACCTTGGAAGCCAAAGGCCAAGGCGTACTCGACAATTCAGAGACAATGAACAACAACAGCATTGAACGAAGCTTTACACAGCAATCGTACTGTAGAAAAACCAGCAACATTTCGTATTTTCGTCCTACTTTTCACCCAACGCATCACCCCAACACTTCTTCTCCATATCGCGCCTCACGAATGGCCACGCGAGAAGCATGAACATGGCCATCAGCGTGTCCACGATCCCCCATCCGCGCCGCGGACTCGCACCCATAGCATTCGCCCACAATAGCTGAGGATCGAATCTCCCATCACATACAGCATAGTCGCCGCTCGCGACATTTGCCACAATCTCGGGCGCAATCTTTGCAGCGTAAGGAAATTGCTTCTCCAACTCGTGAAGCTCGCCGGACGTGCCTTCAATGCGCTTGGTAAGTTCGGGTTTAGTCTTTTGCTCTTGCAGAAACGTTGGCGTGATGAAGTTGTGCGCAAAGATACATTGTACAGCGTATGTGCTCTTTGGGCCTGAGTACCTCATGACTTCCATGCGTAGGGTGTCTGCAAGTGAGCGTTGAGCAGCTTTGGCGGCTTGATGGACACACAAGATCAGTCAGTATTCTGGCTTCAAGACTTGTACCATTCTATGACGATGCATAACCACTTACCGGAGTATGCTAGGTAGCCAGGTGCCGGAACAAGCGATGCGGAACTATTCACGAACACAATTTTCCTCAACTTTGGGCTTGATGGCACCGCAGAGTCTTCGTCATCCTGAGTCCACAGCTTCATTGCCGCCTGCGCTGGATATAGGCTTGAATAGTAGTTGTTGTTCATACAGCGTTCGAATACCTCAGGCTGAAGATCGAGCAAGTACCCGCACTCCGACGGTGTACCGCCAGCAACACAGTACACGATATCCGGAATTGTTGGCTGTGATGCGAAAAGGGAATACGCCTAGTATTATCGTTAGAATGCTAGTTGGGACTTGCCTTCTTCTTATAGTGGTTGAACCAGACGCCTACTCACTCTTGAAGGTGTGCCAAGGTCCGCAGCAACTGCCGCGACCTGCTGGCTTTCGTCTCTTCTGCTTGCAAGAATTTCATCTTTGGTCTCGTCGAGCTGCGTCTGCCCGCGCGCAAAGATAGTCACATGAGCACCTATACGTTGCTGTTTAACAACAATAACTCACACTCTAGACACACCAATGACGTACCTTGAGAAGCCATAACCTTCGACATCTCCTTCCCTAGTCCCTTCGATCCGCCGATCACAAACACCGTCTTCACGTGTCAGCGTGCATACATGGGTAAGACAGGTAGCACCGTACCTTCCCACTTAGATCACCTTTAGGCGCCATTCTTGCGTGTTGTGAAACGGACGGCAATGTAAAAGAGTGGTGGTTTCCGGAGAATTGATGGGAGCGAAGGCGAGCCAGACACGACGCCGCCACTTCATCTGTGGCCCGTGTAAGGGTACTATTCTGCGCGTTTGTGGCACGGTAACTGTTTAGGCAGCGGCGCTGCGTCGCGAAGGTGCACGGCCCGCGTGATAAATGTATTGCACCTGTAGACAATAGGCTATATCAAACACCAGACAATGGGTAATACGATGATGAGGCTTTGTGAGAATGCCCTGCTTCTATTGCATGATCACTTGTAAGGTCGGAAATACGGCAGATTGGAGGCTGTCAAGGTCAAAGCCTGGGTTGTCTCACTCTATCTGAGCACGGTGAGACTTGATCATTGCGCATATCCAACGCTTGAACAACAACAAGCATGCAAAAGTTTCACGTAAGGATAGGGTGACCAACGATAGCGGCCTCATTTTGTTCCTAACAAAGCTATCTTACTGCACATGTGGTCATCTTTCTCTCGCACTGGTGTATCATCTTATGAAATGACACTATATCAGACCAAGACTCTGGTATTTTCATTCCCTGGATGCTGTACAGTGCTTGCAGGAACTGGGATGTAGACGCGACACAACGATACTACCTGGGTACACAACCTTGGCATATCCTGATCTCCAAAAAGCCTCGACGGAAGAATTCCACATGCACGTATGAGCGCCCAGGATCCGCCGGCCCGAAGCGCTTGCATGTGAAGGCTGAAGGAATTGCCGCCAGCCTTTCTGCAACTATAATCTGACTTCGCCCCCATTCCTTCTCGCCAAGCCTCAACGGCTTACGTGCATATTTCGTGTTACCTACAACATATACATGGAGGAAGATCTACACGGCTCGGGGACCGCCATCTTGGTACTTTATGAATTTGATATGAGGGATAACGCGGTTGGCTCCGTTTGTAACATGCGCTTTACGCCCCGTTGACCAGGCTAGTCCACCCCTGTCGCATTGTGCATAATCTCTACACTACTAAGGCGGACTCGAGACGAAGCGAGTTGAATGATCCGGGTAATAATCTTAACACCAATTAAAGATGTATTCAGTAACTCACCATCGAAGCAGGCATACCAAACCCAGTCAGCCTCTCATGCGCCATCCAAGTATAGACCTTGTGGGCAGCTTCCGAAACGTCATTTCGCTGCGCATCATCCTTGCTTCCCTCGATCTCCATCATTTCCTGGATCCACGCGAAAACCGATGTTACCATCCCGCTGACTTGTTCTTCCGTGTTGCCGGCGTGGAATGTAACCTTTAAGCGACTTTCGCCTTTGGCGACGACAGGGTGCTCGACAGGGAAGACACAGTATCCGTCTAGTAGTAGGTGGAAATACAGCCAGTATGTGTACGGCTGCCGGGTGCGGATAGTGATGATGTGGGATGTCGCCGTTGGTGATCCTTCCCAGTCTTTTAGTAGGGGGATGGCGAGTAGCCCGGTCTGCTCTGCGCTTTCCCAGAGGGGGTGCGATATGATTGACTGTAAGAAGAGATCTACTAGATGGTGGACCTGTGCTTGGGCCTTGTACCGTGTCAGAGAACGATCGCCATGGACATTGACATGAAGTGAATGATTACCTGTCTTCCAACTTCCGACTCCAACAGCCTGTATCCTGTCCGGATAAGTGCTACAGATGCGAATGAAGGCGCAGTCGTGAATATGATAGTTCTCGCGAAGTTTAGCAGCGTAGATTTGATTGTCTCGTTTCCAAGGATTGCAGCTGTTTCACGAGTGAGTATACATGGCCTTCATGTAGACCTTGAGGTACATACCGCCTCTTGACGACAATGCCTTGCCGTATGAATGCATCACTACAGCCACTTCTTTTTCCAGACCAAGAGCGCACACAAGACCCTTGCCTTGAGGCCCATATATGCCATTGCTATGGGCTTCGTCGACCACAAATTGGACACTTCCGGAAGGAGCCAGTTCCTTCGCGGCATTGACAAGCTCTTGCAACGGACACACATCACCGTCCATACTATAGACAGACTCGACAGCTACTAAGACTGATCTTGCGCCCCTTTGGATCAACGGATTGGACTCTATGATCCATGTTAGGATGCGGCGAAAGTCCTCGATGTCATTGTGCGCGAAACTCTCTCGTTCTCCTACCAGGCTCTGGTCAATTCCTTCATGGGTACTGGCATGTACCAAGGTGTCATATAGGATCACGTCGCCTGGTCGCGGTATTGACGTCCATATGGCCACGTTTGCTTCGAACCCAGAAGCCAGCAGTAATGCCGTTTCAGCGCCATGAAACTTGGCGATGTACTGCTCGGTTTCTTCTATATAGGCGTAGTTTCCCTCGGCGAGTCGCGATCCTGGGGCCCCAGGGTTGTGTTGGTCATATCGGGAAAGCTCTTTCAAGTATTCTGTCTTCAGGATACCGCTAGTCCCAAACGAGAGAATGTCGTTGGAGATGAAGTCGACTGTGGACTCGGCCGCTTCCCATAGATTCTGTTGGATAGAATAAAATGTGTGCGACTTCTTCTTAATTTCTAGTGCGTCTTCCAGGTTGCGATAGAATGAGGACGATGGGGTTATCTTTTGTCGAGGCTTCTGATTCCCGATGCGGGCTGCCAACTCTCGGCTGGGGCTGAAGATGGTCCTTGGGTCATATGCCTCGCCCATTCTGTTAGAGTGTTCGTAAAGAAGTAGTGTAACAAATATAACCGAGAAGGATGCACTGCACGTTCAAGATGGTCGTTATATGTACGAGCTGCCCCCGGATGAGTGCATAGCCCGTGCGACACAGCCATCGGATCGATCTGACTATAGCATTGAGACAGGCAGGAAGAGGAGGACGCTCCAGCGAGGCTGAATGTAGGCGAATGAGATCCTGGATCTGGTGGCACTATCTGTGGGCTATAACTACCCTTGCAGCAACCGACGTCTCGACGCGGCTGTGGCGATCTTAGGCAGAAGCCGGTCAAAAGGGTGCCTAGGCTCGGCATGCAACATGATATCGATAGGGTTACTTACATGCAAGCTATGTATCGAAGTGTGCAGGAGTCGGCAAGGTATCAAGCATTGAAGAGAGTATTGGGGGTGGATCTTCATGACGAGCATACTTGGTGTTCGTCATGTGATTCGCGAGCTCACGTCAGCGGAACATGAGTGGCTGGGACGCGTACGCCGAAATTCTGCCGGTGACAAGCAGGGCATGTTTCTATTGTGATGAAAGCAAGAGCATCGCGATCCCACCAACCCGCGATGCGAGCCATACACCCTAACGTCTATCGCCCAGGTGAGTCCTGTCCGCATCGGGAAGATCGTACTCGCTCAACTCGCTCACCTCGAACTGGTCGCGACGCTTCTTCGGTAGTGAGGCCTTGTGCCACGACGGTAAACCGCGACGCGTCTCGGCCTGACCTTCGCCCTGACCGCTTGAACCCGGTCGCGTTATCTGTCGCAAGAGCGAGACGACAGAATCCGAGAACGGCAGGGCCTTGACGACTTTGGGAAGCGATGGGAAGCCTATGATGAGGAATCCAGCCGCCATCTCGCCTACACCCCAAAGACCCGCTATGGATACTATGTACAGCTGGTCCGATGTGTGCAACAGCCTGTAAATGTAATATAGGCGCACCGCTGCGCTCGCACAGGCAAATGTTCCGATACCGAAGAGGAGCGATATACCGATCTTGCTGGCGCGCGACATGTGCAGCTGCCAGATCACCCTCTGTGGCAACCCGAGGATGACCAGATCGGAGATAAGGTTGACGATCCCCGCAGCCATGTTGTGGCTTCTCATATCGATAGGGCATTTGCCTTCTACCAAAGGGTTCCATATCTTGGTGCGTGGACTGCACTGGAAGATCTCGACCAAGGTGCCGACCCCATAAAAGAGAATGTTCGCCCAGATCATGACATGTGAAATCCAGAACACGGCGTTGCGCTGGCCACGAGGCACAAAGATCTTGAGCCAGTCGAGCAAGATGGCTACCTTCAGGAGCATGATGACCAAGCCGTAAAAGATTGAGCCCAGATGAACATGCTGTCACAGATCAGTGAAGGTTCATGTTTCGATCGCTATCGCACTCACGTAAAGAATGGGAAACAGGTTTTGTAGCTGGATGTTCCACTGATGAACTTCAAAGCCTGGGAATATCGCGAGTTCGTACAAGACATATGAGTGCCCAGCATAGAGACCCTGTGCAGCCTGTTTAGTTTGGTTCGCCTTCTAGATACTAAACTGTTTACCAGAGCCGATATCAGGAGCGCATCCTCGATGCGAAATGTCTTCAAGAGCGCTCTCGACCACAACCGAAGTAGAACGGCAAGTGCAGCGACAATGCTTCCGAGCAAGACAATACCGTAGCCAATGGCATGGCTTCCGCCTGGGTTGTCGAAGTTTGGAGTCGTACCCGGGGGTGGCTCTAGAGCTGGACCCTCCAAAAGCGCGGCTAGGAATGTAGCCTGCTCTTCTGGCGAGGATTGTGCGAGCGCAGCTGGGTCCATGATATGAAGCGATTAAGGTATGCGAGTGCGATTTTGCCTTTGTAAGCAGATTGGATTAACGGGAAACGCGGTAGAGTAAAGGAAAAATGATTCCAGCACAGTGGACGACTGCCTTGCCGGCGCTTTATCAAGCTGACTGGCTTCGGCAGATTGAGCGTACGTGGGTGGCAGCGGGCGATATTAAAGGCTGACATTCGATCGCTTTTGGAAAACTACTCGCATGCAGCCACCCTTGCACGCGCATCGATCCTTCCAGGGTTACAACTTCCAAGGGTTTTGACGCTTCCTGTAGGTCTGCCTTGGGGGCCAGAGGCTGTAGTGGCTCACCACCAATAGCCATCTTGTCGGTAGCAACGGCCAATCACGGCACGCCCCAGCATATGTCGATACCATCATACCTTGGAAAGCTCGAAATAGCATGGGCATCTTCATGCGCTTTCTCTTTTAATATGCCTTCGTGCAACTATAATCAGCACCGCGCTTGAACATTAACTGAACACCGTGAACTTACGCCGAAGTCTCAAAGCCATGGAGCCGATCGCCATCGTCGGGCTGTCATACAAGCTACCGGAGCGTGAAGATGAAGACTATAGCTTCTGGGAGAATCTCGAAAGAGGCAGAACTCTCAGTCGTCCATGGCCTAAGTCCCGAGGCAACATCGATGCATTTCTTAGCACCAACATGGCGCTAGATAATACGGTAAGCTACAACTATGGAACATCGAGAGATGGGCTGGTACTGATGGAGATTGACAGGTATACTCGAAAAATGCCCACTTCGTCAAAGACGATCCTGCCGCCTTCGACGCAGCCTTCTTCTCCATAACCTCGAAAGAGGCCGCATCAATGGACCCTCAGCAGAGATGGTTACTGGAGACCTCATACAAGGCATTGGAGAACGGTAAGGACTTTTCTGTCTTTGTATCACCGGTACTTTCGGCAGAGTCTAATCTGTTGCAGCTGGAATACCACCAGAAACCCTTGCGGGGTCACAGACGTCAGTGTTCGCTGCTTCTATGTCCGACGACTACAGCAGAATCTTGGCGAGAGACCCCGACGAAGCACCGACCAATACCGCCACTGGTATCTCGCCTTCTATCTTAGCCAACAGGCTCAGTTGGTACTTTGACTTCAAGGGTCCTAGCATCCAACTGAACACAGCATGCTCGACAAGTATGATTGCGATGGATTTGGCTTGTCAATCGCTTCGTAGCGGCCAGAGCTCAATGGTAACGCTACCCTAAGAGATCGTACCACTACAAGAATACTGACACGCGCTAGGCTCTTGTTGCTGGAGCGAATGTCCTCCTCAGCGTCGAAATCTCACTCTATCTATCGAACATGCAGATGCTCTCACCGGACGGCGTCTCCTACAGCTTCGATCACCGGGCTAATGGCTACGCCCGTGGAGAAGGTGCGGTAGTGCTGGTACTAAAGAGGCTTTCGGATGCCATTCGAGATTCAGATGTCATACGTGCCGTAGTTCGAGCGACTGGCTCAAACCAGGATGGACGCACACCAGGCATCACGCAGCCCAGCGCGGAATCGCAAGAGCAGCTGATAAGACAAGTCTACAAGAGCTGTAATCTGGGGTTTGAGTCTACACGATACGTCGAAGCTCATGGTGAGTTTCGAAATACCCAAGATGATGGAAGTTTGCATCCTCATACTCACATTTGCGCTAGGAACTGGTACTCAGCTTGGAGATGCGACTGAGATGAAGGCAATAGGCCGGACGTTCCGAGCTAGCCGATCACAGAAAGAGCCCCTATACGTGTAAGCCGACATGGTCGTCCTCGTCATGAAACTATCGCTAAGAAAAGCCAGTGGATCCGTCAAATCCAACATAGGCCATCTTGAAGGCTGTAGCGGACTAGCTGGAATCCTCAAGAGCATCATGATGCTTGAAAAGGGTATCATACCACCGAGTGCACTCTTCGAGAAGATTAGTCCAAAGATCAATGCCAGAATCTACAATGTTGAGGTGCGTCGATGGTCGCGCTGTGTAATTTATTCTCTTGTTAACCATACCCAAGGTACCCACGACATGCATGCCATGGCCCAGCGATGGGTTGCGTCGCGTCTCAGTCAACTCCTTCGGTTTCGGCGGTTCCAACGGACATGTCATACTGGACGATGCATACCACGCTCTCGAGTCCATGAACCTACAAAGCTTCCACAATACATTGGTTCCGTCAACTTTACAGAAGCCACAAATGAACGGCAATATTCCAAATGGAAACATGAATGGCACGAACGGTAGCAATCATGCCAGCGGGTGCGGGGCGGCTGCTGATACTGCTCACATAAATGGCTCGACAATCGACAGTACTACTCAGAGTGTCAAGGCACCGGAAAGGGGTGTCCAGCTACTCGTCTGGTCTGCAAGGGATGAAGCTGCATTACGGCTCGTAATACAGCAGTATACAGACTACTTCGACAAGCGCGTATCAGGGCACGAAGAGAAACTACGTCGCCTCGCGCATACTCTGTCCTCTCGTAGGAATGTCATGGCGTGGAGGGCATTCGCAGTCGTTGATCCCAGCGAGAAGTCCACGACCATCAGCGCTGCTACATCTACCCTGATACGTTCAGCTCGAGAGGCCGGCATGGCGTGGATATTCACTGGCCAAGGTGCACAGTACGCTCAAATGGGCTGGGAACTGCTCAGATTTCCCATCTTCAAGTCAACTTTGGTTAGGATCGGGGATATCTTTCGCTCATTAGGCGCACCGTGGTCGTTACTTGGTAAGACAACCAACTGCCTCTACTTTGACGTTCACACTGACTCTTGACTAGACGAGATGGAGCACGGGAACAACATCAATCAGCCCCGTTTCAGCCAGTCCCTCTGCACCGCTCTCCAGATAGCGCTTGTGGAACTACTAAGAAGCTTTAGTATTGCGCCACTTGCAGTGGTTGGGCACTCCTCTGGCGAGATCGCCGCAGCGTACTGTATTGGTGCTTTATCACTTGAGTCCGCATGTAAAGTCGCCTACCACAGAGGAAGACTGGCCAATCAGCTTATGGAATCTTTATCTCGTCCCGGAGCTATGATGTCAGTCAATCTCCCCGAAAGTGGCGTTTCAACATACCTGGCCAAGGCTTCTCTCTCGGGAAATATCCACGTTGCTTGCGTCAACAGCCCTTTCAACGTATCACTATCTGGCGATGAGACCGACATCGACACCTTGAAAGATCGGCTGGATAAAGACGGCATTTTCGCGCAGAAACTGAGAACAGGCCTAGCTTACCATTCTCCCGCTATGCATGATATCTCCGCGGAGTACTACTCGTCGATGGGCCTACTCGAACGAGGAGAGCAACAAAGCTCCATCTTCATGGTTTCATCTGTAACTGGTACAGTAGTCGATACCGATACCTTGGCCACAGGTACTTACTGGGTCGATAACCTTATATCTCCTGTCAGGTTTGCGGACACCCTGCGGTACCTTGCCTTGACAGCACCAAAGCTTGACCGGAACCACACTATATATGATTATCTCGAAATAGGACCTCACGCAGCACTGAAGAGACCTTCCAACGAGACACTGGGCCAATACGCGGCCAAGAAGCAACCTAGGTACATGTCTTTGTTGTCGAAATTCGACTGTTCTTTCAGATCGACGCTGAAGACAATCGGATGTTTATTCACATATGGATATGCTCCATCAGTTCCTGCGGCGAATCTACAAGACCCTAACAGAAAAGACATACAAATCCTGGTCGACTTGCCTGAGTACCCATTCGATCGTGTACAGACGTACTGGCACGAGACCAGACTTAGCCGAGACTGGCGGATGCGCAACTGCGCACCGAGAAGCGTTCTCGGTATATGTGCTACGGACTGGAATCCTTCCGAACCGCGATGGCGAAAGATACTTAGTCTGGAAGAGACTCCTTGGCTTGCAGACCACGTCGTAGGTGATCAGGTGCTTTTCCCGGCTACTGGAATGATCATGATGGCTCTAGAAGCTGCAAAACAGTACTTCCAGACCGACCAAGTGATTTCGGGCTACAATATCAAGGAAGCAACATTCATGAATCCCATCGTCGTTAGCTCTGAACCTAAGGGCAAGACAGAAGTGGTGACACAACTACGCCCGCTTCGTCAGGACTACGAGAAGACGTCGACACGTTCAGAAGTTCGTATTTTCGCTCGATCAGACAGCGAGTGGATCGAGTGTGTCCGAGCTGAAGTGCACGTGGACTACGAAGAGACTGCCACCGAAGTAGATTGTGGTTTTGAAGCCAGAGCTCGCGCTAAGGCATTGCTGGACAGCTACGTTGCCGCTGAAGAACAATGCACGCTTCCTATAAGTAAGACGGACTTCTATTCATGGCATAATAACCAAGGTCTGAAATACGGCCAAGCTTTTGCGTTGGCAGATAATCTCCACTGGGATGGTCACGAACTGGGTATTGCCAGCGTCGACGTCAGCGCGCCCATACATCTTTACGAAGGGGTCGTGCATCCAGCAGTACTCGATGCAGCCTGCCAAGTCTGCTTTACTGCGCCGTCCACTGGCATGTCAGACAAGCTCCCGACGATAATTCCTCACAAAGTCTATGATACTTGGATATCAGCATCTGGGTGGCAATACCCTCAGACCCACCGCATCAGAATGCTCACGACATCAAGGTTCAAGAAGACGATCAAAGGCATCGAGAGCTCTTTCACGGCGCTCGCAGATGACGGTTCACCGCTTTGTCATGTATCGCGTCTAGAGATGTCGCCAGTGCTCGGCGCTGAAACGAAGAGCGAAGCGGAAAGAAAGCTACTGCATGGCTTTGACTGGAAGCCCCAGCTATCGCTCTTGAAGCCAAACCAGCTCCAGGTGTATTGCGAGGCTGATCATGTCGCGGATGATGAATCAATGCACGTCGACTTCATCCTCGGGCTTGAGCAGACAATTCGCGCGGTGGTTCACCGCAACCTTGGTCGGCTGGATGACACGAACTGGTCCACCGCTCCAACCCACATGAAGAAATACCTGTCATGGCTCAAGCTACACCTTGAGCATGTACCAATACTTTCACGAGACGAAGTCGCGGATGAAGAGCTGAATGAGAAACTCAATCGTCTGAGTACGCAACGACCAGACTGGAGAATGTTCATCGAGATAGCAGAGCACATTGTTCCCATCGTGCAGGGTGACATCAATGCGCTAGAACTTCTGTTCTCCACGACTTTCGCTCAAGACATATACAAGGCGATGTTCGCGCCAGTGTACAACCACAAGTTCATTTCGTACCTCAGCCTAGCAGCGCACGAAAACCCAACACAAAAAATACTTGAAGTCGGTGCTGGAACAGGTGCTATGACAGAACACATCATTTCCACACTTCGCGACATAGAACTTCGCACCGGAGGTACAGCATTCTCTAGCTACACCTACACAGATGTCTCTCCTGGCTTCTTCGAAAAGGCGCGCGAGAAATTCTCTCACATTCAGGATCGCATGGCTTTCAAGATTCTTGATATCGAAAGCGACGTAACAAAGCAAGGCTTCGACTCTGGTACGTACGACGTAATTCTCGCCGGCAGTGTCATCCACGCCACAAAGAATCTCTCTGCCACACTGCAGAATCTTCGGCGTGCATTGAAGCCAGGGGGGAAACTCATATTCCATGAGACTACAGCTCCAGACTGCTTCCTCATGAACTTTGCCTTTGGCATCTTGCCTGGCTGGTGGCTCAGCGAAGAGAAATTTCGTACCTCCGGACCTACGATCACAGAACCGGAGTGGGATCGCTTACTGCGGGAGAACGGATTCGCGGGGAACGACTTCGTCATTCGAGATTATGAGGAGGCGGCTGCGCATCAATGCAGTGTAATCTTTTCCACGGCCGTCGATGACCTTTCACCCTCACAGAAGGGAGGCAGAATATTGTTCGTCGTCGACGATACTACACGGTCTCACTATGGGCTAGCTACCCGACTCTTCCAGCAAAAGCCCCTCTCATCCTGCACAAAGACAAGAATATGCCTATTCACACAGGTAGCCGCCGCTGAAGTTTCGAAAGAAGATATCGTCGTCTTTCTCGCTGATGTAAGTGGGGATACATTGATGTCCACATCAAACGAAACATTCCAGCTCATCCGGGAATGGGTGTACGCAACTGAGAATCTCTTGTGGGTCTCCTCTGCTAGGATGCCCAACAACACCGACTGCTCTCCTTATCCCTGTGCTAGTCTCAAGGACGGATTTCTTCGGACTATGCGGCTAGAGTTCGCTAACAAGCGTATCATAACGCTCTCAATTGAGGATACAGTCCACGACTGGATAAACGGATGCGATGCCATCTGGGATGTACTTGACGTAATGTCATTGGCACAGTCGCCAGAACTCGAGTACGTGCTGCGCGGTGGACAGATCTTGACTGGGCGTCTCGTAGAAGAGAGGGCACTGAACATGGACTTGAATTCGTCGGTCAAGCCACATATGCAGACAGAACCCTGGCTGCCTGGTCCACCACTGAAAATCGAGATTGGTAGCAGAGGCTCGCTCGAAACTTTGCATTTCGCAGAAGACGCGGAACATCATGCTCCCCTTGGAGACCGAGAGGTTGAGATCGAAGCTAAAGCGTGGGGCCTCAACTTCCGCGATATGTTCCAAGCTCTCGGTCGACTGGAAGAAGATACCTTTGGCTCTGACTGTGCTGGTATAGTCACGCGCGTTGGCTCCGCCTGTACACGCTTTCAACCAGGGGACCGAGTTTGCATTTGCGGGGTTGGATGCATGCGAATGTACCCTCGCGCCGACGAATGGGCTGCCGTTTCGATTCCAGAAGCCGTATCGTTTGAAGAGGCATGCGCAGTGCTGAATTGTGGCATAACATCCTATTACTCCCTTGTCGAAGTTGCGAGACTGCAAAAAGGGGAAAAGGTCTTGATACATGCTGCATCTGGTTCGACTGGTCAGCTTGCTATCCAAATCGCCAAGCTGATAGGCGCCGAAGTATTCGTGACCGTGGGCTTCGATTTCAAGAAGCAGCATCTCATCGACCTGTACGGGATTCCTTCCGACCACATCTTCTACAGTAGAAACACGACTTTCGCGAAAGGAATCATGCGTCTCACGAATGGGTATGGCGTTGACGTCGTGCTAAATTCTCTTGTGGGAGAAGGACTGCGTGCCTCGTGGGAGTGCATCGCTCCATACGGTAGGTTTGTGGAGATTGGCAAAGCTGACATCAATGCCAATTCTTCACTCCCAATGGCTGCTTTTGCCAACAACGTCTCATTCTCCGCGGTTGATCTGCGTCACATTGCTTTGAATCGCAAGCAAATGGGCAGAGACTTGCTGCATAAAACGATGGAGCTTGTCGGAGAAGGCAACATACACTGTCCGAGGCCATTGAACCTTTTCCCGGTGTCAGACGTTGAGGGCGCGTTCAGATATCTCCAGAGCGGGAAGAATACCGGACGCATCATTATCCAAATTGATCCTTCTGCAAAGGTGCAGGTAAGTTTGTCAGGTCTTAAGTATCGATCAAGACTAACCAGTCTAGAAACGCGTCCTCCGCCGTCGATCATGGCAATTTGACGAAAACGTCAGCTACGTAGTTGCTGGAGGGCTCGGTGGCATCGGAAGATCCATACTCAAATGGATGACTTCTAGGGGCGCGCGAAATCTGATCGTGCCTTCAAGGTCCGGTGCTGCTTCTGGGCCAGCTGCTGGATTGGTGAGCGAACTAGCTGAGCGAGGCATCAACATCTGCACGCCAAAGTGTGACGCATCCAATGCAGAGTCGCTCTCGGAACTTCTCGTTGTGTGCGCGAAGACCATGCCGCCAGTTCGAGGCTGCATAAATGCTACGATGATGCTAAATGTAAGTCTCCCAACTCTTATGCTCAAAGAATCGCTGACCAAGTCTTCTAGGACGCGACATTCGACAACATGAGCCACACTCAGTGGGTCCAGACTATCCGCTCCAAAGCTCACACTTCATGGAATCTCCATACCCTCCTCCCGCACGATTTGGACTTCTTCATCATGTTGTCATCGGTGGCAGGCGTTGTTGGCAACATCGGTCAATCGAATTACGCAGCAGGCTGCACCTTCCAGGATGCACTCGCGCGCCATCGAGTCCAGCATCAGCAGCGCGCAATATCCATTGACCTGGGTGTCATGCGCACCATCGGCATCGTCGCGGAGACCGAACGCTTGCACGAAAATTTCAAAAAGTCTGGCAGTCTTGGCCAGATTGAGGAAGACGAGTTCCTGGCGTTGTTGACCATATACTGTGACCCAGAGCACACCAGGATGCCGTTAACGATAGACAAGAGCCAGATAGCGATGGGTTTAGTAACTCCCGTTGATCTGATCGAGCGCAATTTGGAACCAGCGGAAGTTTTGCAGCGTCCACTCTTCGCATCCTTCTCGCAAGCCCGTGGCACAAGCCATTCCAATACACAAAGTAGCATCAGCGCTGCCGCGCTGTTCAATCTTGCCGAGGACGATGAGCAGCGAGTTGCAGTGGTCCTTGAGGCGTTGGCGCGCAAGCTCGCCCGCGCACTGTCCATCCCTCCAGAGGAAATTGACGTAAACAAACCCCTCCACACGTTCGGCGTTGATTCCCTTGTCGCAGTCGAGCTGCGCAACTGGATTGGCAAGGAGTTTGCCGCCGACATTGCGGTCTTCGACATCATGCGCGGTAGGACGGTGTCCGCCATCGGGGAGCTGATCACGAAGTTGAGTCAACTCAAGCGGACGAAGAAGAATGCAACGAGCGCGGAAGCATACGCATGATGCAATGGACGGTCTCCATATCTGTTGAGGAAACGCTGCAGTGGGAATACGGATGGCTGGGAGTCCAGCCACTTCGTCACGATGTATTGATAGGGGCATTTGGCCCGTGGGTGCTGTCTAACCATAAATGGAATGATATCATGACATCACAGCGAAGCACTCTCCTGGTGGTTTGTCTTCTCTCCATGACGATCTAACTGCACCTCCAGCGGGCCCAAGTGTCGCTGTGAAGCTACTGTTCCTCGCGATACTGCGTAAAGGTAAATTCCAGTCAGTACCACGGGCCTTCCATCTCGCTGCACACTCTGTGTTTGATCTTGCAGCGCTACGTCCGGGTTCACTGCCAAGTCGCTGGTAGATGTCGCCTTCTTCTCTTTCTTGTCTTTACAGATCCAGACGTTGCCGAGCATTAACGCAGCAAGTATGCTGGCGGTCAGGAACGGCAAAATGGAGATGAACGACCAGCTGATAGCATTGGCGGCAGCAGATTGGAAGCGTTCCAGATCTTCCAACGAGAGGTCGTTGATAGCATCCAATGCAGTAGGTGAGCTAACGTCGAATCTAGATGACTCTTCGCTGCCGATGAAGTAGACCAACATCTTGTTCTGGAAGACTGAGCCCATCACAGTCAAAGCTATGGTTCCACCGAAAGGGCCAGCGAAGCTCAAAAGGCCAAGAATGACGGCGATCTTGTCTCGGTACATTCCTGTCAGGTGTAGGTTCTCTGGCATGAAGCGAATACCAGTACCGAACCCGGCGACGCCCATGAGCACGTTGACAGCGGTCCTCTGGCGGGCGCTCATAGCCCATGATAGTGCTCCAATGCTACCTGTCTCTACGATTGTGCCGATCAGTAGGGGCCAGATAGTCTGCCGAGGGTATACGTTGCACATGACAATCGCAGTGTAGACGCCAACACCGATCCCGGGAACGTAGAACAACAGTTGGAGCCCGGCTTTCCCAGCATCAAACCCCTCGACTAGGGTGAAGTAGATACCGGCGAAGTAGAAGCAGGCATAAAGAGCTGCACCTGTCGCTGCGGAGATGATACAGACAAGTGTTACATCCTTCTCATGGAAGAGTTGGTATGGCACCACAGGCATGATTCGCGGAAGACGTTGCGCGAGGGATCGGCCTGGCGCCATATATCGTTGGTACACCACCAACAAGACAAGCAACAACGGGCCGGTGATAAGCGGTACCAGAACGGCTGGTGACCCCCAAGCATGAGCTGAGCCACCCCAACTGGTCGCGAGTATGATCAGCGCCACTCCAACGACGAACGTTCCTACCCCGATCAGATCAATACATGCGCATCCATCGAGGAAAGACCTAAGAGAAGTCTGACCCGACTGCGGATGAGCCAACGAGTACCTACCCTTCTTCAGATCAGGTCGCAGAAACGCAATCGTGACGATGCTTGTTGCGCTCAACGCAGACAAGAGCACAAACACCCATCGCCAATGCACATTCGTCATGTAGCCTCCGATCTGCAGACCTCGTTAGTAATGATAAACTCAGCTGCTGAGAGCCATACCAAAGGCCCTGTTGCGTACGCGATGCCAATCAAGAAGTGAAAGATACTGGTATTAAACGCTTGCTCCTTCAAGGAAACATTGTCCGCGAGGATGATGAGGGAGCACGTAGACATGCCCGCTGTACCCACGCCTTGGAGTGCTCGACCTAGTACTAATATTGACCAAATCGGTGCGCTTGCGCAGAGGATGCCCCCCAAAGTCATAATTATAACGGCCATCTGCAGAGCTGCGTACCGTCCGAAGACATCTGCTAGTTGACCGAATAAGGGGACGAATGCAGTGTCTGTGAGCGTGAAAGCTGTGCCGATCCAGCTTATTTGGTTTAAAGCTTCTGCTGAATGGTGAGCATGTAATCTTGTAGTGCTTGAAACGAGTACTTACGGAAATGAGATGCGATGAATGGCTGGGCTGTTGCGACCACAGTCAGATCCATACTCGCGGTATAGAACCCTGGTAGCAACAGTAGAAGAAACTTCCATCGTCGCGCATGGGTTGTCCATCTCTTTTTGCTGGCCATTGCAGTGGTACCCGCTGCAATAGATTCAGCTTGGTGTTCCTGGCCGGATTGTGAAGGCGGCTTCTCAAAAGATGGAGAAATGTCGGTCTCAGCTGTGGTAGACGTGAATGGTGTTACGTCAAAGCAATACTGATAGATACACTCGTCTTTAGTTTATTACAGGCTTCAATTTCCACGCTGTTCTTATGTAGACTGTTAAATGTCCCTTCTATACAGTGCCAAGTGTATTGGCGAAGTGCTGGCGAGTACGAGGGCTCGGTGGCGCAGGCCAAGCTTGCCGCATTCGCTAGCACCGGGCGTCAGGTGTTGGTTCTCAGTCTGATTTCGCATTCGCTAGATCCTTGCAGCTTACGTCTTCTCCGCAATGCACAGGAGCTTGTGTTATCGGAGACACTCATAGGCGCAGTACAGACAAAACTCGGAAATGTCGGCTCTTCCAAAAAGATTCTTGAGCTGGTACTAGTACGAGAACTGCGAGGGATCATTGGCCGTATATGAACATTGTAGCAGAGTGCTGCCGCATGTTACCAAGCCGATGTAGCCTTATTAACATTAGACTAAAGGTTGAAAGTATGCGAACATGACATCAGAAGGAGTAGAACCCGACGCGAAACAGTTCAACCTAGTTGTGAGATGATGTGAGCTCCGCAGACGGACCTCAGGTCTCTCTGGTAGTCGTTCATCCTCGCAGAGAAGATGCAAACGAGATCGGCTACAATCTGATGGAACTTCTTGCGCTCAAATTCGTTCATAAAGTCGAGCCGAAGCCAATACATATCCCGCACACGTACCGCGCCTGCGTCAGATGATGACCAGTGTGCACCCACAGCGGCCAAGTTCCAACTGTTGAGCACCTTCGTCGCGTGGAAACGACGCCCTAGCAGCGGCGTGCCAGATCGCTCTAACACACTGACCGTACATGCCGACTTGGTGCTTCGACAGTCGCAGCTTTTTGGCCCAATCTTGGTACGCCCGTCGAGTCCGATGGCTAGGAAGGGTAGCTGCCCTGTATCTGGTTGCTTGAGGAATACCACGAGTACTGGCGACTCTGGTTGTGTCATTTGCACTACCCTGACCGCAGAGCCAAATGATATCTCGTGTGAATGAGCGCTGGAGATATTGCTCATGATCCTGGATGCCGAGATGAAAGTCCGTTCGCTGAGTGGCTCAGAACTCCATGCACCTGATACAGCTTCTGAAGACTTTAATAAATCCTCTGACGACCTATTGTATTGGTGTCGGGTCGGAAGTCTCTTTGCGTAAAAAGCCTTTTGCCATATCTGTATGTTTCCGACCTCAGTGAGTACGTTGACGCACCCAGATGATCGTAGTCAGCAAAGAGCAACAACTTGCATCTATCGATGTAGCTCTGGCTTTCTTTAACAACTTCATCGGTCACAAATACGCATCCGTAGTCCTTGCCATCTTCACCACCATCAATAGTTTCGGCAACGTCATCAGCATGACATTCACTCTTGCCCGCGCGAAACCTTATTGACATCATTCCTACGTTCATCATGGAAATGGTCTCTCAAATCGCCTCTGCCAAATTGGCTCAGTGTCATCGCTGCTCTCATCTATGCGATCGCAGGCGGCTTTCCCTTAGTCACAGTCTGGATACCACCGTTTCAATGCTCAGGCCTCGATGTCCACAACATTATCCCTAGAATTCCTTGGTACGCGACAGGATTGTCTTTGTGGATAATGCTGACATGCTGTATTGTGTACTGGTTCTCTTTTCACTTCTTCCCACCGCGCATTGGGCCTAGGAAAGGCAAAGAATTCGTGGTTGAGAGGGACCCGGTGTTTCGTATGCAGAATGGGGAGAGGGTGCGGTCGCATGAGATTGTACTGCATAGCTGGGTCATCAAGGCTCAGCCTGAGAAGAGGAGGGGGTACATGCTGGATGATCTTTGAGTTTAGCTTTGCATAGATATGCAACAGAGTCTTATCATACCCTACACATCCTCCTTCCCCTTAAACTCATTAGGCTTTACCATAACCCTCTTCTCCCTCAGCCCCTCCCTCTCCTTCTCCTGTTCCTCTTCCTCTTCCCTCTTCTTCCTCCTCAAATACTGACAAAACTGACTCCGATCCCTCATCCTACCACCCCACCTTACGAAAACAAACGGCACAACATATAGCGCCAGACTGAAGAACCCCAACAGACTAGTCGCCCAAGCCACTCCCATGGTCCTATACATCGGCTTCGCCGCAAAAGGCAGCACAGCCCCAAACGAAGACCGCGACAAACTCGCCGCCGCCATGGCACTCGCGGCAAAAACTTCGTACGCATCGACTAAGTAGTTGAGCAAAGCCATGAAGAGACACAGATACCCCATTCCAAACAGTATCCCCGCAAGCGTAGGGACAATCCAATGGATGTCTTCTCTACTCGTCCAGCCCAGCCAGAACGCGCTGATAACGAAAAACGGACCGGCGATACAAGCGAGCGGCAGCCGACGCATCTCTTCATTGCGCGACCAAGGGCGGTTGAGGCGTTGGGCGCGGGCTAAATACCAGTCCCACGACAAGTAGATGCCAGCGGAGATGAGGGCACCGACGCCGATGGGGAGGAAGGCGAGGCCTGTTTCGCCGGCGTTGAAGTGGTAGATTCCGGTGAAAATTATGGGGTAGGATTGGAGGAATATGTAGAATATGGCGTCTTTGGGGGTGGGGTTAGTAAGGAGATGGCTTTGTGCAGGGATGTTGGGGGAAGGGTTGACTCACAAGCGTAGCTTAGATATAAACACGTGAATAGTACGAGAGGTTCGAAGCAGATCATTCGAAGTGGCCGCGTCAGGATGACGGTGATGATGTGGTTCAAATCCGTCTTCTCTAGTTCAAGCGGCGCGATGATATTCTCATCACCTGTTTCCTTGCGTAGTCGTTTTGCTCGCCGCTTTAGGATCGTGGGCCCGTATGTTTCGTCGAAGAAGTAGAAGAGCGGCCATGTTGCTCCGGCAAGTATGACTCCGATCCAAAAGGCCCAGCTCCAGGACACCACGCTGATGAAGCCAGATATTGGGGGTCCAAGGATGGGTCCGAATGTTGTTGCTGCCTGTTATACGTTGATTAGAAAACTGTCCCAGTGGGTGGAAGGTGAGGGGAACTACTCGCCATAAAAATCGCCATACTCCTCCCCCGATACTTAGGATTATGATAGATATCCGCGCATATCCCTCCGACAACACTAATCGCGCAACTCCCACCCACACCCACCAACAACCTAAAGATGACGAGCGCCGCGAAGTTCGGCGAAAGCGCCGAAGCAATGGAGAAGATTGTGAAAAAGGCAAAGGAGATTACCATGGTTCCTTTGCGCCCGTAGGACTCTGAAAGAGGGCCCCAGAGCATAGGACCGCATGCGTAGCCGACAAGGTACATGGATGTAGGGAGAATGAGCGCGTACTCGTTGGTTTGGTTGAAATGGCGGGATATTGGGGCTGTGGCTCCGGCTGCTAAGCTGGACGTCATGGTGCTGTTCATCACTTTGTGTCGTTTAGCTGGGTCGTCAAGGGAGATGGGTTCAGCGTGACTTACCGCTCATGATGGCGACGAAGAGGGCGTAGATCTTCTTCCACTGGAACGCTCGTTAGTCTTGCTTGGACTCGCTCGTATTTTCTCCCACTCACGCGACCCCAGTTGTTAGGATTCTCGGGATCTCCATCTCCAAAGCGGATAACACGTCTCCCACTCGTGTGCTCATCGTGAACACTCGACGTCGGCGACGGCGAATTCGACCTCCCATGTGAACTCAGCGTGGAAGGTGTCCTCGACGCAACTTTCTCGATCGCATCCTCCTTCTCCGTATCATCAGATGTACCAACATCTTTCTCAAGTTCTCTTAGTCGTGCGGCACGCGAGCTTTCCACAGCACCGGCTATGTTGACCCGTTAGTGAACCACAACACCAACATCACGGGAAGACAAAGTCATGCGTACAGCGATTTCTTGAACTCTGCCGGCTCGTCGTACTCCTCTGGCTCTTCGAAGTAAAACTGCGGACAAGAGCGACTGGTGAGGTAATGGCTTCATGTCCCGGCCCTAAGCCTTGTTGTTCTCGGGAATAAGTTCGTTCCAGATCTGCACTCTCCATGCTGAATTGATTAACCGGAGGAATGACGCGCCTTGCTTTTCAGCAATTCGAGGCTCAAAGAGACAAAAAGGATGACTGTGCGAATGCAGTTAGAGAAGGGGAACAGTGATAACAGACTAGAACTTAGGTGGTATACTGCGCGACCCCGCGCACTTGTGGATTAGCCATCCGAGGTGTTTAAGTAGGCGCCACAATTCCCCTGATCAATAATTTTCGTGGCTGCACATCTACCTGGTTTGTCGATCATAGCCGTTACCGCATGCAGAGTAGGCGGGGGCTTAACTTACGAATGCATGACGGGTACCGTTTAGCTGCGTGCGCCCTACGAGGCCCGACGGGAACAAAACGTCGTTGTGCATCGGCAAACTTACCGATGCGCGGCTCTCCAAGTGGAACTCGGTGCATTGCTTGATAATTAACCTGTAACGCGTCACGTTCTTTATCTTCTTTCGTTTTGCGAGGAGAAGATTGTGCCTTTGACTCAGACTACCTGGTCTTCGGTCTGCGCGTTAGTGTAGTCCGACGGTATACATTAGGAATTCATGAACGCCGATTCGGAATTCGACTCGTCTCGGAATGCGATTGCGATTGCGAACTGGAACTTTCATTGCATTTCGATTGCTGTTGCATGCGTGCCCGTCGACGAACCAATGCTGCAAGTCTATAGCATATGCATTGCCTACGTCTCGAGGTTGATGCTGCGTCCAAAGCGGCCATAGAGCGCCTTCTTCAGCTCTCCCATCTCTTCTTGGATACCCTCCAGCTTGGCCTTGAGAGCTTCTACCTCACTGTCAATGGTCTCTGTTGATGAGCCCAGAAGCTCAAGGACCTGCGGTTGGGGTAATGAGACGAAGCAATCCCCGACTTTGTATCTGTTGGTTGCGATTAGCTTGTTGATACTCTGGCCATACCAAGACAAAAAGCCGATTCGTAGCTCATCGCAAAGAACTTACGGTACTTTCTCCTCTTCATCAACCAGTTCGAGTTCGCCTGAGATCTCCTCCAGGTCTTCCTTCTCCTTCTGCGCTGCTGTTAGAGGGAGTGCAAATCGAGGCAGCGGGTTGAATCGTACAATCTTTGCCCTCAGCTCTTCTTCTAGGAGCTCTTCTTTCTGATGCAGAGAACTGAATTTGTTGATCTTCTCTTGATCCTCGCGGCGCACCTCCAGGTCCTCACTTTGGGCTGAGGCCTCTTCGTCTTTGGTGAGCTGCCACTGTTAGCGCCAAATCGGAGAACACGATGCAAAAATTGATGGCACTCACCATACGGCGCTGCATCTTGTTACCGAGTGCTTCTGATTGACGTGTATGTAATGGGATTGAATTGAAGTTGAGTTGGATAAGCAAGAGAAGTGAGAGACGTTGGTGGCTGTGCTCCGGCGTTGCTTGTGCCTCCGGGTGCGAGAATGCCAAGACTATCGCGAAGCAGGCGCGAGCCAGTGTTGAGTAGGCTCTCACGACTTATCGTTCAAAACATCATGCCATCTATTGTGCTAGCCAAATTCGCCATATGATTCAAACCGTTTTACGCCTTCATTACGTGTACGAAATCTAATACTAAGCTACCCTTTCAAATGTAGCGCCTAATTCGTCCCTCTTCTCCACCAATTCGTTGCTTGTCTGGCTGTTTTGAGCGTCGCTCAAAGCTCTCACAATATCGCTCTCGGCTTTGTCCCTCACAAGTTTCCTCAACGCCTGTATCAAAAACCCGCTGAAAACATCAACAGACCACTCATCCGGCACAATAGCCAATACATCCGCAACATCAAGCCACCCCCCAAACCGCTCTAGGAGTTCGCTCGTGCGCTCCACACGCTGGGACAAATCCCCTATCTGCAGGAATTCTCTGAGGAGATGGCCGAACATGCGAGATTGTTCAGCGCGCGTGGGGATCTGGCTGTGCGACACAGGTGGTGCGCCGGGTGTTGCGCGGCGGTGGATCGACGCGTAGCCGTAGAGGCAGTAGCTTATCGCTGTGTTGTAATCACCCAAACCGTGCGTGAGGAGTTTGAGGGCTTCTTCATGACGCTCCTGGCGCCCGTTTAGGATAATCATTTCAGAGACTAGTTCTTGCGAGTAAGGCTGCAGCCGGGAGAGAACGGTGTGCACGTCGTAGGAGGAGGTTTCGCTGAGGAGTTGGAGGAGACGGATGCGGGCGTGCCACCATTCTGCGTCGAGAGCGTTGTCGGTTATGAAGGAGAAGTAGGTTGGTTTGGGGGGTTCGAGGATGCGGTAGGTTTCATAGCTTTGGGACAGGGTGGCGCGGGATGAGGGGGTGCTTTCGAGCTCGGTGATGACGGTTGAGAGGTAGAATGCGATTAGTTCGTTTACGTACTCTGGGTGCTGGGGCTGGTGTTAGTAAAGCGAGTAAGTCTGTGCTGAGGGGCATACCTTTTTCTGGCCAAAGACAAGATACTCTAGGTACTCTTTGACGGCGCCTGGCGCCTTGTCTCTCAGCAAAGCGACTGCTCGAGTAGGATCAAATTTGACTCTGCTCTGATCGTCCGCGAATACCTGCACACCGAGCTTGGGGTTTCGATTTGCTAGCCACGCGCCGTATTCTTCCACCAGAGCCTGATCGCGGATCTTCCGAAGGTAGTCGCGCACCTTATGCTCGCCATCTATAAGTTCGCCTCCCTTGTCTTCCTCGCCTTCCAAGATTCGTTTCCAGGTCGCTAGCACATGTGACGCCTTGACGGAAGCCTTGCAGTTGCCTTGATACAAGCGACTGAGCAAGAAGAGACGCTTGAATTGTTCCAATAACTCAACAGCACGGTCGAAGCACTCCACTTCTTTGTCCACCAGTTCGTAGAGTTCTGCTCGGTGAGCACCAGGGCTGGAAGTACCCTTTGGACTCCCTTGATCTAGCAGTAGGAGGATGTGAAGCAATGCTGCATCAACAGTCTTGAACACGGTTGGGTCATTTGTTACACTTGCCATCCCTTTCCGCTTCTTCCAAAATTGGAGGTACCGCTTTACGAAATGTAACAGATTGTCACCAAAGGGACCATTGACATTCGTTGGCATGGTCGAGAGATCGTTTTGTTGCAAGAAGTGCTCTACCAGCATTGTGATGCCGCCATAGATTTGAATGCCGTCTGAGCCCTGGACGACTTCTTGATTGAGGATTGGCATTAGGCTCAGGACAACCCGAGGATCTATTTCACCTTCGATGAGAGCTTGTTCGGTGATACGCTTCTCATTTTCGAATATGATGATGTTCGTTTTGGTACGTAGAACCACGTCCATGAAGAGCATAAGCGAGGCCTTTTGACGAATATATATGAGACTAAGGTATTCAGACTCGTTGCGCGGCTCTTGTCCACGGATATCGCCTAGGATCGATTCTATGTTTCTTCTGTCAGGCTGGATGCGTGTCGCATCTCCAATGAGTGCATACTGGGCCGCTTCGATCCGTGAATCCAATCGGGTCACCAGCGGGTTTCGTACTGTCCACCATATTTGGTCTCCAGCCCAGACGACAGTCTGTGATTGTAGTTTGGATAGACGCTCCGCAAATTCGCGATCGGCATTTGTTTGTTTCTTCTCAACCTCAGTAGTTCCTCGTACTGTTCCTTCGGATGAAGCAAGCTGCAATTTCCGGACGGTCAGTTTCGCGCCTACTTCCGGAATTACAAGATCGTAAGGCTGCACTACAGTGCGCATACCTATAGGCGTCGAGATATGTGAGCCTTTGGTCTGAACTGGCAGACCAAGTGGGCTGAAGTTGAGCCAGTGTTTGTCAACTTCTCCAGCACTGGGATCCACATCCCATCGCTGAATCTCAACACCGTAGGTCATACTACCTTCCGCCTCTCGATGGACAACAGCCAGCACGTAACCTTCCTCAGAGTTCATGCCCTGACCCACAGAGGCCGAGAAGTCTATGCCCGCGCCATCTACAGCAATGGCGTCAGGATAGCTACTGAATTGTATGCTACCTCTGCACATATCTCCATCGAGGTTTACGAACATGCCGACTCCTTGATCAGAAGGTGTAGTGCCGACTGTCAACAAGAACTCGTTCGGGTTCGGTGATGCGACGTGAGGTCTCAAAGGGATGAAGAGCGGTGGTTGTGGAAGCGGCGGCTCCTCAGGTTGCGGTCTCTCTCCTTCAGCTGGAGCTGGTGGTAGGGGTTTATCGGGTGAGGTTGCGCCGCCTCGGGACTGGCTAGATGCTCTTTCAGGCTGCTCTCCTCCCAAGGCCGCCCGACCAGGCGAGCGTGAGGGAGCTGGTGACATGTCGCGAGAGAGGGATTGTGGCACGTCGAAACCATAGCGTTGCGCCGGAGCCCGTGGGCTTCCTGTTCTTGAAGGACCGCCCAGCCCAAGCACGTTCAAACTCGTACTTCGAGAATGGCCACGGTGCTCCTCGAGAGCTTGTGGATGTTGAGAAGCGGAGGAAACGCTCCTAGAGGGCGCACTTGGCACCGTCGCCAGATGCTCGGCAGCTCCGCCTATGTCACCAGCGTCTGGGTCCAAGGAAGAGATTGGGAACAGGCCTATCTTCTGCTGATGTACAACGTCCAACAGGGCATATGAATGCGCATCAGCAGCGCATGAGAACGTGTCTCGGCGGACAGAGACCAGACAGCCTCCATATTCGATCGCCTTAATTGCTTTCGGAGGAGAGTTCTCGGATATCTGCACCAGTCGCAAGCGCTTCTTAAGGCCGATGACGACTACCACGCCATCCTCAGCAGAACCCTCAATATCCTCGTTCAAGTCGACACCTCCAACCCACAGACATCCTATCGGCTTGAAGGTCGAGTCTGGGCTCAGCTCGGGTAGCGAGTATATGGAGAGGGTGTTGTTGCACAGCACGCAGGCCTTGCTGATCTTGGGGAGCAGGAGGATCTGCTGCACACCAGGCCCATTGCTGTCGTTATGGGGCGGTTCTAGTCGCGAGGCGATGATGGCCGTGGGCTCTTCGGAGGGATCGTCGGTCTCGGGCGGTAGGAGGACGAAGTGGATTATCTCGGCAGCGGAGGTGCCAACATAGAGGTTGCCGTTCCACACTTCTACACATGTGATGCGCACGTCAGTAGATGGGCCATCAGCGGACAGCGGGAGGTTTGCGACGAGCTTGCGGAGGATGTAGGGACCGTCTTGCGGGGGCGGTCGCCGTGTCGCGGGCGGTTGGGAAGGTGCTTCTGCCATTGTTCTCAACCATCACACGCGCCATGGCAGGCTATCGCAGCGAAGTGTAAGAGGCGCGCATGGTGGGTGTTGGACCTGCGCTCGTGGTGCCTGGTGAGCTATCATGGCGGCAGTCCACCAATTAGGGCCGCCCAACGCCGCACCTCCCGCGGTTTCACGGCAAGCTGGGTGCATACGTAACCAACTCCATTCCATGATTCACAACGCGCCGTGAAGGCTTCTCGGGGTAGACTACGGCAAGGGCGCGAGACATCGCAGTACTTTCGGATTTCAATTACACGTCTCTCTCCCTTGCAGACATCGATACAGACTGAAGCGCAACGATGGAGGGCGGAGTAGACATGGATGAGAGAGTCGAGACTCCACCTAATGCCGAGAGGCAGGAGCCCGTCGCAGAGGAAGAACAGGAAGAGGGCAACAAGTTTCAAAAGGCGATCGGCGCATGGAGAAGTGCGAATGTCCACGATGCATCTTACAGGACTAGGCTAACAGTGCGCCAGACATCGACCTCACCACTCTCATTCCGCAGCTCGACACTGTAGCCTCGGATATTGTCGCACACCAAAGAGACACTCTTACGCAGAGAAAGGACCTCGCGCAGAAGACCAAGGACTTTCGGAAACTCGACGATGCAAGCAAGCTCAGCGACATCAAAGGCCTTTTGAAGTGTAAGCCTCTACTTGCGCAGCTGAATGAGCTTTACTAAGCCAGATTCGCAGCATACCAGAACTTCATTGATCTTATATCCAACCAGTCCAAGACGGTACAGGCTGCCTTCTTCCAAGTCTACTCGCCGCTCTCTGAAGCACCCGACCCGTATCCTCTCCTCGAAGCCTCCGTCGACTCGCTTGTGACATCCGAAGAACTTGTGCCAAAACTCACGTCTGAGAACGAGCGCCTACAGAAGACGGTAGCCAAACTTACCACACAACTCGACGATTCAGACAAGAAGTTGGAGGAGGAGCGGACGGCACGAAAAGCCCTCGAGGATAGCCGAGACAGCAAGATCAAGGACGTGGAAGCGTCATGGTCAGCTGTGCTGAACGAGAAGCAGGACAACTGGGAGTCAAAGGAGAAGAGTCTAGAAGAGAAGGTCGAAAACCAGGACCGACTGTTGAAGGAGCTCAAGGCCAGCTATGAAGTCTCACAGCGACTCGGTCAGGGAGAAGCGTCTGAAGAAGAAGGCGGTCGCGGTGCTACTGCGGCGGAGCTTGAGATTGTCAGCTCAGAGCTCGAGCGAACAAGCCACCGATTGGCAGAGATCACAGCACGGAACGAGCAGCTACGCCTCGAGTTGGCCCAGTCTGCATCTGCACCAGCACAACAGGTTGCAGTTGAAGACGATCCTGCCTTCCTGCGATTGCGATCCGAGAACTCGTCACTCCTACGAAAGCTGGAGAATGCGCGCTTCGAAAAGGATTCCGAACGAACACGACTCGAGACAGAAACAAGAAGCTTAGAGCGGGAGATCAAGTCGCTGAGGAGTGAGAAGGAAGCTCTTCGCGAGAAGGTGCAGAAATGGGGCGACTACGAAAATGTGAAGCAGGAGTTGGAAGTGTTGAAGGTAGGCTCCTCGAACGGTGTTGTTGATTCTATGCTAACTTGCGATAGTCAATCGAGTTCGCAACAGGTGACGATGACGACGAAGCCACCGAGATTGCCCTCTCACAAAACAGCACATCCAGCAAAGGCAAAGGCGAAACACTGGAACAGCTCCTGCTTGCTCGCAACAAGAAGCTCAGCAACGAGCTCACAGTCATGCGCGTTTCTCACCAAGACCTGCAGAGCAGGTTAGAAGCTCTACAAGAAGAGCTCTCAAACACAAACATGGACCTAGAAAAGTCACGCCAACTCAACGAGACACTAGAAGCCGATCTAGAGAAAGTCCAACAAGAAGCCACCAATGCCTTCGACCCATCGGGCATGTCCGTCGCAGGAACCTACGTATCGCGCTACCCGCAATCTTCCTTCGGCGGAGGACGAAGAGGCCGCTCATCACCCACCTCCTCCATCATCTCCGGCTTCGACAATTCGTCGCAAGCACCTACACTAGCCTCTCTGCGCGCCGGAGGTGGTGGTGAACCTATGGGCGGCGGATCCGGCATCCTCCCCATGATAACAGCGCAACGCGACCGCTTCAAGAAGCGCAACTCGGAGCTCGAAGCCGAACTGCAAAAGTCGTACCAAACCGTCTCCTCCCTCCGAAGCGAAATAGGCGCCCTACAAAAAGACAACCTAGACCTCTACGAAAAGACAAGATACGTGAGTAGTTACAACGCAGTCAACAGAGGCCCTGCCTCCAGTGCGTCGAGCTACGCTACAAACCCCAATCCTTCGGCCATCAACATCGACTCCGGAGGCACAGGTTCAACAGTCGACACAAAATACCGTTCAGCCTACGAGTCAAACCTCAGTCCCTTTGCGGCTTTCCGGGGCCGCGAGAGCGCACGCGCAATGAAGCGCATGCACCTCTTTGAACGCATGGTTCTGCGCGTTACTAAATTTGTTCTTCAGACTAGGACGAGTCGGAATATCTTTGCGGGATACCTTCTCGCGCTGCATTTTATGGTGTTTTATTTCTTGTTTAGCTTTGAGGCGGGCGCTGGGGCGGCGGTTGTGGCGGGCCCAACTGTGCCTGGTGGACCGGTTCCTGGGCCGGAGGATCCGGGCGTTTGGCATAATGAGGATGAGGGGACTAGTTGAGGGGGGTCAGGGATGGGGTGTATTATTAGGATAGGGATTGGGTTTGTGCGAGGTGCTATCTTGTGGTATACGCCATGGGGGGTTGGAACTGGCGGCATGGATATTACTACATCATTGATCAATAATTTGGGTATCCTTGAATCCTTGATGCATAATACAATGATATCCATGCCGCCAATTCCAATTATCCCATCCATGTATCAACGACAATACTGAGCTTATCATGTACTATAAGTCTTTCATGGATGCCAAACGTATTGACGATCAACGATCATTGTGGGGATTTGGGTCTATCTACATGCACTGGTACCTTTTCATGGAACTGAGATCCCTCTTTCGTCTTCCCATTATTTGTAGCATGATTTACAGTGACAATCTCTCGTGACAGTGAAAGATACCCTGTCGGCCATTCTCCAAACAGTCTGCTGCTAGGCCCCACAAGGAAGGCGGAATGAGTACAGCGTATACACATGACAATCCGCGGCACACCACGATTAGCACACATTCGACATGCCACCCTGGAGCCTACCACATGTCAATACCACTGTCGTATACCCATACTGATATCGCAGCGCATCGGTATCACGACTACCCGGCGGCTGGCAGATGCTACCCGAGCGCAACGAATCATCTCGGAAAGCTGTGTCCATACATGTGAATGGTTTCTTCGTCCTTATCTTGTGACTTGATCAGCCACTGAACATTGGAGTAACAGCAGAAGAGCGAACCACACAACCTTGGAACGCAAAAGTGGCAAACCATTCGCAAGCGCGAAGGACGTGTCGCGGTTATGTATAGCAGGGAGCGTACTGCCCTCAGGCCATCTGAATGGTCATCAGAGAATGGGTATGGCGACACGCCATCCCTTCATCATCCTTCCATCTTGATTCCTTGATCCCTTCTAGGGACAGCAGGACAATCGCTCTCGAGCATCCTCATCCAACGAACGTGATCTGAGGACGGGAAACCGGGAAAACACGCCATGCAAGAGCGGAACGTCAAACAAGATTCCCTGTTAATTCTGCACGACATTGGTATCCCTAGCCAGTAGCCAGCGAGCCAAATACAACGCAGCTAGCCAGCGGGTCGACAGCAGACAGGCCAGGTAGGAAAACCCCATCCCAGAGACCTGTTCAGCGGCCGTTGGCTGCCAATAGCGAAGCGCCGAAACATCGTTCGAGAATCTGGCGCTATATCCCTGTCCAGCTGTCTTCCATACTCTGATTGGCTAGCGCGGGGCAGAACCCTGCGTGTACCGGATGAGGTATATTAGCTGTCATTTCTTTCACCTTCCCGTTGCTGCATGCAGAGTATATTAATAGTCTTTTTTGTGGATGCGAGTGTATTTGCGGTATTTGTACCTTCTACATCTGGTTTGGCGGGTGCGGGAGTGTGCATGTGGGTATTTGCGACAACGGGTAGTGGGACGGTAGCTTGTACTAGCCTTGTAACTTGCCAGCTGATGATTGCGTGCCCAGGTGTAGGACGGGCGGCTCTGCGGGTAGCGGAGGGTAGAAAGAAATGGGAAGGAGGGAAGGGAAGTGGAAGGACTGGGTGTGGAGAGGGCGGTTGCTGTGTCCAACTTGATTGTGGTGGTTCGATTCTTGATTTTGCGCTGCACTGTAGTTGGTAGGTAGTTCTGATCGCGTGCTATTTCCAACTTCGTGGAATTGAGTCTTGCTGGCGCTGGCGAGATGTTTGCTGAGGTTTATTCACCTGTGCAGGAGGAGCGGGCGACATCCGTCTTACCTTCAACACCACCAGGAAGCATCATCAACTATCTATACTCACACCCACAACACAGCCCCAACTCCAAACCTCTCCATCAGCACATCATCAAGGAACCCTCCGTAGATCACAGATCTCCCATCCCCATCTCGCATCAGCACCTTAACCCACTCCCTCATCCCAACCCCCTCCCGTCCAATCCTCAAAATAGCCATCTCGCCAGCCGATCCCCACGGGCGTTTACGCCAACCCCCAAACCCGCCTAGCGGCCGTCCAGTATACCCCCAGGCGCGCTCGGCAGAACAGCGAACCACAACGCACCTACCTGCTGCCCATCTCGTTTCGAACGCTGTGAGCCTATCACACCCCCGCCAGCTATATTTGGGGTCTTTTCCCTCTGCATTAGCGGACAAAGTAGTGGCTGGAAGGGCGAGTGGGACACGGCGGTAACGGTTGCTCGGCTTCGCGCAAAGTAGGTTTCTGTGTGGAGCGGGCACTTAGGCGCTGGCAGAGAAAACTGGTTCGTTTCGTACTGTCGTGTGCGAGTAGCGCGACGGATGTTGTGTATATAGGAACATGGCATACACGGCCTCGTTGACGGTTTCCACATCCACCTCACCAACACAACACAACAACATCTCACCTACCTCTACAAGAGACCCGCTTCCGTCGCGCGCTTTCCTTTGGGGTTTATTTCCTTGAACAGTTATTCTGGACGTTTGTTTCATTTCGCTTGGACCGTTTCTTACACCATCTCACGGATCTCATCGCTTCCGAAGGATCAAGGTCTTACAATAGCCACCTTACCGAGATACACATTCTATTCAAAGACCAACCCCATACCGGCATCTGAAAATACCGGCGGCAAGGCTTACTTGTACATTCTTGGAATTTGTTTCCTGCTATAAACATCGAGGCGGTCGCACTCTATTCGAACATTACACAAGACAATCTCGACTTCGATTCGGCAATCTACATCACCATCCAAGATACTCCAATAAGTCGACAACCTCAAACATGATCTTCACCAACACCCTCAGCCTCGTCTTGGCCCTGGCACCTGCCACCATCTTCGCCGCTCCTAGCCAGACTGTCGACTCGATAGCAGCTTTGATCCCGAGGCGAGACATCCCTGCGGTTGTCTACAAGGAGTTGTTGAAGACAGACTCACTATGTGATCTATCCAACGTTGCCCTCCCTGCTGGTATGTTCCCTCCCAACCCCCCACAAGAACAACATCAACTAACCCTCCCCAGCACCCACCCCCCTCGCTGCCCCAGCCAAAGGCACCTCCCTCCGGCACATCGCCATCGGCCGCGGCACCCAAAACTACACGTGCGCCTCGTCCTCCGCCTCGGACATCCCTAAAGCCACCGGTGCCATCGCCACGCTCTTCAACGCCACTTGCGACGCCGCCCGCCTCAACGTGAACATCCTCGGCCAAGTCACCGACCTCGCACTCAACTATGCGATCCCCAAGTCCGCGGAGGCAGACCAGCGTCTCTCAGGCCACCACCAGTTCACCGCCGCGGGCGTCCCTCTCTTTATGCTCGAGACTGATAAGAACAACTTCGGTCGTGTGGAGTGCGCGGTCAATGCTAAGAGCGCTGCGCCTGAGACTGCGAACAAGGGATCTAACGGTCTTGGTAGTGTCCCGTGGTTGAAGTTGAACGCTACAGTTACGGCTGAGGGCGCGGCACCTTGGGCGTACAACGAGGTTTACCGGATACACACTGCTGGTGGTATGGCGCCTAAGGACTGCGGTGGTATTGAGGGCAGTTTTACTGTTGAGTACAGCGCGCAGTACTGGTTTTACGCTTAAGTCATGGCGGCTTAGCTGTTGTTTGTTGATCTTTTCTTCCGTTTTTCTTTTCCTTCTCCTTGTATAAAGCATTTTCATCGGCGTTGGGGGCACGGGATGGGGGAGTACCGGTTCAGCGTTCCGGCAGAGCATAGTAAGCCTATCTGGATACGGGCTTCAGTTAGTAGTTAGCATATACCATTCTCCGCGATTCTCTGTCATGCTCATAGTTGGGCGAACAGTAATCGTAATATTCAAATCACAAAAGCCGTTTGCGAGTCATGATCTAGCTCTTCTGCGGTGATGTTTTAGCGCTGTGTCTCAACTATCCTCCGGTTCCGCCCTCTTCGGCTTTCGATGCCTCGAGCTTCTTTTCCGCAGCAGTGTTCCTTTCTCAGGGTCGATGTCGGGTACGAGCAGCTTGTTGACTTCTCCTTTTGCTTGCATGACCTTCTTAGGCCAATCATAGCATATATCGATGCGTGACCTGGGTGCGAAGATTTCCAGAACGAGGTAGATAAGGTAGTCGACGACGACACAGATGCAGAAGAGCTTGCCTGCCCAGATGCCGCAACCGAAATACCTCTTCAGCCGCTCGATGAGAGCGAAGCTCTGCACGCCTGCGCGACCACGCGTGGCACTCCATGCGCCAGCTGCTCCTGCACCTTGGTAGAACTCGCTGTGACTGGTTACGCCGCTAATGCCGTCGTACACCCTCTCTGTTCGCTGCGCGATGTCGGTCCAAGAGTACATCTGCTTTACCTGGTTATGGAAAAGCTCGGTCCTGACTTTTCCAGCGCGCAACTTAGCGATGGCACGGCCTGTTGCTACGACTAGATCGTCTTCTTCGGGTGCTGCGAATTCTACCATGTGTGTCGGTAGCACTTCGGGAATACCTCCCACTCGAGTTGCAACAACGTAGAGCCCACAGGATGCAGCTTCCACAATGACGGTTCCGAATGCTTCTGTCAACGAAGGGCACAGGTAGATATGCCCCCGTACCATGACATCTCTGACCTCTTCATGACGGACTGGACCGATCATAAGAACCTTGTCTTGCAGGACATTTCGCTCAATCATTTGTTCAAGATCGATGGCTTTTGGTCCGTTGCCAGCGATGATGAAGCGTACATTTGGGTTCGCAGCAACGATGTGGGGTATAGCAGCGACTAGCAGGTCGGTGCCCTTGTTGTAGTACAGCCGTTGAATGACGATGACAGTGATAATCTCATCCGGACCCATTGGCTGTCGTGGACCAGGCGCCTTCTTTGTATTCGTAGAGTCGACCGAATCGTGGGAAAGAGGACGGAAGTTCTCCGCAACGACCGCGTTGGGTATGACAGACACCATGAGGGGGTCTAGCGAGGCTCGGAGGACGGTGTTCTCTTTGCTGATGTTTTTTAGCAGCTGCCAGCCCTAGAGAATACCAGCGAGGACCAACCAAGTATGACTGACACAAATAACATGATCCACATCGCTCAAGGTGAATTTGAGAAGCTTGTTCGTAAGTATACTTCCCGCATCCGCAAATCCAAAGAGACTGTGATCCGTGAAAACCGTCCTCAGCCCCATAGTCCTTGCATGCAAGATTGCCTCGTGGCACAGACTACTGAGACTGGCATGACCGTGTACGATGCCGATGTTTTCTCGGATGACGATGTTTCGGAATATAGGGAAGAAGGAGAATACGGTAGGGAAGGTGGTCTCGCGGTATATGACCCAGAAGGGAACATAGTAGACTTTTAGACCGTTGGTCAGGTAGCGAACGCCAGTCCGGCCGGCGTAGGCGTGTGTTATGACGATTACTTTGTGGCCGCGGTCGATTAGTTTCTGGGGGTGTTAGAGGTGGACACAGTGGGGCTCAGTGAAGGGCACCTACGCTGGACAGTTGATACATATGACTCTCGACTCCTCCTATGATTGATGAGTACTGCGCCGAGTCAAGACACGGCTAGGTACATACCGGGTTGAGGGTAGAAGTTGTCGCTGACCATGGCAATGTTGTACGGCATGATGGCGAATTGTGAGGACTGACACCTCGAGTCTGCTCAGAAGGATGCATCGCGCTCAAGCTTGGGCGCAATTGAAAGGTACCATTCGTGGGTGTATCTGGCGGGGAGAGCACCTGCGTCGTCGCGAACCCAGGGCCTCGGCGCGTCACCGTCGGCGTTTGGCGTGGCTGGAACTCCGACTAAATTTCCAGGGTCCATAGATTTTCTAAACTCACCATCCTGTCGTCGCAAACTATCGCAATCCCCTCAAGCTTCACTTTGAGCTGTTGCGACTCGAAAATTGCGCAGGATCCTTTATATCATGTTTCAAAGACGTTATGTGCCGCCCGCGGCTGCCGTCAAGAAGCAACCTTCACCTCCTCCCGCGCGCGCTGTCGCAAAGGCTTCCAGCCCTATCATTGCTACGAATGAAGAGGTCGCTGCCTCAAGTCCGGGGCATGTAGAAGCTAGCCCGGTATTGGAGGCCACAAAGACTATTAAGAAGCCGAAAAAGAGGAAGCGCGAAGCCGAAGCCGCCAAAGAGGAGGAGGATGAGATTTCGAAGAAGCATAAGAATGTCTTCTCCAAATTCGAGAAGGCTGCGAAGCTAGCTGAAGCCAAGAGTCAAAATGCTGAGGAGGAACCTGCGAAGGAACCACAAGAGGAGGGAGAGCTTCATGACCTCGAACCTATGCCGCAACCTGCACCAATTCCCGAGCCCGTCTACGAACCGACCTTCTCCACCCTTCCTACATGGCTCGCCCAGCCTACCACCGTTGAAGCGTCCAAGACAGTCCCGTTTGCCGAACTGGGTGTAGATCCTCAGTATGTCAAGAAGCTGGAAAAACAAGGCTTCAAGGACGCTTTAGCTGTACAGACAGCATTGCTACCTCTGCTACATCCTGGTTATGACCAACACTTGGGCGATATATGTGTGTCGGCAAAGACTGGCTCCGGAAAGACGCTGGCATATCTCCTTCCCATCATCGAAGCACTCAAAGACCGCGCCGTACCCGTCCTATCCGCCATCGTCGTAGTACCAAGTCGACAGCTCGTCAACCAAGCCCTGCAAGTCGCCGAGGAGCTGTGTGCTGGAACGAAGGTCAAAGTGGGAACAGCGTTGGGCAATGTCGCGTTTGCGACGGAGCAGAAGCAGCTCGTCAAGATGCGACCGCAATACGACCCAAGGAGAGCACAGGAGCTGCAGGAGAAGGCTTCTCGACAATATCAGAGAGGCTTCATGGAGCGAGGAGGTTTGTACGATGACTTGAGAGCCATGCCTCTTGATCACGTTCCACAATATGATTCGGGCGTGGATATTCTCATCTGCACTCCGGGTCGATTGGTTGAGCACATCGAGCACACGACAGGTTTCCTGCTGAACAGTGTGCGCTGGCTCGTCATCGACGAGGCTGACCAGCTCTTGAATCAAAATTTTCAGGGCTGGGCAACCGTGCTCATGGACGCCCTCCACGGTGAGACTCCCGTTGACTTCATGAACGCCCAAGAGCGGATACGAAAGCGCGAGCGCGACGCCAACTCCATCTGGTCCATGGCGTTACCTGCTCGAAGGCAACTTACCAAGGTCGTCCTTTCCGCGACAATGGAAAAGGACCTTACAAAGCTAGGCACACTCAAGCTGAAGCGACCGAAACTGGTTGTCGTGCAGGACGAGACTACGGAACTTCAACCATTGGAGACAGAAGAGAATGTGTTCGAGCTGCCGTCTACGCTGGAGGAGTTTGCAGTACATGTAGGCGATGGTTTGAACAAACCATTGCACCTGCTATACGTACTGCTCAACTACGTTTACCCGGGTACACTGGAATTGTCGAAGTCTTCCTCAGACTCTTCGGACTCTTCAGACTCAGACTCATCCTCAGACAGCGACTCTTCGTCTGATTCGGAAAGCCGCGCAATCATATCCCAGCAAACCGGCCGCGTCCTTATCTTCACCAAAAGCACAGAAAGCGCATCTCGTCTATCGCATCTCCTCAGCGCCCTCATGCCCCTATTCAAAACTCACATAAAAACCATGACCCGCGCCCTAACCGCAGACGCCTCCCGCAAACTCCTCAAATCCTTCAGTTCTGGCGCCACCAAAATCCTTATCGCATCTGACGCAGCGTCCCGCGGTTTGGATATCCCCGATATTACTCACGTTATCAACTACGATCTGCCTACCAGTATTACTAGTTATGTGCACCGTGTGGGCCGGACAGCGCGTGCGGGTAAGCCTGGAGAGGCGTGGACGATGTTTACGAAGACGGAGGCAGCGTGGTTTTTGAAGCAGGTGGCTAAGGGGGATAGTATCAAGAGGGGGAATAAGAAGGTGAAGCGCATGGAATGGAAGGAGAGTACTGTGACGGCGGAGGGGAGGAAGAAGGCGTATCGCGCGGCGCTCAAGCAGCTGGAGAGCGCTGTTACCGGTAACGCCGAGGCAGAATAGAATCTATGGCGGTTTCATGTTGTTGACCGCAACAAGTTGCTCGAAGCTAGGCCACAGCTGGGTGGTGAGGCGAAGAGGAAGAGGTGGAGGCCTCATGTTTGCCAGGCATTCTTTGGTGTATCCAGTGCCATTTTCAGCCGCCTCCTAAAGTGCTTCCACCGGCAACGCCGAGGCAGAATAGAGTCGCAAAGAGAGGGATGCGCCTTTGACACTGATGGAGGCTTGGTCTTGATCTGCGGCGAAATACGCCTGTTGTTGACCGCAGGCAAGTTTGCTTCAAAGATAAGCTAGCTGCAACTTTTGCTCTTTTCCAGATACCCAATCCACAGCTAGTATCGGAGAATTTCTGTGCCTGCGTGTACCAAGCTTCCTCAAGCAGCTTGGCTTTGCTTGATACCATCCTTCACGATCGACAGATGGCGTGGAGTGACAGTACGCCAGCGATGAGTTTGCGTCGCAATTGGCAGGTGAAAAGAAACCTTAAGCATGCGACTATCGGTATAACAGTGTATATCCAACGTTGATAGGGCATGAACAACATTCCGCAATCCAGCCTGGGGGAGCGCCAACTCGCAAAGTGGAGGGCTAAGCATTCTCCTCGGCATGCGTGACCAAGCTTGATGGTGCTTGATACCATCCTCCTCCGCGGTGTAGTGTGCTTGGAATGTTGCGGATCACGTCCTGAATTGGCAGGTTGGAAGCGCAAGCGGCCTTGTGATGCGCAATTGGCC